AGAAAGAAATGAAATTGCTTTTCCCTCCTCAACTCGCAACTAGAACTATCAGCCACGTGATCTGATTCTAATATACACACCGTCAGTGTTTATCATAGTCATACGCAGGGTTGGCAAAGCAGAGAGCATGGGCTGATCTTCAGATATAGTTTTAGTTGGGCTACAATGCCCGAGCCCCACTAAAGCGACAAACAGAAACAAACAACAGCGGCTAGCCTTAAACCAGAGTATCTATGCTCAAACACGAGTATCATGCACACGATGGTACCATTTGCAGGCTTGTAAACGCTCGTGCTAACTTCGCGAGCACCGAACAACTCAAAGCCGTATAAAGGTACCATCGCGAACATGCTGCATGTGTCTGAGGCTTGTCGCTGTCGTTTGTTTCTGTTTCTAGTTCTAGTGGGACTCGGGCCCATCATAATTTTTGAGTTGAACACGAGCCGTCACCCGAATGTTTGGCGATGCTGGTTGTCATGAACCAGAGCATTCAACTCGGGATCATGACAATCGGGTGCATCATGGTGTCACGTGACTCTCAGTGCGAAGTTGTGATGTCATGTGACGTCACGGTATCGACAACGTTAATAGATCTAGCGACGTCCTTAATTTGAATCTACGCGGTGAGTCACGTGACGTCACGGGGTCACGCGATGTGACATTACTTGACAGCATGTCTTGACATCATGACGTCACGTGACGATGTGACACATGGCTAATCACAGTGCCAATAAGAAAGCGCCACAGAAAACCAGGATTTATTATACATTGCAATTCTGTATATGACGTTTTACAGCTGCCACTTTTTTTATTCCAAAATAAGAAATTTGTAATACTGACAAAAAAAAAATACCGCGAACCGTTTTGAACCGGTTACCGTTATATTTTTTTCCGGTTCAGTTCCGGTTCAGTTCCAAGATGGCGGCGAAGATTTCGGTTCGGTTCAGTTCCGGTTCGGCTAAAAATAACGGTTCTGTTCCGGTTTTCGGTTCGGTTCGGTTCCGGTTCGACACCCTGCAGCGAGGTACGGCTATTATCTGGTGTTTCGTTTTCTTGAACCACTGATCTCAATGACAATTGCTGGATCGCGCTTGCCGCTCCCGCAAGTGAAGCCACCGGACGCAACCCCGCTGGGATACGATTTCCCGTTTTGCTAGCCTTTTGCTGCGGTTTTCCAGCGTGCTGTAGACACGTTTTCTACTCGTTCGTCGTCATTCGCCGAGGAAGTTTTTTGAGACTCAGTGTATTGTTGAGACTTGCCGTTGTGAACACGTGAAAAATTTTACGGAAGTGCAGTGTCGCAGGAAAAAGGCACAACGCGTCGAAAGGAAGGGCTGGCGGCGTGATCAGAGCTTCCTTGGCACGCCGAGTGATGCATCTTAGTGCCTTCGCACGCTTGGATACCGGTCAAGAATTGACGCCGCGCCAAAGTTCTGGACGTGTATCGCGCGTAGATGCCTTTAGATCATTTATATATATCGGCCACGGAGTTCTGGATCGTCCAGCTGTTCCGGTGAGTTGTTATCAATAAAAGGGGGAGATCTGTACGTGTTCTTATGTACTATATTAACCATGGCTATGTCCCAAATCTACTCTAATAGATTCCGTGGGAGCACGAATAGGGCAACGTTGTGGAGCCAGGGGGGTTTTTGAAAGCAAAAGTACAAGACGGCGAGAATGAAAATCTTTGAAGCGCGGCCGATATGGTCGTGTGCAATCTGTTGACCAATTACAATTAGGCGAGCCGCGCTCAAACGTCAAGTGCAATTAAGTATGTTGATAATAAGCCAGCACTGATCAGTGATGAGGAGCTGTTGTGCACGGTATTGTGTAAATCGTCTAAGGACGAAAAAAAAAGACGTACCTTCCCCCCATCTTCCGTCGCTAGTGGACGCTGGATTAAGCTCGTTCCTAAACCGCGAGGGGAAAAGACGCTGATCCAGAGGCACGAACAGCTTCACGCACATTGCACTCGCTAAACACATTCACACGGCGTCGGTTCTTGGTCGGTATCCAAGCGTGCGAAGGCACAGAGACACGGCACTTCGGCGTGCCAAGGAAGCTTTGAACACGCCGCCGGCCCTTCCTTTCGACGCGTTGTGCCTTTTTCCTACGACACTGCACTTTCGTAAAATTTTCCACGTGTTCACAACGGCAAGTCTCAACAATACACTGAGTCTCAAAAAACTTCTTCGGCGAATGACGACGAACGAGTAGAAAACGTGTCTACAGCACGCTGGAAAACCGCAGCAAAGGCTAGCAAAAACGGCAAAGCGTATCCCGAGCGAGTGAAGTCCGGTGGCTTCACTTGCGCTGCAGCGAACAAGCGGGGAAGCGCGATCCAGCAATTGTCATAGAGATCAGTGTCTTGAACCAATAATGGATGGCCAACATATACATGTGGAATTGTCACCCGCTTCGTGACCCCATCGACAATCACGTCCACGATGTTTATTTCTGTGGGACCGTCAAATCCGCGAGTAAAAAAATAGAAGAAATTGACGGCAGACGGGCACCGTGCGCTGACCTACGCAAGAAAAAACGAACTAAACGCGAAGTGACGCAAGGTGGAGCTCGCCGCGGTGCACCGGCGCGGCGCAGTTTGTCCTCGATGTTGCACCGACATCGCGCTGCACGACCGAGGAGCGCTGTGCACTGTGCTGGCTTCAGGGCGATTCCGGTGCGTGTTGATCGAAGATGCACTTTTTGTCGACGTCTGGGTGGACGGCTCTGACTATGCCCTTTGTAACGGGCGGTAGCTTGCGCCACCTAGCAGAAGTCTAAAAAAGACAAGCATGATTTCTTCCGCCCTCCTAAGACCAATTTTTTCCCCTTATCACCAGGCAGCCTGGGATATCACCAGGATGACCTTCGGGAGATCGGGCAAAAAGCTAAAAACATCACCCCCGCCTTTTCCTCCAGGCGAGGGAGTCGCCAATTTTCCTCTGGTTAAACCTTGTCGGCGTTGACCCAACACCGGACCCACTGAGAGACAGGGTTGAGACTTTGGGCCGGAACCACGCGGGAGGGAATCCCAATTTTCCTCTGTCCCCAGATGTGTTAGTTAGTTGTGCGTCATTCAATTTTCCCTAGATAATTTCCACCAATCTTCTAACCGCCTCTTTGTGATTGTAATCCTTTTTTTTTTTTTTTTTTTTTGTTCCGTTCTTCTATTGTCGCTGCTACAACACAGGGCACCGGCCAGATTCGTTTATCACTTCAGGGAGGGCAGGGCGAAGCCCCGTGCACTACAAAACCAAGTGCTCTAGTATCTCACTCATTATGACAGGCGGCACATAATGTGTCCGTCTCCTGAAATGTAGCCCTACACGTCCTCGTCCTCAAAACTCCCGTTCCCGCCTCGAACAGCACCAAACTTATTGTCAAACACATTTTCCTTTCTTATATTCTGCTTTCGTGACCTGTACACCTTTAGAGCTGATTTCTCCTGCATTCTTCCCTCCCACGTTTTCCTCTCTGCCTCTTTCTTCCCCTTTTCCACTGAAGTGGTCCGCTCAGTCCAATCACCAGTAAGTAGGTATTTAAATGTAAGCTTTCGGGTTCGGTTTGTCCATTTTGTGTCTAAACTTTGCATGTATAAATACTTGAAAACCTTCTGTGCCCACTGCGTATCATCAATTTCGGTCAACCTTTGTTCAAATTTCAACTTACTAATTGCCTCCCTGCTCTCAAGAGACGACCAGCCCATGTCCCTCTGTGCTCCCTCATTTGGTATCATTCCATTTCCTCCCAGTGCCAATCTGCCTGCGCTTCTTTGTCAAATCTGTAATCCTGATTAAACCTCTTGAATTCATGCACTGTATCCCATTGCCAAAAGACAGCCCTGGTAACATCACTCATTTCCATATACCCCTGACCACTTCATATCTATTATAGTTCCATGGTGCCTTCAGTTTCATAATATATTAATTTCTTTTCCCTTTTCTAATTATATTCTCATGTTCCTCTAGATATTTCCTTCCCTCAATGTGCCAGACTCCCAAATATTTGTATTTTCCTACATGATCTTTTACAATGTCTTGTATCCTCAGGGGTTCCCTCTTTTCGTCGTTAAACAACATTACTCCAGACTCGTCACTACTAAAACTCATGCCCAAGGTGTCCCCTTCCTCTCTGCATATTTCAGCTAGTTCCTGTAATGTATCCTAGTTATCTGCCGTGAGTACTATGTCATCCACATACATCAGTCATGGTATTACCTGTATTACATTTCTCCCTCCTTCCATATAACTCACATCAAAACCCAAGTTGCTCTGCTCTAATTTCATTTCCATTTCACAGAGATACATCATGAAGAGCAGAGCTGACAGTAGACAGCCTTGCCAGAGTCCTCTTTTTATCGCTGTGGGTTGTGTAGTTTCTGCTTCCCATGTAATAACTGCCTTATTGCCTGTGTACACCTGCTGAAGAAACCTAACCAAATTTGCGTCTAAATTATATCCTCAGCGTTTGGTGCAGTGCGGCCCCGACTCGCGGTTCTCAAATAACTAAATGTTAATCAACCATGAAAGCCTAATTTGCTAACGCTTGTCCCAGTGGGAGGACGGTCATGATCTCTGCTCAAAACCCTTGCTTTTATAATTTTGTTCACATTGCCCGGCACACCCCCCAGATCGTTTTTTCTTCTGTCTCAGCCATTTCCAGTTCACCGATAAACCGTTGAACGCGACAAGGAGCGCCCATTTCGGCGGCTGAGTCAAGCCAGCCAGCAGGCCGCAAAGCTAGGCAAGCCAATCTTCCGGCTGTCAACTCTCGAGCCAATTGGTTGGCACCGCACCGTACGCTTCCGGATACGCCACGCCCAAATACGGCGAAGCGTCGAGATCCGTGTCGGCCGGATCGCCCCAATACATGTGTATTTACGCCAACCTTGAGACGTCGACCCGCCGAAACGCCATGCCCTACGTAGTTCGGCCTTTAGAAGACCTATTTAAAAGAAATCGAGGAAGAGGCACCGAAGCAGACGACATGAGAAGAGCTGTGGTCGTGGTTTTTAACTTTATTTTTCAATAAAAAATAGCTTTTACAGAGACTGTACAAAAAATTTACCACTTATTTACATTTGTAGCAAGACACATCTCTAAAACGAAACCAGACACTTCCTTCCCATTTTTCGCAGTAATCTGCCCTCCCTATTTTTCGTCTCACTCAAATACTCGTCTTTCTTGTACTGTAGGAGAAAAAAAAAAAAAGAAACACCCATGGCGGAGGAAAGAAAGAACATAGTGTTCAGTTGGCAATCCCAGTGAAGAAGCTTTGGAGGATTCTCAGAATAGCTCCACTCTAAAAATAAAAGTCCACATAGGAGACAAAGCTACACTCCTGCATTCGTGTAGTTCAAGCCCATGCTCACATCAGTTCGACCCACATCCCTGTAATAACCAACTTAGCTGGAATGCAAATAACAAAACCAGTCCTATGAATACCCTCTATCACGTTCAAACGGTAACCAAGTCGGCAGGACTCGGTCATGTCATCAAACCGGTACAAGTTACTTCGATTCTCGTCAAACAGATTTCTTAAGGCCTTGACATAACCTAAAATAGGGAAAGAAAACAAATATATATAAAAGAGAGGGACAACACACAATGTCTCTGAATGCAGCTAACAGTTTTGTTCAAGACTGAACCCTTCTATAGGGGCAGGACACCCTCAATCAATGCCAGTTTTCTGGCTTTGACTGAAGTGTCCAGTCTATTTAAAAGGGTTCGGCGTTGAGTAAACTCTTAGCTGTGATCGGAGACGTTGTGTGTTGTCCCTTCCTTCTGTACGTCTCTTATCCTTCCCTGTCTCAGGTTATGTCAACTCTCAACTTTTCACCATCTTGCCTGTGCGCTCGCCCTTCTCTTTCAGTTGTTGAAACCCACATGTGCCCCTGCTAAGCACTTCTTCAAAAAAATCCTTCCAGTTCAATACCATACGAAACAGTTTGAAGCTTGATTCTGAAAAAACCTGCTCAAAAATACACTGCACCTAAGATTTCTGCTTGGAATGTATGTTGGATGTAGCTATGAGATGCCGCAGGACCTGCTGAATACCAGCCATCAGGGAAGACTCCAAAGCTTCTTCAACATCGAGAAAGAGTTTGCATAAAAAAACTAGAAAGTGGGAAAAAAACAAAAAACAAGAGTGAGCCCTCCACTGGCAGCGCAAGAGGAAGCCTATGAAAATTGAAGAACTAAAACTATGATAGTGACCCCGTCGTCTCAGTCATTCTTAAGCTTTTCTCATTAAGCGTCACATTCCCGACGTGCCACACAAGGCAAGCTCATTGTCCTCACATGCTCCAAAACTTAACGTATATACCTATATATGTACACATACAAACATGAGTTTATGTACAGAATGTGATAGGGGGGGGGGAAGAACTGCAACACAACCAAATAGCCCCACATCTCAAAATGTGGATGCCGCAAATGAGATTAAGGATGTTTTCTGGAGCGCTGCCCCTGGCCCGCTTTGAATTTGATTGGGGAATCAGTGTGCAGTTTACTGGGGGTTTAGGTCCACGAGGTACATGTGCATATGTAGGCATAAAAAAAAAAAAGTCAACTTTATGTACAGGCATTTGTTTCTTTTTTCTTTTTTTTATGTACAAGTTAACCATGTAAAGATGGGGAGAAAACACAGCCAGATATACTACCAGGAAGGTTCGACTTTCCAAGACAATGATGACAACAACAAAAAAATTGACAACGTCGAAAGCGCTTTGCAAAACAGAAAGCGCCTTTCTAAGTAAGAGAGAAAAAAAAGACGACAGAAAGGTTTAGCACGTTTGGGTACGGAAGAAACGTTGTGTCTTGCCGGGAAAAGTCGAAGCTCGTCATTATAACGAGCAACTTAAGACCAGCCTAAGTAACTGTGCATCTCTCTCCCCCAATGCATGCTCAACCAAACAAAAAAAAACAAGAAAAACTATATATTTTTTTTAATATTCTTGAGTATACGTCTCGAACAAACTGCTTTTGTGTGTAACGGCGGTTTTCGTTCATGAGAAGTTTAGAAAGGTCCGAAACAACCTTTTTCTATTACCAAATACCTTCACCAGCAAGAGCGAGAAAAAAAAAAAATAGAACATAAAAGCAATGGACCTAGAATTCATCACATTCACTTTCCTTTTTTCTTTCGGTCGACATGGCAACTTCGAAGTGCCGAGCCTTTTGCACCTCGACCCCAGTGTAAAAAAATAAATGCCTTACATCGTGACAAACAAGCGGAGCTGGGCTCGACGAAAAGACGGTGATTTCGATCGATTCCCCGACAGTAAATTGCATCCACTGGCAACCAACTCGAACGTGGAAAAAGGGTTGGAATTTCTTCCCGTTTCTTGACGTAACGGCGCAAATTACGGCACGCTCGGAGCCTCCATTCAATTAGCTTGCCCTTTTGCTGCTGAATGCGCCGAGTTCTAAGGAAAATAAACATTTCGACACCAGATAACATCAAACACTGTTTCTCCAACGAAGCTACGTAGGGAAGTGTCTCTGCGGCAAGAACGATAGATGACTCTGAGTAACAGGATGAAATGTAAATGAAAGAAAGAAAGAAAAAAAGAGGCCATCCACCGCTGCGGCCCACTTAAAGGAATGAGGCCTTCGTTTGAGGTCTGGCTAAAACTGCGAAGCATTTTCGTTTTGAAACAGTGTCTTCGAAAAGTCTCTAAACAGTCTCAAAAAAAAAAAAAAGAAAGAAAAAAGTACAGTAAGTAGGTTTCTGCTCTTTTCTTTCTTTTAAACTGACATGGAGCCAACCGCCCAATCAACGGGAGACTCGACTAAACAAAAACCTCTTAGCTAACACGCCTGCCAATTGCGCTGTTTGGCACCCGATAAAAGTAAACGAAACCACTTCCACTTTGACAATGAAAAACATATCATTAAGTACCGAAGTGACATCACCTGGTCGGCCCCCAAAAAAGGCATGGTAAAAACAGAAGAGCTAAAAAAAAAAAATATCTTGTACAGTTGAGATGTGCCTAAGAAATCAATTTCAAAATTTGACCTCCGCAGAACAAAATGTCACACAAAGGTCAAAAACATCTAGTACCGTAAAATCCTGAGCAAGTGCCCACTTAAAATTTGGAGATAATCGTGTAAGACTGGGTGATGGGCACTCCTTAGGTCAACAATATGTTGAGATATGCCCTGTATGTATTTTCCGAATGTACAAAATTGAGAGGAGGGCACAAAATGCAGAGCATCCGCAAAATTTTACGATACAGATGCTCGGCATTTTACGGTAATCTCAGGCCGAAAAAGAAAAAACCGCATAAAATGACGGAATGCCTAATTTTTCTGGGGCTTGTAGACGCGACCAGTAGTATCGGTTACCGGTAAGCCTCATTCCACTGCCAGATCCAAAACTGACAATTGGTGCCACCATCTAAAAAGGGCAATACACCCGCACACCATCCCGACTGACAAGCAGTCCGGTACCGGCGGTACCGGCCCCCAATAACAACATTGTTAACTTGTTTCAGAAAGAAAAACAATGATGAAGAGACGTCACTGGTTCACCGCCCCACACCCCGCGTGGCACTTGCGGCCGGTAATCAACCGGCGGACGACAGCACGAGACGACATGTGAACGTGGGACTCGATTTCCGCTCCAGCCCTGAAACTCTTGTGCGTCTGAGGCAGCGACCAATGGGGAGGGAGGGGAACGGTCATTGTGGATGCTGATTGGCTGCGGGAGGGGGGAGGGGTGCCGGGGGAGGGGCCACGGCGGCAGCTGACAGGAGCTCTCCAAACGAAGACTCGAGGCATTGTTTGAGCTCGGCGTAGCTTACGACGAGAACGTTCTGTTCGTCCCTGGACATGAGGCAGATCTTTTCCGGCACGCCTGCGTCCAGCTTCGTCGGTATGGGTTCAGGTATGGGGTGGGGCGGGGGAGAGAGGTAGGGGATGGGGAAGAAAAAGAATCCATTCGTGACTCGATTTGACGGCAGACGTACGGGAACTCGAGACAGTTTGGTGGTCAGTTATGCGAGACAAAACACGACTAAATACGACGGGCTTTCGGAACACTAGAGTTGACAATTGGGACAGTGTGTAGACCATTTTTAACAACAAACAGTGCAAAAGATAAACAAGCCATAGTTCTGCAGTGTGTTTGCCCCCTCTTCTTTCCTTTACTCTGTTTGCTTTTAACGAGGCTCGGGAATACCGACCCAGCTTTTAATAAAGCTTCCGTGTCAGTATCCCAAAAGGAAATGTTTATGTCTAAACGAGCCATAACCCTCGACAATGGTACTTTAATCTGGAGCCGGTAAAGTTAAAGTCAAACACAGGTCTTTTGGTAACACTTCACACACAGTTCACCAGCACAAGTGTAACAAGCAAAGAAAAATATTGAAACAAACAAGCACCTCAGGGCTACAACCCCATCCATCTAAAAAAAACGATAAAACCAGATATATAAGATAAAGAGCAGGAGTTCACAGTGGCCCACTTAGAATCTCCCACATTAAATTCCATATGAAATAAATGAACAAAGATATACACAAGACTATATTACCAAAGAGGAATCTACCAAGCACGTCGCCCTACGTCCAGATGCCGCACCCGTATATTGTCGGAGACAGGTTAAGAGCCCAGCAGATGCTCTGTCTCGAGTGCAAGCCTTCTGCCTTTGATAACACATCGTCGCATATGCAGCCAAAGTGCCCAGCAGAAGGCCATGAGCAAGTGCTGAAGGCGGAGCATCTGTTGGGCTCTCAACCAGTCGCCGACTATAAGTGTGCTGACGTTTAAAAAAAAACACTACCCCCCCCCCCCCCAAAAAAAAAAAAAAAATTCTGCAAGAAAAGTTGATCTTGAAAATTGCCATATTGACGTCCACCAACATCTAGAGAGTATTCCCAGAAAGTTTAATTTGTTTGCACTGCATAGTTATTTTTTTAAATTATTTTCGGTCCACGGACACTAGAGAAAAGGTAGAAGTCCGAGCACTTCAAACAAGTTTTTCTCCGTTCCACTTTCGGGCATAAATTTCACTTAATAAATCCATCGTTCCAGTATGAAACTATCGAGACACTTAATTTTTGCGGCTTATAGTATACCAAAGAGTTTATGGAGCCAGTTACTATAAATTTAGATTTTGCATTTTCATGTCCCTTTACTATGAAAAATTGTAATTTGCAAAACTTAGTAAGTGTGAACTGTTCTTTTTATTATTTTTTTAGGTAAAACATTTTATATTTTGTGAAATATTTTTTTGTAGACCTTAGCAACAGGTATTCCAGTATGCATTCCAACAACAAAATATGTGCTTATCAACACGATTTTACAACGATAGATACCATGCCAAGCTATGCTTTACTTCGTTCCAGGGGTATGGTACCTCATAAAATTGTTTCACAGGCCTGAAAGTTTGCACGCCTTCCTTCTATATGGCTATAAACAACACTTGCAAGTTTCACGCCAATTCTGTGAGCAATTCAACAGTTGACATCTCCAGTAGTGTGAGCTAATCCAGCCCCTCGAAGTCGCAGATACGAAGGGTGTGAACCGTGTACCTTGTTCAGAGCTTGCACCACGTGTGCCACGTCGATCCACGGCCTGCTGTCCTTGGTCACTTGGTGAAAGAGGTAGTCTCGAAAGAGCTTCAGCATGTACCGGTCCCCGGTTTCAGACCACGACGAATCCAGATGAAACCTGGCCGGACATCGCAGAAATTGAACGACTTCCGAGCGTCCTCGCCCCTTCTGTACTCCGTTCACCCCTAAACTAACAGTGCGCTTGCCGAACCATTCCACCGCCTTCTTTTCATTGCCCGACCCTGCTTCCTTTGCACTAGGGTGTGGGCAGGAGCGTGAGCATGTGGCGAAAGATGAACGGACCCCTGGTCCTACAAGCATGTAGCATCCACCGCACTGTCAGCTCAGGGGTGAGCGGAGTATACGGCATATTCTCCAGAGGCATACGCTCCCATGACACTGATCAAACCCCCTTTTGAAATTAAGCACATGTGTACCAATCCGATTTGAGAGGGTTCGGCGTTTTGTCGAAGAGAAACACACTCAAAAATCGGGTTTCTTTAAAACCTTCTGCACGTGAAACATCTTGTGAAATTATCCACAGAATTCTAGCTCAGCAATTTTAGAAGAGTGTGTCAACATATCCTTTTTGAAGTGATTCTTTCCAACTGTTTACTCATCAGTGAGAGTAAGTATGGGGCAATGAAACCATTGCAACGGCATCTTCGGAGACTCCGCTAGCCCGCCCACTTCCCGAAAGTCTCCAAGTTTGTGTGTGAAGTCCCTGCTGTAGCAGTCTGTCAATGAAACATTTCGAAGTCCTCCCTTATATAAAATCCTCAGGGAGACTTACATTTTGAACCGCCCACACTCTCTATAAAAACTGCCCAGATTATGTCTCAGTAGAAAACTGTCGAGTTTTAGGTGAATTCAGCACATGTCTCCCAGCAAGGCACCTCGGAGACATGGCACCAGCAGACGCTTGCACTGGAAATTCTGGAGAATCCGCCACTGGCCTACTATAAAAACTTAATTTCTAAGAATGCTCTCTTATGCAAGAGAGAACATACTACTTTAAACATTGCTTAACCCAAAAAAAGGCACTTCCAGAGTCCTTTAATACCGTCATACTTCCATAAGCCATCTAACCCATTTGCTTATGCTTCGTGATTAATTCTTCGGCATTCTTATAAGGGAGATCGGTCACTGAGCACGTAAGCATGCCACAGCTCGAGGCACGTCGAGCGAAAGCTCGCTCTGCAGAACCCAGGAATCCTGGTCTCCAGTCCCACCCCTGCGTGTTTCAATCTGCATGAACTTCATACCGGCATAAGGTCATGTATCGCTACTGTGTGGTGCACGTTAAGGATTCCGGGCTAGCAGTGGTACCGTACCGGCAAAATTTCTCGTCTACAGCGTAACACGAACGCCAAATTTGGTTTTTGGGAGCACCAATATCTGAACACGTCGACGTTCAACCGGTTGCAGCCCGTTTGCGCACGCACGAATAACAATGCAGCCTCTGTGTGTGCAAGATTCGTTCCAAATTAAACGAAGAGACAGACGGAGAGGTGCCCAAAGCGTACTCACTCTGGCCTTTCGCTGATGGTGCCCAGTTTGATGAGCATGCGGAATAACCTTCCATTCTCCACCTCCTGCGAGCAAACACACGCGCAGAGGAGGTGAATACGCCGTCGACTTTTTGGGGGGTCGAGTTACTTTTTACCCTGCTGGCCCCCCGGGTCATCGTCGTTCTACGCTAAAATCCGTACAGAAACTCGGTGGCTGTAAAAATAAAACTTGTCGTCAAACCATCTGCAAAAAAGAGCCGAAAGTGCCGGACCGTGGACTGTGCAAGGAGCAGTTTCAGGATTTTGGTCTCTATCCGTGCAGGAAAGTCGCAGTCACGCGGCAGATACGTCGCACAATAAAGACACGGTGTTTATCACAGACACAATGGCATACATTATCTCTAACATAATTACCAGGCACAACTCGAACATTCCAAGCATGTTTTCTTTGTTTACATGTATGCTTCGATCACATCTGTGGACAGTTTTTGCATGACCAGCGAGAAAAGGGCAGTCGTACAGAGAACAAAGACGCCTCGGATGGCGTCTGCGCATCTTCTGTACGATGCAATAGCAGGACGACTGCGGCTTAAAATCTCTCCCCGTTCCTCTCATTCGCAGAACTGTTACCATCCTCCCCTGAGGATTCGTTACAGAAACTTGCAGAGCCCTCTTTGGGGGTTGTCTTCCCCGCCAAGAAATCGTCTTCACCGTGACTCGAATCGCCAACATCTTTTCCATAAAAGGGCGAACAGAGAAAAAGCTGCCGTGGCAGACGACGTGCGAGCGTGCGCGCCGAATTTCTTTCGCCTAAACAAAAAGCAAAGAAAAACGTCATTACTTACTCTACCTCGCGTATGGCTGAAAAAAATCACGAGTCGAAATTGTCGGGGCGTGAGCGACAACTGACCTCAAAGTGGAAGGGAAAACGTCGAGAGAACCCCAACACCTGACCGTGGCGAGAATGTTTTTTTGTCTGGTGACATCAGGCAGATCGCCTCAAAATGTTAAAAAACCACTAAACAAATTTTAAAAAAAAATTTTTTTTCCTTGGAAGGGGTGGGAATAATTTAATTCAGCGGTTCTCGAATGGGGTTCTGCGGACCCTCAGGGGTCCGCATCCTGCGGGTCCGCATCCACAGGGGTCCACAAAGCTTTTGCGTCAACAGACCCCCCCCCCCCCCCCCCCGCCCCCCCTTCCTCCAAACCTCTTTCCTTGAAAATAAAAATGTTTTTGTTGACTCTCGCTAGGTGGCGCAAGCTACTGCCTGTTATAAAGAAGGGCGGTATTTTGCCTATAACAGTAAAGGATGCCCTTTTTACACAGCAGTTAGTTGTCTCATTTTACAATCCCCCTCCCCCCTTTCCCCTTTTTCTCGCTATCACTTTGGCGGGTCCCCAAGGGGTACCAGACACATCTATGCTTGAGAACCACTGATTAATTTATGCACTCTCAGCATCCCAAAAATACCCAGAACTATTATCATGCAGATCTGTTCATCTCCAGATTAAAAATGTGACAAAAGAAGCCAACATGCCCCCAAGCTAAAGTTACTACCTCTGCGTTAAAAACTCCGCGTTAAAACTCGATCGGAGGTTGCGACACGCTCCTTTTTTCGACGTGCTCCCGTGTCGCAGGAACACCGTCCGTCAAATTCAGCGGGACGTAAACGCGCTCAATTTAGACGCGGCAGTGTAACCACGCACAGCATCCTACTTGTTGCCACACTTCATATTTAGGGCAAGGGCAGGGCAAGGGCATGGCAAGGAACCAGCAAGTTATCTCCAACCTCGAGCTATAGAACAAAGCCGCAAATCTGCAGCACTCCCAGTCAGGGGCAGATGCAGGAATTTCCTAAGGGGGGGTCAGCTGTTGGTCAGCGTACCATATGTTTAGGAACCCCCTCCCCCTCTCTTTCGTTTTATGCCCTAAATTTTACACATGCAGAAATCAAGAAGGGGGTCAGGACATCTGGACCCCCCCCCTCTAAATTTGCCCCTGCTCCCAGTTCCGCACACAACACGAAAAACAAACGCTCAGATGGAAACCAAGAAGCAACCCACCTTCGCAAGTTCATTCTCTATAACATCGCTGCGCATTTGGGCGGCATCCAGTTGCGTGTAGAACCTCGCTCCAATCATGGGCATGATGTCATTAATACTGTGCGTGCGAGGCGGAGAAGACAACAGGTACCTGAAAACGCGCAGAGGTTCGAGGTCACCGGGGGCCCACAACAGACAGTCAAAATCAACCGGAGAGTGCACTGGTAAACGTAATGTACGCAGAAAGAAAAATGTAAGAAGTGAACAGCACAGAATGTGTTATATGGCTGGCACCTAATAACTCTTTTCTGTTTCGCATTCCTGTTATGGAAGACCGTCACACGAAAGCTGCATCAGTGTTCGGCTGGAAGCTATCCCTCACTGACCAGTTTTGTAGACTCTCGAAGCTAAATGGCAAAAGAGCTCTAATGCACTAACTGTAGTGCAGTGTACATGGGTACCGCAGTATTCCGAAAGATAGTGCACCGAAAATCGAGAGCAACTTAAATAAAAATGAAGAGCAAACTAACATTCAATGTGCTATTAAAAAAAAAAAAGGGCTTTTTTTGGTTATTTGTTAACCCTGTTATCAAATTTGGGGACGATGAAGCATATCTCACTGTTCTCCCCAGTCAGCAATGTTCGCCTATCATCCGCCGTAGATAACTAATCTAATTTTCACCGAGGTCACCATTGGCCCGAGCACTGCAATTACTAAAAATAAATTATTTTCTTGTTAATAAAAAAAAAAATAATAGTTAATTATCACAAAAATAGTAGGTGTGTGTGTGTGTGTGGGGGGGGGGGGAAGGGAGGGGGAGAGTGTTATCTTTCGGAGGTGGGTCATCTCTGGGGATATTACAGTACTGGTGTGTTCTCAGTGCCGGAAGGATTTGCAACTTTGTAACGTGGCTCTGCAAGTACAGCGCGTAGCAGACGACGAGGGTAAGAGAAGCCACGCACAAGATGAGGTTCCTGAGGTCGGCGGAATAGTTCCGAGACACCAGTTCCATGGACTGCTGCAGGTTTTCCCGCTGGATGGCTGCCATGGTGTTGCAGGCCAGGGCCAAGACCAGCTTGCCCAAGGATACCAGGTCTTCTTGCTGCAACGGGCGGGCACGGCGGCACACGGGATTCAGCGGCCGGTCAACAAATGTCGCACGACCCATTGAACAAATTTCAAACACAAGTATACTTGTTTGGGCGCCAACAAACGTAGTACGGTGCCTTAAACGCAACTGGTCTGTTTAGTGTCCTGTTCCGTCTGAGCATCGAAGTTCGTTCCGAAGCGGCAACAAACGACTCTACAAAAGCCGGAGTGTCAAGCCATTGGATATGGCAATCCCGGTGGTTGGTCGCAGAAATCCCGGCAAAAAATGTTGAGCCCTTCCACTTCACGTGAAGATGGAGGACCAGCGAAGCTGTTATCTTTATGACGCCTAGGACCATGCCTAGAGGACGACATCTAGGACGACCTCAAGGATGCCGCCTAAAAGTCGACGTCTAAGATGACCTCAAGGATAACGACTAGGACGCCCTCGACCTTGAGGACAACGTCTAGGACGATCTCAAGGACAACTTCTAGGACGACCTCAAGGACTACATCTAGGATGACCTCAAGGACGATCCCTAGGGCGACTTCGAAGACGATTGTCAAGAGGACGTCGTCCTCTAGACAACGTCTTCAAGGACGACTTCTAGAACAACACCCAGAGAAAGTCAGCCTTTCCACTCTGGTGAAAACCAGAGTGGAAAGGCTGGAAAGGTTGCCGCCGTCGCTCATAGATGGTGGTAGCTGTCTCGAGTTTTGTGTCTACATTTGTTTGTCCACGGACACGATAATGGGGAAACTATTTCTTGACAGCGCCGCTGTAAAAAGCACAAGCAAACGCAAGTGTCGCTGTTGTAGCGCCGTTCCAACCCTCGGCTGCCGAGGCTTCCGCGGACTGTCGTGCTGGAGAGCGACCTGCGGCAGAACGTTCGTCTGCCACATACACCACCGCTGCTGCGACGCCACAAGGATAGCGGCCGGCGAAGATGCGACACTTCCTTGGCGTCATCCGGCAAAAATTGGGGGACCATTTTTGTGTACGCAATAAACACACCACTCGGAGATGCATTGCAGGTATGATGATCGTAATAAAGGGCGTTCGGCTCGTTCGCCAAACAAATTCGACTCCCCGCGGAGCGCCGCCGCGGTACTTAGGTTGTAACTTCAAACTTCGCCAATGTTTTATGTTTGTGCCTCCTTATAAATAGGCCTGTGTACAGGTAAGTGTAAAACATTGCTTGGTATGTGTAGCTATTCTTATGGCAAATAGCTACTTTGCCTCATATCATATTTAGATGAGTTTCTGATAATTAAAACTTCTGGTATTTCAAACTAAAGTCTCTGGCTTCTTGGAGTCTGAATTAACTAGAGTCGACTGTATCGCGGACACAGCTGGCTACAACATGAGAGCGGTGAATTTTCTGTGCTTCCAGTGCCACGCTCTCTACAGGAGGAAACACCCTTGCGCTTCTTCTCCCAGAAACCGACTGCTCTTCCAGTTTGCACTCGTGCTACCTATTCGGTCGTCTGCTAGGCACGAAGCAGACGCCACCCCAGAGCCCGTCGACGTCATAGCCACAGCTGTGTCCACGATAATACGGTGACGTCCTCATTTACATGAACACCTCCGTTCCCCCTAAAAAAGTTGTCCATAATGCGAGTTGTTTGTAATAACGAGACAAAAATGAATGCATCTACCCAGTTCGTCCCCGATAATGCGGTCTACATAGCAGGATGTTCATATTAACGAGACGTGATGACCGTACCTTAGCTGAGCTGTCAAATTACGGGACCTCTGCGCGCATCTGAAATACGCGACGATTAACCGCAACTCCATGGACGTACGGGCTTCCTCCGACAAAAGGGAAGGGGTGGCTCCACCTGGTAGTGGGGCACGAGGGCCTTGGAGTTGGGCACGCTCGCGTCGAAGGTGAGCACGTCCATGATGCCGCAGCAGTTGAGCCGCAGCCGGGACTTGCCCATCACCAGGATCTTGCTGGGCTCGAAGGAGCGGCAGGCCAGGCCCGCCGCATGGATCGTCCTCAGCACGGAGCTCAGTTGCACCACAAAGGCCCAGATCAGGCTCTCGGGGAGCAGGCCCGCATGCTGCCGTAGAGAGCCCAACCCTGCATGATCGAATCGATGGTGCGGCGTGACCGCGGGGTTCACAAGGCACGTACCGTTATATCTTGAGAAATGCCCCACCCGAAAAATAGCCCACCCCTATACTAAGGCAATAGCGTTAATGAGCTCGTGTCACAAAAAATCCCGCGTCGGTAGCATTGCAATGGGAAAATCTTGGTTGGTCGATAGGGTCATGACGTCACAGCCACATGACCTCGAGCGGGAATTTCAAACAACCCCCAACGCTCACGTGAAACGAGACGTCACACGTAGAATGGAAGCGATTAATACGTGACATGAAATATGAATTAAAGGTCATTGCATGCCTGAAATGATTTTACTCTATAGGCACACTCAACTGACTGACGCCACGCCACCGCGGTGGCGCTGCTGTCGGTGTTGTGCATGCATAGTTGCTTCACTCCTCCTAAATTCGTTGAGACGTGAAACCTCCACGATTCGAGGCTAACGGCAATAAGAGTGGGCCAAAGTTGGCACGAAACTTCTCTGCACATCCGCGACCCGTTGAGAAAAGTGGGCTCACCAGACTTCCCGTGCGGGAAGGGCCTTGTGAGACCGTTGGCCGTCTGCGGATACATGGGAGGGCAGAACCCGTTCAGCGCCGGCGCAGCACCGGCCGACTGGCTGAAGTACTGGTTCATCAACGTGTCCGCACCGGGGTGATAGTCATAGACAAACACGATGGCTGCAAATTGCAGAGTCAACATCAGCGCAGCATGTGGGCTCCAGGAGTAGAGTGATTTGGGACAGCAGATGCAACAAGAATGAAACTGCACAAGGCTGTTGGCAATAGTCGCAGACAAGAGCAAAGACTGCAAAATGCGGAGTTATCCATTAGTACAGCAAGTGGGCTCAAAGAGTAGACAGATTTGGGACAGCAGATGCATTTTAACAACATAACTATGAAGCGATTTCGAGGGTGGCTAAAAAAACTGAATACACTGAAGCAATGGACACCTAGTAGGCTTGCAGGCTTCGAAACTGCTTGCACGCCAGCTGAAAACAGCATCAAAATATTTTTAAAACCGCGAGTTCACTACATAGCCAAAGTCAAGGAAACACCTCACCACAAGCTTGCTCTACTGATTGTGTAAGTGACCCCAAAACTTCCAATGGGAAGTGAAGACTATGATCAATGTTCTATCAAAAACCATGAGTTGTTAAACTTCGACGGCGTACCCATAAACGTGTTTGCAGCAGCAGCCCAACCTTGTGACATTTCAATCTTGTTTGCAATTGCAACACTGGAACTATACGTACAAAAATATTTGGAGAACATCGTCAACATTAAAGTCCACCTCACATTTCCTGCCGTAAAATTTTCATAGATATTTGCATTGCCACACAATTTAGCTAGAAATTTTCACCTATTGCAATCGCTATCTAACTTAAAATCCGTACATCAGTATGAATGCTGAATTCATACCAACTCCCCATATAAGACAATGAGTCAGCAGAAAGAAGCTGCAGAGAACTTGCTCAATTGGGCTCAACTACCTATGTCCATTGAAGCAAAGGGTGGATAACTCCACATTGATTGCGATCTCTTCTCGTCTCAGGGGGCTCTGTCTTTAACTCGTGCAAGTGGCAGAACCTGAACTGCTTTTTACGAGAAGCATATCAAGGGGTTATTGAACAGACCTAGTGCACCAACAACCCGACAACAGCAGAGTTCAGAAAATGAACCAAGAAGTTGGACAAGACATCTTAAGGGGGGAGTAGTTAGCTCCTTGCCTGACTGTAGCTCCGAGTGGAGATAGAGGCCACAATGTTTTCGTAAGACTCTAAAACTAAAGATCTCTGAAGAACTCAACAGAATGCAACCATAGTGCCGTTTTACTGCTCACAGTGGTCTCCAAAAGCCTTGGTGGTGAAGACTTCCCGAAGGTGGACCATGTTGGAGTGCTGCAACTTCTTCCAGAGGTCCACAACAGACATGCACTTAGTGCTACTCAGACGAAAACCTGATCAAAACAAAGAAGAGATAAAAAAAAAAGAACAATAAATACCAAACGCTCTGAACAGTGAAAAAAAACTCATACAGAAAGCCTGGACGACTGCAAAGCGAAAGCTGATATTAAGCTAAAACAAAAAGCCCCGATTTCTTCACGTGCTTATGTCATGAAATTTTAGCACTTATATAAGTTGTAAAATCTAAAGACATTCAGCAATTTTCGTAAGTAGCCCACTTAGAAGTTCACTAAGGCCTGCAAAAATGAAGTGGTATCACTAAGAGTACCGAAAAGTTCCACAGCAAACTAAAAAAACAAATTGAGCAGTCTTGTGCTATTCCACAGTACACTCACAGCGAAGTCGTCGGGCATCGGCGTCGCGTTCGGAACAAAATAGACATCTGACCACTTTGTTCCAGACACTTTTGTTTCTTTTTTTGTTCCGGATTGCATGAAAGCACGTCTCCCGGCACGAGCTCTTGGCATTGACAGTGCCACAACAGCATTTTGTTATTGGCTATTTTTTTTTTTTTTTCAGAGCACATGCAGTCAGCATTGGGTACTACAAAACTTCCTAGTCTAAAACGGGTTCATAGCTCAGTGCTAACGCCTCTGTTCGCACGCAGCGGACCCAGGTTTGATTCCCGCAGGTGGCGGGAGATCTTTTTCAAGGATATGGCAACATTGACGACGGATGCCCTACAACGCCAACAGGTACAACATCAACAACAGCAGCTACTACTACCACTACAACATCAACAACAGTTGTCGTTTGTAGTAGTGGCAAGAGCCCATAACAGCTATCACTATAAAAAGTAGGTAAAATATGCGGATGAATGAAACACATCGATCAAATGGGATGAATGTTACAAAGTTGCCGAAGGACAAAAAATTTGCCGATTCATTTGTCTGCATGCTGTAAACGACTCAATTTCTGCAAGAACCTAATTTTTGAACAATTGCAAAAGAGGTTCCGCCAACAATTCTAGCAAAATGTTGACATTTCAGATGCTACATCGAGAGGCTGTGCTTCCTTGAGCAACAATCTAACAATGGAAAAAAAGGACACGCAAAGGTTCTCACATGATCATTACATATGTTCTATTAGTAATGTAAGTATTTAAAATATCTGAAAGAAAATAATACAATAAGCCGGAATTCATGGTCACCTCAATAGACCCTTTCCAAAATTCAGTGCCATCTGGTGGTTCGTAAAGCAATTTAGGTTTTGACATATCAATGGCGATAATGAACTTGTATCGGCACCGTCACTTTCGCAAGTCAACGGCATGCGAGGAATCGTTCAGTTTGAGTTATTCCTCGATCCCTTTCAGTTCGATGGTGACCAAAAACCTGCATTCAGAACAAAGCTCCAACCCACTCAGATGCCTTGAGAAAATTTTATACACCAAAGTGCTTTAAAGTCAATTGTGTGCCACCCATAGTTTGACTCAATCTGAGTTATTAGAAATAATCACTTACGTAGCTAGCTCTTGTGTTCCATTTCTACGTCGCGTCGCACTGACCCCCCGAATGTACAGGCCTCGCAACATCGCTTACGAGCATCTTCAACCTATTTCTTTATCAGTTACTAGAGGGCCGCCATTGGTATGGCACAGATGCCGTTCCACAGATGATGATAGTGATCAAAGTGGCCAGACTGAATTTCGGAAAGGGTCTATTCACAGCAACCGCAGATAATAATTTTTGATCCGTGAAAATTAGAGCCCACAAATAATTCAAAATTTTCAGCTTTGGCCCAAGTCCCACAAAATGTGAGCCTGCAAAAAATAAGTCGTTTAGAGTATTTCAACTCTTTCCTTTTTAGAGACCACATAAGATTACGGAAATGACCCGTGATAAGAAAAGTAGGCCATAGACATCAAGACTTTCACGACATCACCAAGATCCTCACCGTGAACTCTTCTCAGGCAATAATAGATGCCGTTCTTGATGTTGGTGGCCTTGTAGACCGATGTCACAAACCCAAACGTGTTCGATTTTGGCGGGCCGTTCGTAGGACTTGCCTCCAAGAGGCAGAGGTTGTGGTAAGTGTCCACTTCCGTTGGCAAGTCTGCAGGAACATAAAACCTTTGAAACCAATCACACTCAATTTTTCTGCAAGTCAGATTAAGGCTGCAGGGTTTAGACAAGTGCGGAGCACACGCTTTCATGGGACGTAGGCTCATTCTAAACCTTGTGAGAGTTAAAATTTGCATGCTGCAACAAGCCTCCAGACAGCTTCATGCTCACAACCCTTATTCGTGTAACTCAAAGAGGCAGGCCATTTTCCATTTCTAGAACCCCGATTTATAAAGGAAGTCTCAGATCTGAGTCATCACGGTGTTAAGCAAACACAAAGAAAAGCAAAAACAGACCGTAAGTCAGCATGACCAAGTAAACCTATCTAAACAAGCATCAGTTACAGTTTTGTCCATAGGACATCCTTCAAATTCTCAATGAAAGGCAGTGGTGACCAGATGATTTTGTACCAAAATGCACGTTTTGGGCGATTGATTTCGTAATTACAGTTACGAGTTGGCCACATAAAAAATAGTGCACAGCACAGACCGGATGATTCACTGATCCTAAAATCTAGTCACAATCAAAATACCTCACAAACCCTTCCTGCCAACCAAGGTGGCGCGCTTTCAAGTAACAAATGACAACAGAAAATAGAAAAACGCACCAGGATTGGCTTCAGGGTTTCGTTGGCCGAGGGTTAAGCTCTGGCGATGCAAGATGTCCTGCAACAAAGGAAACTGATTACGAAACAAAACCTGCAGTGACAAAACAAGCTGATCCTTGTTCAGAGATCTTTAGAAACTTTGTCTTAAACATCTCATTTCATGAAATATTTTTCTCCAACACGGTCTGTACTGTTACTCAACTTGATCTGTGCTACTACCATTATTGTATTAGTCGGTATAGCCAACACTAGGGAACAGGTATGCTAAAACAACTCTTAAAAAACACATACAAAAAAATGTTTTTCAAGTGCTTGGATAGAACATGCATGGCACAAAAAACACCATAAAAAAAAAAAAAAAAAGAGAAAAAGCTTCCGTCCAATATTTAGGTTGCGAGACTCATTTTGAAGATAGCAACGGGTTTCTATTTGGTGCTTGTATTTCAGGGTGGCATGCTGCAATATAAGCACGTTGTGCAATCACTTCTCACTCAAAATGAGATTCACAAAACAAATAATGTGCTAAATTGTTTTTTTTTTCTTTTTTTACATGAAAAGTTTATTTTGTGGTCTACGTCTGCAATCCGGAAACTTAAAAAAACAATGTTTTTTTTGGAAGTTCTCTGGGAGCGATTCCGAAATAAGCTTCCATTTCGGGTCGACATGCCAAAATACCTGCATTGTCTTTTAACTCAAAATGTGTATCGCAATGCAAAAACAGCGCTTCAAAAGTTATATCTTTTTTTTCAGTAAAAGTTTATTTTGTGACATGTGTGGTATTCAAGCACTTGAACAAAGAAAAAGGGTTTGGAAGCTCATCACGTCTCGAGCACAAAGAATAGAGGCACTAAATGACCCACATTTATGTCACATTCAATTGGGGCGCACCACACCACACCGCACTGCACCGACGGACGCGTCGCGTTCAGATGGTCGTGTCGGTGCGGCTGCACTACGTTCATTTGGGACTTGGTGCGGCGCACGACACCGGCGCGTTGCTGCACCAGCTGCACCGTCGAAAGGAGACCGTGCAGCTTCGCACACTGCGGGCCGGCGCGGCCTTGAGCTGCCTTGAGCTACCGCTCTCCGCCTCCTTCTTCCCTTCTTTCCCTTGCTTCGTCTTCCTCGTCTCGGTAAACATGGCGGCTTGGGAGACTCTCGCTAGATGGCGCGCGCCGCCGCCCCACTCGCGGCGGATTTTGTTCAATGATCCACCCGTTTATGTTTTGCCCTTGAAGTGACCGCGCCAAGCGCGTTGCACGGCAAAATGCTTCGTGTTCACTTGGTAGTGCGTCATACGCTGCACCCGCGCGGTGGCGCGGCCTTGGGGGCAGCATTTTCTCGGTGCTGCGTGCGCCCCAATTGAATGTGACATTAGAGCGTCGGCACTCGATTCCCCGATTTTGCTGCGGGCGCCGCCATTCTGGTGCTTAGTGCAGAGCAGGCGAACATGTAAATTCGAAAATGCGGCTTCCCGAGCTCCAAATTCGGCGCCGGGAAGCTCAGGCGACGTCGTTCCAATTCGTCGCAGATTGTATCAAGATTTCTGGGGGACAGAAAGCCGTTTCCCACGACCTCACACAAAGCTTCGGATGAGTGGCAACAACGGTTTCGGAACCAAGATGGCTGACGCGTCGTCACGGTGCCTGGAAGCGCGTCTCCGATCGGCGCGTCTACCCCGTCGTTAGGAAGCGGTACCCCAATTTCCATCCAACACCGCCGCAAAAGCGTCACATTGACGCCCGTCGCGATCCAAGGGGGGGGGGGGGGGGGGGGGTGCATGGCAGCGGACGCGAGCACGGCAGACGCTCGTTGCGCCACAGGTCACCCTCCGGCCGGTCGAAGGGAACCAAACCAGATGCGAGGGGGACGCCATGACGACGGCGACCCTCGGCTTTTTCGCTGCAATGGACCCTTCCCGAAATCGTGAAACGACGCATAGGTTATGTGCAGCCACCGGCCTCGTCGCTTCCAACGTGAAGCCGTGATCGCTTCCGAGTTCGCGCCGAGCACTGACGCAGCACTAGTGTGGAACGTGTTTCGATCTGAGTACAATCTGAATGCTGACGACCAACTGCCGGGATCGCGCCGCCCCCCGTGGCACCATCTGTTCCCACTTCGGAACCGCTTTCGACACGTTCCACACACCATGGCGTCAGAGACAAGATTTGGGCAGCATCGTTATGCCGGCACGTAGCCTATGAGGAGCGCAAGTTTGTCTGTTTTTTTTGCAGGGGATACGGTGACATCAGAACACTGGGCTCGGATTGGCTTCAATTGAAGGATAGTGGGTAGACCTCAAAGCAAGCTGCCTTGAGGTCTACCTACTATCCTTCAATCAGAGCCAATCGGAGATCGGCGTTTCGCCGTCATTGTAACCCCTGCAAAAGAAGCAGACAAGCTTGCGCTCTGCACTTGGCGGCTCAAACGGAGATCGTGCCAGGAGGTACCATTCTGAGCTCGTCGGGAAGAAAGAAGGAAGGGGCGTTGGCCTTGGGCTTCATATGCTCTACGTGCGCCGGGTTGCCCGGGTACACCTGGTACTCGGGTACCATGACTGGCTGGCCCTCCTCTGTCGAGCTGTTGGCTTCGTCATGGTGGTAGAAGTAGGTCGTGCCGCCCAGGGATTCCTGCACCGAGAGCACCCGCCGCAGTCGATTATACGACACTCCGGTACAGTTCGAGCGCAAAGACGAGAAATACGATAGACTCTCGGTAGTTCAAAGTCCACTTTATTCGAATTTTCAGTTAGTTTGAAGCAGAGGTGAGGTAACGGTGACAGTGCATAAGAGTCTACGGGAAAACAATGTGTGGCGATTCAAAGCTTAGCCTCTGGGACTGGTTAATTCGAAGGATTTTTTTTTTTATGTGCCTGAGAAGTTCAGCGACTTCGGGAGCATGAAAGAGAATCGCAATTATGCCGACCAAGCTTAAACTGCACCCGTGCACAGTTTATTGCTTTTGTCTACTGCATGCGTGGTTGGGAAAAAAAGGAAAGGTGTGCGCGGTGTGCGACTAAGCTGCCAGGGGGCCAACCCAATTAAGCGGCTAAGCCAGGTACGTGGCCAAGCCATGCCAAACCACACCAAGCCGGCGTGGCTACGGGCGCGTGCATCGTGGAAGCAAGCAGAGGTGCACGGCGCTAACGGCCAACGAAGCTCAATTCGAGGCATTCCCCAGCTCCGCGAGATGTTTTGTCCGCGGAATACATTGGTCTCAACAAACGAGCCATGGTCTGTAGTCCGCTTTCGGACAGTGACATTGTGCAAGTAGATAGGCCTAGATGATGACGTCACTTTCCGCGGCCGCCGACGCAGAAACTGCTTGTGACACCACGAAGTACAACTTTGCCCTTCCTTTGGCAACGAAATTGCCAAAGGTACCCTGCAAAAGGTTGGCATTGCTGAGAATAGCTAATAATGCTTCTTGAATTAGTGGAATGCCGCACGTCTCCATTAGCGGAAGCAAGCAAAAACCAACTTATCCCGTCAAGTACTGAATAAAGAAAACAAGAAAGTATGGTTGGTGTTTTCTTTTTTTTAATTCAACGTATTTTACCGTTTTTGTGAGCTTCAAATTATCGAGAGTCAACTGTATTGTCTCAATGAGCAAAGAATGAAATGGTCAGTTTTGTTTGTTTGTTTGTTTATTAATGCTGCCTACCAACAGCTACATGCACTTCCGGTGGTACGTCGCAACACGTACAAAAAAAGAACATAAAATTTTTAAACACTTTTATAGCACGTTTCAAGCAAACCATTTGCCTCCACCCAAATCTAGCGCTAGTGGTCGAGACCAGATGCCAAAGTTTCAGAACTGACTGTTATCTCATTCAAAAGTTACAAGTGATTTTGTGAAACTTCCAATGGGAAAATGGGGTCCATCCCCAATTGGCCATCATTTTCACATTGAGAATTTCCAAACATTGCTGATCACTTTTGTAGTGTCATGCAGATATTGATATTTTATAATAGTAGTAATTTCAAATAATATGCTATTCAATATTTGCTTTGAGAGGAACTGCGATATTCATATTTTTCAAAGTGTTGATTGCAGCAGGTTAGCCCAGAGCTGTATATGTAGAGAGTTTGGCCATTCATTGGGAAGTATAGGAGACAAATGAAAAGGCACCATTGGCCGAAAGCAGGCTGAGCATGTTCCAGGGCATCTTCACAAATTCTAATGTGACCAACCTGGAGTCGGAAATAATACCCTGGCGGTGGTCGCAAGAAACAAAATTAATAAGTGCGTCGGAGGGACTCTCGGTGAATGAAAATATGGTGCATGCAATGTTTCAATCACGGTCAACCAAGATCATGGTGGAAGAGCGCAACTAGTAGAACGAATGACATAATCCGTACTCCAGGCACCGGGGGCTGGGAATCTGCTGTCCAAGCGGTCACTCCGAGCAAAACAGAGTTCGAGCAGCCCATTCGTTTCTTACATTTTTCTGCATGATCATGATCGAAACATCATGTGCCCCCCATTTTTAACCAGGAAGGGTTACCACATTTAACTCTTACGCACTTATTAAAACCATACACCTATGATTAAAACTGTTTCTCGCTACCACCACTAGGATATTCTTTTCGGCTTCTGGTTGGCCAAGAGAGCATGTGAAGCCCTCTTTCTGCGTCTGGTGCACGTCCTGGCTTCTCCCGCGCCTCCCATTGACCAAACTTTTTCTATGCACGGCTCTGGGTTAGCCACGTTGAGAGGGCTTCTTAATGAGCACCCGTGCACTGCGGGGAAGCAACACCCGCAAAGCTTGCTTCAGCGGGTGTGGCTTTGGTGCACTGCGGGGAAGCAACACCCACAGAGCTTGCTTCTGTGGGTGTGGCTTCTACCCAGTGCACCGGTGCTCGGTAAGAAGCAGACTCAACGGGGCTGACCCGTTCCGATCAACACTTGGAAAAGTACAAATATTGCAGCCACGTGCTTAGGAGGAAAGCTCATTTCTAAAGCAGAATAGAGCATGTGCGCACCTGATGTATTTAAAATGAAACGGAAAATTCATGAATGTTGATATCTACATTACAAAACAATTTTCAAAATTAAACTGCCATGCATGAGTATTATGTTAAGCAGAGATGCCCTGGTAACCTTTGTTAATTATACATGATTGAAGAAAAGATATTTGCATATAGCAAGAGTATGTATCAATCCCCTCGATTGGGTATAGCTGGACATCTCTATAGGTTTAACTTTATGTCAAATCTGTCGTTTACATGCTATCCCAATGTAGGCCTTGGACTTTCCAAGGCCACAGTCAATAAATATAGTTAGAATAAAATTAACTTATCTTGGAAAGGCAAGTGGAAGCTTGAAAACAACTTTCACAAGTTCAGCTGGGTTTTCGACAAATCATGTTGCAGTAATAAAAAAAGGCTTAGAGAAACAATTCGACGTTTGATTGGAAAATATTCGGCCAAAACGACTATTCGCACATGCCTAAACTTTTGAACCAGATAATGGTAAAGTCTGAAACTTTGCCATCCTGTCCTAACTGCTAGCACTACACTTGGCCAGAGATTGAGCATTCGGCAATGTATAGTTCACTTTTGCGGTGAAAAAAACACAGAATATTTTTGGGGAACAGCCTGTACGTAAAAATACTGAACCAAGTTAAAATTCACATACCCTATGATAGTTCCGACATAAATAAGTTCTTTAAAGTTATTCAAAAGACATAAACATCTGAAGTGCAGATAACAAATAACTATTAAACAGGCCTTTCATTCGGCTTAGAGGCGAGATCGAGCTCGGCGTGTTTTCGAACATAGATCAGTTTCATTGACGTAAAAAACCAGGAACATAAACGCTTACGCCAGATAGCAGATGGTGGTCAAAAAACTTATAAGGTGTGTCTTATCTCGTAAGCAAAAACACCAGCTTGCACATTCTGTACTAAAACACCGCAACGTCACACCAGCAGCAACAGAAACCAACACAATGCTAACAATACTTTGTGCAGAAAAACAGCAGTGCCATCTTATGTCAATGCAAAGGTAGCCAAATCTAACAAATATTGAGGTGCGTTTAGGGACCGTGCGTGCCGTGAAGATACAGGCAGCAGCGAGGCCTAAAAGAAGAGTCGGAGACAGGCTAGGAGCCAAAGCAGAAATGATTTATCATAAACAAGGCCTACCTATTTACACAGCTAGATGACGTAACTGACTGGTGACTAACAGATAAAATACGATCACTGGCGACCTCTACGACGAGATACAGCTCTCTCACTACGACCGGCTCTAGTAGTCAGAAAGAGGGATCGTAGTGCACAACCTAATGTTTCTATGGAAGTTAGTAAATAATAAAGTTATATGCACCTAAATTTGTACAGACTGGACCACTTTTATGTTCAAAATGATCCAAGAAGACCTAGAAGGTAATTTTCACTTCAGAGCCTGTGAAGCTTTTACTAAATGATAGAAATGCAAGTGCATGACCAAAACGTTTTTAAAAAAATAACAAAGCTATAGGTGCCTTCAAACTTGTTCAGTCGGACCATTCTCACAATTCAAATCGGCCAACAAGATCTACAAGCCCGTGTTACCTCCGGAGCCCGCTTTCTTTCCCGCCCTTGCGGCAACCCACGCATGCGCACTTGCAACCAATCTGTGCAGGAGAAATCCACCATTAAATTGCTTAATGCTCTCCCTGGTTTCAGGTGCTCCCTCTCTTAACCCTTTGACGGTCGAGTTTTCTTTCCCAAAAGATGATCCTCGGTGGTCGGATTTTGTTTCTATAGGACTGTGGTTCGCAAACACTGATGTTTCGGGGACCCCTTTTGGATACACAGAAGTAATGGTGTTCTCCATTCACCAGGAGAGAAGGAAAAGTATTGGACAATTACAGTGGCAAAAGGTGTAAATGAAGGAGACCAAATGCATGCAAACCGACTTTTAAGCACTGAAATGAAGAAGAAAGAACCCTACTAATTCAGTGTGCATGGGTTGGTCTATTTAGCATTGTGGGACAGCAAGCATCAATAAAAAAGAGTTTTAGTGCCCGGCTCGACTGACGGTCTAAGGCCTTCAGGAAGAGCATAAAGAAAGGGCCAACGCGTAGGCTTTTTCTTAATTATCTAGCGGGAGCACATACAGTGCTTGCAAGCTGTTCAGGTTTAAAAGCATCAAATGGAAATATTTAAGGCAAAAAGTTGTCACCTTTCTTCAATTTGGTTTCATTTTGGAGCGTCCACTTCCGCGACATGCCAGCGGTTTCAGATTCTGAACCGGAGGTACTTCACAGATCTTGTCCATCAGATGGTAAGCTATCAATTCAATTCTGGGAGGCGTTGACAATCTGAATTGTAGGAGCCAGATCTCCAATTGCCAACACCGCCGAAGCAGCTGACATGCAAAGCGGTCACCTTGCGCACGTCACGTGCGCGGAGTTGTCAAATTTCAGAACTAATAGCCCCGGCAAAGCGAAACACCACCATAGAAAATGACCTTTATAGTTAGGCCAAAGGCATAACAAATAGCAAGACTCCCGCAGTGCATGCGGTTTCGTGTTTAGGGTCGCACTTTCAAATATGTAATTGCCGCCGTACATGTATGGTGATGACCGTCAAAGGGTTAAACCTAGGCCCTTTAGCGTTAAGTGGTTACAAAAGAATGCAATGTGCTCGATTACGAGAGAACGGAAATGTGTGAACCAGCCTTTGAAGTACAAAATTGGTACGCTTTTAGCATATCACTCCGTGCCAAAGAGGTGAGAGCTTCTCCTTGTTGGGGAGATGCGCTTGCCTGATAGACAGTTGGCGTGGGCGCGGATTCCCGCTGGCCACTGAGAAAACCGCTCAGCGACATGGGTGACTGGCTTCGCCGGCTCACGAGCGGCGAACCGTCGGGGGACAGTCCGGGGCTCTCCACTTTGCCCAGGCCCAAGCCCAGGGGTGTATCTGCAGACCAGACAACAAGCTCCAGTTTCCGCAGATCCCAGCCTGCATCCCCACAGACAGGCTATCGACCATTCTACCAGGGTGGGAGGAAAGAAGGAAACAAGCCTTCGTGTTCGGGCAGTTCCGGGGCTACTACCAGCCGGATCTGCTTGAACGAGAATGGCGCGTGCCCCTTCCCTCTTTTGCCCCAGCAATTCCGTCGACATGCCTGGACGTATGTAGACGGTGCAGCAGCAGAGCAAAATGGAGCCACCCAGGGAGCCAGCCCTTGGTGGAATGGTTGTCACGCCTCTGGAACAAGGCTACAGTTGCCCCGCCTCCAGAACAAGGCTCCTACCAGGGATGGGCAGTATTTCAAATACAAGTATTTGAAATATGTATATTTTAAATACTTTGTGTATTTTGCATTTGTATTTAATTACAAATTGGGTAATGTATTTGACGTGTATTTAAATACTAAAACGTGGGTATTTCAAATACAATTGTAATCAAATATAATTCTGTGGGCGAAAATACATCTTGTTTTTATGCATGTGGTTGTAAGATACAGTCTCCATTCTTTATTCGGCCATGTGGCTTTTTTCTTTTTCCCCTCCGGCTTTATTTTAAAGGCACTCTCCAGAGCAGGAAGAAAACTACTTTCTGCACCGAATGCAGTGTCCCTCAATCAAGCACAAGCGTTCAGTGACTTCGAGATTACGGTGCTAGTCCAGGGCAGGAATAGTGACGAAATCGACGTCCACAAACAGACTGGCTAAATAAGTGCCTGTGACAACTTGTGATGTTTTCCAGCCTGATTTCCATCCATATTTTTGCCTGGAACATTCTAAATGCGCGGATCGTTCAGATTTTCGTAATTGGTGCGAGTCGCAACAATAACAAATTCTCTAGCTAGTGCTGCGCGTCTTGGTCGTCTCGGTTCTTTGTTGGCCTATACCAAAATGTAATCGACAAAAAAAGCTGCTTGAAGCTCTGTACTTTTTTCACTTATTACGTCCAAGCTGATTACATTTTTTTGTGATTATATTTCTATTACGTTACTAGAGCCTCGCACACTAACTCCCGAGTGTGCGATGCAAAATTAAAATGAGATACCCAGAAACCCGTCGCGGGTGCCCTGAAGTCGCTGACGCAAATTTTAAGGAATGTATATTTGGAAAAGTATTTGGAGGAGACCAAATACATTTGGTTGTATTTGTATCTTTTACTTAAATGTTTTTTTGGAATTGTAATTAGATTTGTAATTAAATACATTTTTGACGAAGTATTTTGTATTTGTATTTCGATATCTTGTCCATCCCTGGTTCTTACCTTCGACGACAACTCAACGTCTCATGCACCTCAAGCGCGCGCGCACACAGCCAAAGCATGTCACACCACCCTCACCATGTCAGTGACTATGCTCACACCCAGTTGTCCAGTTTTTAGGCCGTCTGCCATGGTCCCGCTCCTAAAATTTCACGACATGTGTGAACAGGCCTGCCCAGACAAATTCGGAAAAAAAGGAAGGTGTTCAAAGTCATTCATAATGGGTATAATGATGTGACATTATATGGTCTGTTATGGGTTTAAAAGGCAGCTCCGGTCAATTCCAAGAAGTTTGAGTCGATGGTTGATTATACATCCTGAGGTAGTATTAAACAAATATTGTTAGTTTCTTTCCAAAAATGTGTAATATTTTTGGCGCAATCTTCATTTAAACCTTACCACAAACCGAAACCGAAAACTTGCCTGCGGTGGGCAACATTTCTCTTGTGCTGTCGCCTATCGTAAAATACCAGGGGAGCGCCCACTCCAATTTCACTGAATACTAGGTTAATCTAGACATGGGTCCGGTCAAATAAGGTGTATGAAGTATAATTTGCAGAACTCCCAAGTTTTTGAAGTGTTAATAGTGGGTGCTTGAATGAAGTAGATGCTCTAGCCTTGTAGTATGAATTGTGACGTCACGAACCAGGCAGCCGGACACAGTGTGGCACAAGGGTGAAAGTGTCGTCTGCTTCAATCGGCAGTATGCTACACCGGATGACATCTGCACTACCGTGGTCGCAGCTTGTGTTTTAGCGCAGAAAAAGCCAAGTTTCTCCAAGGGATTGTTTCGAAAACTTTAGTAGAAAGCGAAGTTCAGTAAACCACACACAAATATGTTGCGACGGGTTTCTAGAACTATGATGCACTCAACACGACAAACGCTGCCTGCGATGACGCATGCTCGCACGGGACCACACAAGCGCATGCGCGTTCCACGAATCACGTGGCCAGCGATGAGCGCACTGCTAGTGCTGCTAGCAATGCCCCCGGGCTTTGCTTGAAAAAGTACAAAACAAGCAAACAAATATCCCCTAGTAACCCGTGCATGACATAGGTGGCACGGGGTGGGTGTGCCGACGCAGTGGTATCGACTGCGCTGTTGGCTATGCCGCGCCTTGTCCACTAGTATCAGCAGATTTATAGAATTTTGCGCATCTCAAACTGTTTGCCGGCTTCATCAACTTTTAGGCGGAAGTAGATCGAAATATTTGGCATATGATCTTTCTAGGCGACGCTAAAGAGAACTGCGTTGTTTTCTTTATACTGAAAATGAGTCGGAGTTGCCCTTTAAGGATGGCAGGGCAATCTGCTCCCACAAAGCTCTCTGCTCACCACCCCCAATTGGAGGTCCCCCTCTCACTACTCTACACTCTCTAGCATTCGCTCTGCTAGGTGGAAAGGGTGGAGAGCTCTGTGAGGAGGGGCTTGTCCTGCTATCTTAAACCTGCAACAGTCTACAGTAGTTACACATAACGGTATAATGGCAGCCATTGCAGACCATGAACTGCTGTGAACTTGCGCTTTAGGCTACCACTGGCACACACTATGTATGCAATGTGACATGGTCGGCACATACATGGCATCAGTAATTTTTCCCAGAAAGTGTTATGAGGAACGGTCATTTTTATCACCCAGGTTTGTGCCCGATTTGTGCTCCAGACAAGCGTATTCCGTCGTGCAAATCGTTTCAAGCTTTACAGTCGAAGGAGGAAAATGGAAAAAACCAGCGACGGCTTGTTTGTACTATAGTCGGTGACAAGGAGAGGACGGCGCGGCATCTCTTTCTAAAGACCAGCCTCTGGCACGTGCTCACAGCCTTTCGTTGTGCTCTGCTCATGCGCACTCGAGGCTCAGGAGACGCTGAAGCATCGTCGAAGGTAAACAGCGCGGACTGGAGGTGAAACAACTCCTCCCTGTCACAAAATGGAATCAGCGCGCAAACTACGAAGACACAAGGAAGAGAAATTGACAGGACAAGCGCTGGACTTCAACTGAACGTTTATTGAAAAAGAAACTAACGAGGAAAACAAACAAACCACCAAATCATCACCCCATCAAAACGTGCTCAGAAAAGCTACCTCTCTCTTAAGTAAAAAAATCGATGTTTGGCTGACGCATTGGGCACCTTCCTTTCCTATCTCAAATGCTTCGAGCAGCTCGCGTGCTGTCTTATCGGCCCCTCTTCCCAAAATCGAGATGCGATCAAATATCGGCTCGCACGAGCAAGTGCTGCAGTGTAAAGGCAAGTGACCGCCCGAGGTTGATCGCAGCGAAAGCGCGTGTTCACGTGCTCGGTCATTAACACATCGGCCAGTCTGGCCGATGTATACTCGACCACAGCTTAACGGGATCCTATAAACTACCCCCATCGCGCACTCGACGTACTTGTTTCTGTGCTTTACGGAACATCTATTCCTTCCCGTTCCCCTGTCCGCCACTCTGGAGCATAGCTGCAGCATCTTGCTGGGCGCCGAAAAGACAACCGGTACATCATAGCGCCCCGCAATCTTTTTTAGATTGTGGGATACCTTGTGTAAATATGGGATTACTTGCGGTCTCCCATTTGGCCGGTCTCTTGGTTGTTGGGGTCCCGTCTTTACCTTTCTTAGTAGCTTTTCTGCTACCGCCAACAGAACTGTCGCTGGGAAGCCCGCGGAGCTAAGCCGATCAATCTGCTTTTCAAAACTCTCCTGCAACGTGTGGAGGCAAGATTTTTCTAAGGCCGCCTGCAAACAAGATGACGCGATGCTCCTCTTAACCAACTTGGAGTGCGCGGAATCAAAGGGCAGGAGCCCTTTCTTTGTGCGTGGATGATAAAGCCAACACACGTGCCGCTCGGTGAACTTCATTTTCTTTTTCAATAAACGTTAGTTTCTTTTTCAATAAACGTTCAGTTGAAGTCCAGCGCTTGTCCTGTCAATTTCTCTTCCTTGTGTCTTCGTAGTTTGCGCGCTGATTCCATTTTGTAACGATGAACCAACTCGCCTGCATTGCCACTTTGATTCCTCCCTGTCATTCTCATCATGTCAGTAGCTGAGTCACACTCTGTACAAGACTGAGTTCATCCCAAGAGAAACATTTTGAAAGCAGAAACCACTTGGCCGCTTGCTCTAGAAGCCAACGACATGAGGCAGTCTGCCCTCGGAGAAGACAGCACCAAGCAGTTTGTGTTCAAAGCAGACAGCATCGGGTAGTCTGTTTTGAGAGCAAACGACAAAAGGCAGTTTGCTTTAGAAGCAGATGACATCAGGCAGTCTGCTCTCGAAACAGACAGCACCATAAAGTCTTCGTTCAAGGCAGATAGCAGCAGGTAGTCTACTCTGAAAGCAGACAACATAAAGCAGTTTGATTTCGAAGCACGTGACAACAGGCAGTCTGCTCTAAAGGCAGATAACGTCACGCAGCCTGCTCCAGCACTAGACAACATCATGCAATCTCCTCTAGAACTAGACGGCATCATGCCGTCTGCTTTGGAAGGAGATGACGCAAGGCTACTTGCTTTCGAAGCACATGACACAAGGCTAGTTGTTTTAGAGCCACATGACACCAGACAGTTTGCATTTAAAGCAGACGACATCAGGCAGTCTACTCTAGAATCAGACGACATCAGGCAGTTCGCTCTTGAAGCAGTAAGCACAAGGCAGTCTGCATTTGAGGCAGACGACATCATGGCGTCTGCTTTAAAAACAGACCAAATTGGGCGGCGTAACAAGAAAGGAGGGTGTCTGCCTCACCGGGAGCCAGCCGTCCGAAGGATGTCCCGCCGGCGGTCAGGTTAGGGTTGCCTGAGAACTGTGAGAAGGAAGGTGTGCTTGTGCTGTGGGTCAGGTGGCCGGGGCCCAACAAGCTGTTCATGGGAACGAACTCCGCGGCGGTGGGGTTGGGAGTCTGCCAGAAACCCCACACAGGATCAGCACGCACGGGGCCACACACAAGACACACCAAAACCTCTGCCTTGCCACGACGCACTTCGTCGTGGAGAAAGCACGCATCCAAATGGCAGTTACTGGTCACGTCAGTGGAGGGTGCAAGCGCTTTTTGAGTGACCTTGAACGCGTCGAGGCATGACAGCGCTTGCCTGTTTGCACTGCCACCACCTTTCATGTAATTTTTTGGTTTTTAGATTATGATTGTTGTATTACAGTGTATATGGTTACAAAAACTACCTTTGGAAGTTGTTTTTTTTTGTTATTGCATGGACAATGGAATGAACCTTTTTTTCTATATGTTTCATTTTGTACGCCTTGTATCGACGAAGAGATGCAATTTCGTATTGCATTGTGGCGGGAGCATGTTGTTAAGTAGCATATCGCTATAGCAGAGTGTTTTGTAATATTTTTATACAATTCACGAGGAACTTTTTTTACATATTTTAAGTGTAAAGTGTGGCATTTGAATGAAATTATATTGCTCCAACTGCTGGGCCACGTCATACAAGCCTCACAGGCTTTGACGGGCTCGATCATTGGTACTGAAAATATACACAAAATAAAATTATCATTATTATTATTACAAACCAAACTTCAGAGCTTACACGAAGCTTGAGAGCCAATGAAAGTGTTCTTTATCAAGCATGTACCTTACGCTCAGACTGTCTGATGTCCAAAAAGCAAGGAAAACTAGGTTTGACTACATTCTTCATGCATTCATAGGCGAAGTTGGAGCGTTGAAGGCATCTTCCACTAGTCGCCGAAAGACGACAGACGAGTTTGCGCTACTCTTCTCACTTCAGGAGCATTACAGTGGCGCTAGGAAGAAGTTCGGTACTTTGGTCACATACCTCTTTGCTTGAAAAGTGTCATTTACGGTAAGGGTCACACCGTAATGGACAACTCAAGTCAAATTACATGTCCAGTGCTTTCACTGAGTACACACCATTCCAAGAATTGCCTTCTGTACAATGTCATCTTTGTCTACTGGCCTGTACAACATGTTGTCAGCATGCACAGTAGCTCTCTCCTGTGGAATATTGGATGTCACGCATGCGTCCAGAGCTCATTGACTGCATTTTTTTTGCCTGGGTGACAAGCGCCGGGAAGGTGTATAACACAAAAGAATTTGAACAAAAAGCAGCAGCAAAATTCACCTTCCTTGCAGAGTCCAATGCTAGGGATGATAGTGCATTTGTAATTTCGTTCGGTGAAATGCTGTTTGAAGAGGCAAACATCCTCGATTTGTCCAAAGGAGAAGGTGATATTGTGCGTTGGGAGATCTGAAAGAAAAAAAGAAAAGAAAAAGTGATACCACGTTTTCAAAATGCTTATGAATGGAAATTGAAACCATTCCAGAAAATCAGGAAACAGAAGTAGCACCCAAAAGCAAGATCTACTACCCTCAGTAAGAAAATCCTAGCAGAGCTATCATTTACCTTCGCTGATACCTCAGTACCAAGAGTTCCAAGGTCACAAAGCTACCTGCACATATCGTCCCAAATAAATCAGGATGGTGTGTAATGTATAATGACGAAAAAAGGGGAGCCCCTGGGGGTACAAGATATTGTAATAGACTATGTAGGAAAATACAAATATCTGGGAGTCTGGCTCAATGAGGGAAGGAAATATCGAGAGGAAGATGAGGAGAATATAAATAGAAAAAGAAAAAGAAATTCACCTATTACGAAGCTCAAGGCACTATGGAACTGTACACCCTTCCAAGACATACTCGACCCCAGGGGTAGCAAACCGTTATCGAGCCCAGTCACTGGGTCTGAGGCTAGACTCTCACCAGCGTCCCTGTTAACCCGAACCAAGTGGACTGTGATTTTGATGGGCGTAGCCTGCGTAGGCGTAATTTCAAACACTGCTGGCAGCTAAATTCTCGTCTTTTCCCGCTGTATCTTGCGTTTCATGGTGCATGTATTTCCCCGTGGTCATTCAGAAAGCATTGTACCACATTTGAAAAAAACAAAAAGCAATAAAAAACCTATAAACTATTTTTGCTGGGTATGTGCGCGAAAGAACCAATGCGACTGTAATGTATAGTTTGTTTTCTTTCTTTTTTCTTACGATACGTTTCTGACAGCGCCGCGCAATTCGCAGCATGTCAAACGACAAAGCGCTTAGTTGTCGAAAATAATTTACAACAGAAGATAGCCGAAAGGCAGGCATTTTTCACGATCATAAATAATCTGTTTACCGATGGACAGGACACGGACATACAATTTAGCAAGTGTTAACATTCAAACAATATATTGTACATACCACAAGATGCAGCGTTATCTAAAAAGAATTTATTTGAGAAAGATCTCAAATAACGCAGTCACAGTCGATGACAGTCACATCTTGAGGATCGGACGAAAACCAAGCTGACTTCGTTTTGGGGCATGTTTTGGGGAGAGCTTCCTTTTTTCACAACAGCACCGAGGCAAAGAAACGAACGCGACTGACCCGTTTCCCACCCCAACCCGAATAACTATTTTCGGAGACGACTCAGGATTCTACGCGGATTATCTCTGCGAGGGGGGAGAACAATGTTCGCAAAATCGCGTCGAGGGCCGTTCGACGTCCTTCACCTCCTTTGTTTCCCGTGAGTGTCAAGCAGAAAAGCTTGAATGGCAGGCCCTTACCAGCCTTAATTCTCACAGTGGAAGATAACACAGAAAGGGTATGCAGCACGCATAAAAAAAAGATTAAGTGGAAACTTTTAAGAGGGGTTAGAAAACGTCCAGTGCAAAACCGCAAAAACATAGGTAGAAAACTGCGCTGAGCGGCTCTTCACAGTCCAAGAGAGTGGCAGAAAATTTTTAGCTGATAGAGGGCACGAGGGTCGCACCAGCCGCATCAACATCAGCAACATGGCGGCGGCCTAGGAGCGCTTTTTAGAAAGGTGTATAATAGATACGAAGTGGTCAGAGGTATATGGAAAGCTGTGATGGTACCAGGACAGTCTTTTTGAAATGGGGTACTGCGCATGAAATCAGAGGTTCAATCAGGATTAGAGATTCGACAAAGAAGCGTAGGCAGATTGGCACATGGAAAGACACCAAATAAGAGAGTACGGGGGACATGGGCTGGTTATCTTTTGAGAGCAGGGAGGAAGTTAGCAAGTTGAAATCGGAACAAAGGTTGACCAAAATGGATGATATGCAATGGGCATAGGAGGTATTTAAGTATTTATATATGAAAAGTAAACACAGAATGGACAAACCGAACCCAAAAGCTTACATTTAAATACCTACACACTGGTGATGGGGCTGAGCGGACCACTTCAGTGGAAAAGGGGGTGAAAGAGGCAGAAAGAAAAATGTGGGAGGTAAGAATGCAGGAAAAATCAGCTCTAACAATGTACAGGTCACAAAAACAGGGCATAAGAAAAGAAAATAAATTTGACAATTCACTGGGAAGTTTTTTACTGTTTGAAGAGAGAACGGGAGTTTTGAGGACGAGGACGTACAGAACAAAATTGCAGGAGACAGACACGTTATGTGCTGCCTGCCATAACGAGAGTGAGGCACTAGAGCACTCGGCTTTAAAGTGCACGGGGCTTCGCCCTGCCCCTCCCTAAAGGGGCAACAGATTTGTCCGGGGTCCTAGGTTTTGCTGGCGACAATGGAAGGACGGAAGAGAAAAGGATTACAGTCACAAAGAGGCGATTAGGAGATTGGTGAAAATTATCTAGGGAAAATTGAGTGATGCGCAACTAACTAGCACAGCTGGGGACAGGCGGGACAGAGGAAAATTGGGACTCCCTCCTGTTTGGGCCCGGCCCAAATTCTCAACCCTGTCCCCCCGGCCCAAATTCTCAACCCTGTCCCCCAGTGGGTCCGGTGCTGGGATAATGCCGACAAGGTTTGACTAGAGGTAAATTGGCGACTCCCTTGCCGGGGGAAGAAGCGGGGGGTGATGTTTTTAATTTTTTTTCCCCAATCCCTCAAAGGTCATCCTAGTGATATCCCACACTACCTGGTGATAGTTAGGGGGAGATAATTGGCTTTGAAGGGCAGGATGAATCATATGGTTGTCTTTATAGACCTAAGCTAAGTGGTGCAAGCTACCGCCCGTTAAAAAGGTTATAGCCATTAACATTCATCTATCCAGGACAGTACCTTAGAGCCCAAGTATTTCTTCCCAGTGTTGGGAAGTACTTTGAAGGGGCCCTGCAAGGACTTTTTTACTGCTTTTTAATTTGCACGGAACCTGAGCGCACTGAACGTAATAACTTAAGGAAACTTATCTTTTCTCGAATTTCGCTTTATTTTTAAAAATTATAGGCATATTAAAATTACAAAAACAAGCAAAAAATAACCTCCTTCATGACATCCTTGGTTGCTTGAGTGGCCATGAACTAGAGGAGGGGTAGTGAGCTCAGCGAGCGCTCACGGCTGCCGCACTCCGTGTCGACGGCTCGAGAGGGCGCCACTAAAGCATGTTCTGGATAGGCTGTATGAAGCGTGATTAAACACTAATTCGGCATGACACTTCATTGGCCACAAACGACCGCAAACACGGAGTAAAGATCAGTTCAGAACGGGAGCCACTTCACGCTGCCATACCGCCAAAGGGCCGAACCGCAAGCCAAAGTTGCCTGCCAAAGGCCTTCGGAACGCTCGGAACCAGTCGGATCCTCAACTGCAGCGCCGCGGCGTACATCCGGCACCTTTCTACGCTCGCCACTCGTCGGTGCCTGATCCCACTACACCTTTCTAATATGCGCCCCCTTTTCCACCGCTTGGTGGCGGGTATGTCGAAGGGTAATTTCTTGTTTCCGCACTATATAAACCGCATTTGTTTCTTTTCTGATCTGAAATACTGAACAAAAACAAATTTGTAAATAATTTAAATGGCTCGTATCACTTATATTTTGTATTTCGACTAAAAAGAAGCTTTTAGCGGCTCTGACCAGTAGAAAGGCCAGGACCTAAAACGTCACGATGTCGTCACATATTGCGCACTTTCTACACCGCGGGTCGCTCCCGTAGTTGGAGGAGGTTTTCGCGTTGTCCAGTTAAAATATGATGCACTGATATTTAGTTACTCCTTCCGCGGCCGCTGGCTTGCCCAAACCCCAAGAGACATGGAAACCGCAAAAAAAGGTAGACGCTTAAATATGATTGCAGGGTCCTTTTAAAGGGGTACTGAAGTTGATTCTGAGACCATCCTTTTGTGGTGACAACTCAATCTAGACGCTCTAAGCATTCCAACAAACCCGAAATCACAATCGTACGTATCTTATTTCCTCGTTAAAAGCGTGTTCAAAGATCGTGACACGCCCTTTTTGGGAAGAATTTTCTTCCGAGTAAAGTGGTCGACAAAGGGCACTTGTCGGCGAGTTTCAAGCAATGGTTTCGCCCGCGAAGGAAAAGAGGAGTCTTATCCGAATGTGTACCCATCGGACTTTCTTCGAAACAAGCTATAATAAAATCATTCGGAATCTGTGCATATTGTAGGGCTTTCACTGGTCCACACAATGTAGTCTGCGAGAAAAAGAGTCCACATGTTTTTCTATTGCCCCAAGATGAATAGGCAGTTTTGTAGTAGAGGACTTAGTATATGTGGGAACTGACACATTTTAAACAATATAAGATCAAAAACAACCTTTTTCAAAAATGACTTCAGTGTCCCTTTGAGTACATTTAAACATACTTAAAGTAGCACTTTAAGTATGTTTAGAGAACTTGTACTTTACTTGAGGTACATTCTCTGAGTAAATACTTGTACTTTATAGTCTTCTTTTTCTTTTACTTTCCAAGGAAAGTACAAATCCCAATTTAAAAGTACATTTTTCAAACTCGGTCTTGTTAAATTTGCATCACAAAATGATAACTTGTCAACGAATAAGCACACTATAAGTTGATTGTGTTAAGGGGGGATAGTACCCCGACATGCGACTTCGAAATGTTCTGCCATTATCTCAGCTCCTTCTGGGTAAAAACGGTTTAAACTTTCTGGGCATATTTCGCTGTCCTTCTAGCTATTCCAAGCAAGATATTATTTAAAACTATTGAGGTATTTTGTATTTATAAAAATTTGAAATAGAAGTTTTCTTGAGTTAGTCAAGGAACATTTAAAATATAACTAATGCTAATAAAACGATGAAACTTCTCTCACACTTCCTATACAGTATTGGCATTTGACTGAACTAAAATAATAGGTTTGAAATGCTTAGGTCGTTCAAAATCAATTTTTGAACTTTGATACTTCAACTTAGGTGCTTTCTGCCTTGAGGAACTTGTAAATAAAAAAAAAGTTTTCATGCAAATATTATATTTTTAGTTCAGTAGATGCGCAGGTTATGCAGCAAAACACGAGAGAAATATTACAAGAAAAGGTTCATTTGTTTGAGAGAAAATGTTCCTTATACGAGCAAAAACAGCGTTTTTCACAAATCACTTTTGAAAGTTTAGTTGTTCAACGCTCAGCCTAAAATGCACCTGGTGCGTAGTCTTTAGCATTATTTGCTTCAGACTTCTTCGCGAAACCTTTCCTTGGACTTGCTTTGGCCTTCCTTCTTCGCTTGCTCTGAGCAGAGATCCGAAAGTCACTTTTGACTATTCGGGCCTTGTCCATCCTGTTCAGGGCCACATTACAAAACACTCCAGGTGTGACGCCTAAAGTCTCAAACACTTGCTTCCCTGCTTGGTTGCCATTGTTGTAGAAGCTAACCGCGTCATACACGGCTACTTTTACTGTGCATGCGCCCACAAATGTTGTCTTTGGGCACCTGCACCAGATCAGGTTATTCAGGGACTCGTTAGACTTCTGGGTTCGCCCATGAAGGCACCTTCGTAGAAGCTCCGGTGCTGCATCGTGAAAACTAATTTTTCACGATGTCTTGTCAGTAGCATCAATTAGAAACAACTTTTCTTTCCAGTTGCACCGTTTTTTTTCAATGAGAGTTGCAATGTAAAGAAAGCTTTCTAAAGCCACGCCCACTTTAAAATGCGGATAGTATATTGATGACACTATTTTTAAAATACTTCTGGTGCTGCTACGAGCGTGCCGTTTGGAGAATATGTTCTGTATGAACCGTAGTATTTTTTGGTTCTAATATTAAAAAAACTATTTTTGGGTTGTATTTACCTACCATCCCCCCTTAAATAGTTTGTCAGCGGGTGTTAAACTACTCTGTGGCCACTTGACTTAACCCAATATTCGCTACCATTTCCAAAAACAACTGATACACTCCTGATTACTCCTGGGGAAGTGCATACCAGTTTATAAAAACAGAGTATAAGGAAATGAAAGGACATCATGAAAGAGTATGCAAAAAAGTACTTGAGCTTTACTTTGGAAGTACATTGCTTTTATAGTACTTTACTTCAAGTAGATTGCACCCGGTGTACTGGCTACTATACTTGAAGTACATAACCTCTCACTTACTTTATACCTTACTTCAAGTACTTGTTATATGTACTTTGCCCAACACTTCCTATCACCAATAGCGAAGCAGTTCAAGGTCACACCAAATTATCAGCATATACAATAAACAAACAAGTCCAACAAATCAAGACCACAGACGATTAGTGTAATTGGTGCAACATACATCATAAGATAAAACAAACAATATACACACAGCAACACTTCAATAAAATTTGGGCAACAATGCATTTTAAGCATTTCAAGGTCACACCAGTGTGCACACTACTTTAAACAATTATTCACTTGAAAACAAAGACGTGCCATTTTGAAACAAGTGTGGGGCCCTTGTAGACTATTGACAGGTAATAACAAGGAGTGAGAAGAGAATGACACCTACGTTCATGTATGTTTTGAGTTTTGACTCTGCTGGAAGAGTGGATGGCGGTGAAAAGGCTTGGAAAACAGACTCCATGGCCGGACTCGTTGTGCCTGCAATTACACGCGTACTCGACTCAGAAACCTAAAAACTAAACGAGAATGTTCCAAACAACCAAAAATCAGCGCATATGTTTTGAGATCGGTAGCACGTACTAAAGCATACCGAAGGAAAAACCCGGTTTTCACCACTTCTTTCCTCGTTCACGGAATAAAAGAGAGCTCGAACTACAAGCTCACTCGTTAGAAGGTATCGAGTGCTTTCGCGCTTACAACGATATCTTTCTAAGCTTACGCCAGCATACGAGGTTTATCGGTCGAGGATACGCCACAGGCCCGCAGGCGCTTTCCGTCATACGCACTCTGAATCGGCAGCCCGGCGGGCACTCAAATCGAGGGACAACCCATCTCGAATCACGTTAAAGAGACCCGTTTCTCCGAAATGCGTCGCGATCACCATTCACCACGATGCACCTCACGTCGCAAAGCGCAGTTCCCGGTCCATCGGCGCGCCTTTCGACACAACAGCTGATGATCAAACCATATTTGGACGCCTCCCACGAGTGTCCCGCACGCTGAACGTCCGTCCTACCTGACGTTTCGACCTTTTAAAAGCACGCTACGGGCATAAACAAAGGCGACACGAGCAAAAAGAAATACCGCGTCAGGAAAAAAAAAAACAAAAAAACAAGCCAGCTTTAACAATGGTCGCTTTAGCCTAGGCGGCGAAGGGAACCGTCAAAAAGTTTTTCAAATCGGTACCCTCCACTTCCCCTCCGCCAAGCCGAACGGATTCACTGCCGATCGTCGCGTTGTTTTCGCACGAATCAGAGCTCCGGAGTCGTTGACTACGCTTCTAGCGACCAAACCGCGGTGCTCGGTGTCGGATGTTGGCGGGGGGTTTGGCTAGTACAGACTGTTCGCAGCGTGCAGCTGTTGACGATGTACGACAGAGCTGGTGGTGTAGTGTGGGAGAACTCACAGTTGCGCAACACAGTTGAGCTGTCGTCGTTCGAGAGGCACGGCTTGGGACGGTCACATTTTTTTTTGGAGGGGATGAGAGATGGAACTCACCTTCGGGTGTTCGGACCAACGGGCCCTGCTGAGGATCACGCAGCGACGACAGGTCAGTAGTGTTGAGGCAAGCGGGGTTCATGGGGCCGTGAAGGAACTGACACTCGGAGCCGTAAAAACAAGTACCTCCAGTGGCGAAATAGCGACATATTGCGGTTTTCTTCGGCCCTCCGAGAGAACCGTTCATGTTCCTCAAAGACACCCCCCTGCGGGTTCTCAGCAGTTCACCTCATCGTCCGTTGTTGTGTTCATGGAGGAGTGCAAGGGAGGAGGGAAGGTCTTGTTTTCCTACACAAGCAGCCAGCTTGCGACGATCAACACATACAAAACGCAGTGGCTATGCGATGCGCGCGCAGCTCAGTGCGTCAAGCGACCGACCTCGTGACGCTCTGACCCCGAAACTCGCCATGTTTCGTTGTTTAGCCGTTATGTGTCGCGTCTATCGGTGCAATCAGCTGTCAGACCACATGTTTGAGATGAGACATGAAACGCACGGCGACGCTTGGTTGTTCGAGAAAATTTTGGTCGTCTGAACATTTAAAACGAAACTGAAGCGGTTCTGTATTTGAGGAAAAAAAAAACACCTAAATTGTCTTCATTTTAGGGACAGAACGAGCGGGTTGGTATGGATAGTTAAACTTGAGGAAGAAAACGAGAAAGGAGGGAATTTTGTGCTTGTCCGTCCTTTCTCGTTTTCTCCCTCAAGTTTAACTGTCTTCATTTGGCCTCAAGAATCACGAATATCGAGATTATTTTCTCAATTTGGTGCACAGAACAACGAGGTAGGCACGGACGATGCAGAGAATAAATTTGAAAGTACCATTGAAGGGCGTCTTCCTGGAGCGGGACGTCGCATACAGAGTTTTCGAAATCTCTGCTCTCGCAACTCTTCAGCGCCTACCAAAGCTATGTACGCGCACTCTTGCAAAAAAAGTCAAAAAAAGACGTCACGACTTTTTGAGAGCGAGAGAGAAGAAGGGAAAGGGCTGCCGGCGCTTTCCCCCTTGCTGGTGGGTTAGAAAGAGTGAAAGTCCCGGATGAGAGGCTTCGCCGGTGCTATCCATTGCCCGAACTTTGTTTGTGCTTTCTTCTCTGTTTTCAACTCTCAAACTTAATTAGAGCCAAGGGCTTGGATGGCGATAGTCCCCCGTTCATCAGGAGACCATTGCTCGGTTAAAGGGTGCATGCACGAATAACGACAGAAAGCATCCAATACTGTTTGAGGACCTATGTGATGTGAGCGCGTGGTATCCTCGTGTCCTTTTCTTCTTTCTACTACCTTTGACGCGCCCCAACTGAGCGTGCCTAGTGACAGTTGAGAAAGAAGCCACCCTCGTGCCCGGCCTGGATGGCACGTGCGTTCCAGTCTGATGCCTGTCTCATGCCTGTCAAGCCTTCAGCCAGTCAAGCCAGCCAACACTAACTCGCTCTTAGCCGTATTACCTCACGTTTGTCCTTTAATGTAAATATACTTTTCTTTAAGTAGCCCCGGTGCCCAGCCGCCAGCCAAGATAGCCGGTATACTGTGGCTATAGTCATTCAACCTGATCTTCCGCCAGCCCTCCTTGAAGATCAGTTACCTTTCAGTCAAAATATTGTTATTGCCGACATTGTGACACAACAGAATGGAGTTTTCGCACGTCACGAAGATGTCTTAGGCTATTTCACAAGCATGCAGCATCGCACTGACCTGCTACCAAACGCCTTGCCCTACAGCCACAGCCCGTACCAATCTGTTTCCGAGGAAAGACAGTTCGTGGAAGAACAGATAAAAAAAACTCCTGACCCAAGGTGTTATTCTTTCAGTGTCTGGCCCATTGACTTTTCCAGTGGTCGTAGTCTCTCGCGGAGACAAGAAATGTTTGTTTGTTAACTAAGCACCACTGAATCAACACACCATCACAGTGGTGTACCCCCTGCCCCTTCTGGATGCAATCATCTATGACATCGCTGGATGCGCGTACTTCGCTGCCACAGACTTGAGAAGTGCATGCTGGCAAGTCAGCCTCCGTCCCCAGGACTATGAAAAGACAGCTTTCATCGTTGTGCTGTTGGATTGTTGTGTTGCTGGAGTTGGATTAGTTGGACTGAATGTTTGCCCCGGCCGTTCTTATTCTTGTTGTAGTAACTGTGAATTTGGCTTAGCACAAACTAAGGGACCCGGTTTTATAGATACGGCGGGGAGTGAGTGTGTTCATCTGTTTCCTTTTTTCATTTGCATATTTTGAAGCCCTTGTATTTCAGCGTCAAATCATTTACCTTTATTTGAGGTTAGCTGTGAGTGAGGGACTATGAGCTTCTAAGGTTAGGCTTTGCATATTTTGATGTTAGATATAGCCTAGTGCTTCTAGTGGTACACTTTCGCGTATTTTTTTAATATCAGCTGATAGCCATTGCCCTCTGCGTTCTTTTCGTTTTGTTTTGTTTTAAGCAGGTTGTTTGTTTCTTTTGCTCTAAACCAAGAGACTTGGTCTTTTAAGGCTACGGTGGGATGTGAGCGCGTGGTATCCTCGTCTCCTTTTCTTCTTTCTACTACCTTTTGTCGCGCCCCAACTGAGCGTGCCTAGTGACAGTTGAGAAAGAAGCCACCCTCGTGCCCGGCCTGGACGGCACGTGCGTTCCAGTCTGATGCCTGTCTCATGCCTGTCAAGCCTTCAGCCAGTCAAGCCAGCCAGCACTAACTCGCTCTTAGCCGTATTACCTAACGTTTGTCCTTTAATATAAATATACTTTTCTTATTCCTTTCCAAGACTCGGCCCTCATACCTTCTTTGAGCTCCATCGCTTTCCACATGACCCTGATCTCCGGCAGCAGTACGTGGGTTGCGTCCGTAAACCGAAAAGACTTTTCCTCAACGCCATCCTCTCAACTGTGCTCGGAACATTTTGTGAATGGAGCACGCACCAAACGCTGTATCGCCGATGAACATGGTGTACGCTCGTAAGGTGCGTGCAAGTTTTCTCGTGATAATTGCTGTTTCAGCTTGTAACTTTTTGTAACTGAATTTATCTTAATAATAATATTTTGAAGTGGTGACAATGACTCGATTTTATCACCTACAACACTTAGAATTGAAGGCTCATTTCTGAAGCCGAGTGTGGCTGGCTGGAAATTGTAGAAAAGTTAGTTCTATCGGTTTTCCTGAATCGAGAACTTTCAGCAACAGAAATTGAAAGTATTTCCAGCTACATTATGTACCAACTTTGAAAATAAGAAGAATCTAGTCGCGTTACGACGGTCAACATAGCTTCACGGCTCTCTGGTGTCGCGCAGAAGATCGCAATTCAGGAAAACCAATAGAACTAACTTTTTGACAATTTCCAGCCACATTCGGCGGCGGAAATGAGCCTTCAACTAAGTGTAGTAGATAATAAACTCGAGTCAGTGTCACCACTTCAAAATATCGATATTAAGATAAATTCAGTTACAAAAAGTTAAAAGCTGGAACAGCAATTATCACGAGAAAACTTGCATATGCACCTTGTGAGCGTACACCACGTTCATTGACGGTACAGCATTAAGTGCAGTGCACGCTCCATTCACAAAATGTTGCAAGCACAGTCGAGAGGATGGCGTTGGGGAAAAGTCTTTTCGGTTTACGGACGCAACCCACTGCCACCGGAGATCGGGTTCACCAGAATCTGTGCAAGCTACCTAGGTCCTCGAACAGTATTCAAAGCTTTCTGTCGTTATTTGTGCACCCCATAGCCGAGCAATGGTGTCCCGATGACCGGGGGACTGTCGTCATCCAAGCCCGCGGCTCTAATTAAGTTTGGCAGTCCAAAACAGAGAAGAAAGCAAGAATGAAGATCGGGCAATGCATACACCCAACACTAGCAAAGCTTCTCATCCGGGACTTTCACTCTTTCTAACGCACCAGCAAGAAGAAAGCACTGGTAGCTCTCTCCCCTCTTGCCCTCTCTCAGTAAAGGGGTCTATTACCGGGCAAGCTTGCAATTGCACACGCTGTCCACACAAGCGACATGCGCTTGGCGACCAGAAGATTTCTGACGTAACCACTGGTCGAAGGGTTTTCGTGTTTTCGCGCGTTTAGTTACATCTTTGGAAAAACAAATGCCAAGACAGATTAGTGTTAAATTTTGCAGTGGTAACTGTCAGTGCCCTTTTCTGGTGGCATTTGTACGCAGAAACCGACGTGATCATGGGAAGAGGGTACTGCCGTGCTATCACTCTCCCTATCGTCACCGCCCCTTGCACAACCCAGTCATCCATAGCAAGTCGCGCTATAGCCCGTCCCCCCTTGCAGCCTCCGCTTAGGGGCTTTGTAAAATTCTCAATCCAGTGCGTCTACAAAAAAAAATTCTTTATATTTTAATAAGTCATCAGTAGTTACTATGTTCTGGGAAAACCCCTTACAATCGAGGGCTGTACGTGCAAAACTTTCAGCCTTTCCACTCTGGTGAAGGAAGACCAGCGGAGCTGTGCTATGGTGGGACAAACTCAAGGACGACTTCTTGGATGGCCTCAAGGACGACCCCTAGACGACGTCTAGGACGACCTCAGGGACGACTCTAGGACGACCTCAAGGATGACGCCTAGGACGACCTCAGGGACGATGTGTAAGACGACCTCAAGGACGACTTCTAGAACGACCTGGAGGACATCTAGGACGAGCTCTAGGACGACCTCAAGGACGACCTTGAGGACAACCTCTTGGACGACCTCAAGGACGTCTAGGACGGCCTCAAGGACGACGTCTAGGACGACCTCGAGGACTTCTAGGATGACGCCTAGAGAAATTCTGCCTTCTAGCCCCATCAGAACGGATGCCGCCATCTAGGAGCGACGGCAGAAACCAGACAACCAGCAAGCCGGTTGTCTGGTTGCTGCTGTCCCTCATAGATCGCAGTAGCTGTTCATTGTTTTGTGTCTAGATTTATTTGTCCATGGACACAAAACTGGGAAAACTAGCCCTTAACAAACAAAAAAAAAAAAAAGTGGTCTTGTGGCGTTTGATTAGTTTTCTACCCCTAGACCCCCATGGATGGACCACTCAAGAAACAATTCACCCTCCGTCCAATGAGAGAGAATCGCCGGCACGCCATGTTGAGCAAACTGAGGGCTGCAGTGGCATAAGGAATGTGAAGGGTGCAGGAACCCCGACTAGGCAGCGCGTAAGTGCCCTTCACACAACTCGTAAACTCCCATAACCATTCTACCAAAATCAAAGCCGGGAACGTTCGTAAAGCACATCTTTTAACAAAGTGACTACTACCGCTGTCAATCACAGCACACTTCATGTGGTCATTTTCTCTTTTTAGGTTGCATCATTTCCGGAAAAGTTAACAAAAACAAGGGCCACCTCGAGATTGCCGTTACATCTACCGTAAAATACCGGGGAAGCACCGCCCCAATTTTACTGAAAACGATTAATCTAGACATGGTTGATTGGGTCAAAGCGGGCGCTAAACGTACAATTTGCAGAATTTCCCAGTTTGGAACATGTGAATAGTGAGCGCTTCAATGAAGCGGGTGCTTCTGTGGTGTTTTACGGTATATGCGTGGATAGCCCAAGTTCCTGCAGATATTCCAAGCCCCTCAAAGTTTTAAGCATTATGAATCAGTACTCACGGTTTCTCAGAGGACATCCTTGTGTAACAAAAAAAAAAAAAAAAAAAAACTATTACAGAAAATTTAAGAATGTTTACGTGTAGGAAGACACTTAAGACTGTTTACGTGTAGGAATGCAACAAGCATTCATACATGCAGCGCATTCCTACAAGCAATGCGCCCCACTGTCCTCCGCAGAGGTCGTCCAAACGGCACGACATGGCTGAAACCAGAGCGTAGAACACATGATACAGTAGTGCACAGGAAGAGGAAATTTCCCGCTCCCCCTCCCCCCCACACCTGACATGCGACATAAGCGGCGGCCACGCGCACGCCACCCCCTTTTTTATGGGCAACGGGCTACAGTGCCAGGAAGAGGGCTTTTTTTGTGGGGTGGCGTTCCTTGGAACTATAATACGTTGCAGCCAATGGGAATTTATTGCTCGTTTCGCTCAGCCAGTGTTTAGATGCCGTTTTTCGTGGTTACAGACAATGCCGGCTGCGCCACATGGGACAGTTAATGCTTTTGCATTAAAACTGGCCGACTCAGAACCATTAGAAATGCTAAGGGCTTTAACAAATTTCTGGTGGTACTTCTCCAGGCAATGGGCCTTGTACAATCAAGTTAAACAAGGAATTTTGCATCCTTTCCTGTTCACTAGATTTGTTGTGAAAGATAAAAGCAACAAAACATCTAGCGTTCATTCCATGCAAAGCTGCCTCAACAATTTGCTCCAAAAAGTTTGGGTTCAGTCGCTTCCTTGCCCTACATGGCTAAAAACAACCGAGGGTAAGGAGGAATGAGGCACAAGCCAGGTCTTCCAAATGAATGCCGTTTATTGAAGTCTCAAAAAAGATACATGCAAGACACTCGGTAACCAATTAAACTGTCAATTTATAACTCTCCAGGTAGGGAAAAAAACTAAGGCAAATGAGCAAGTGGTATATAACTCGAAAGCAACAACAAACACTCAAATAAAAAACTTTCTTTTTTATTGTACATGTCTGTACATAAAAAAATGTTTTCCAAAAGTATTTACAGGAAATATGTACATGTAGGATAGTCTGGGTATATACAAAGTTCTGTCTGTCTCCAGGAAGCTGTTAAAGGTTGCGGCGAGCAGTACACCGAGCGACTCGCAACTTGCTGGCAAAACGAACGACACATCCAACATTCAGAACTTAAACTGTCAACCCAAGGCCTCCCCCCCACCTCCCCACAGGGTTTCCCCACCTACTCGAGATAACTTTTCTTCCCAAAATCGGGGCGTAGGGACGTCGGTAACTTACCTCAAGAAAAACGAAAAGCTCAGAAAACAGCTACCCACCCCCCCTCCCCCTCACCCCCTAAACGAATAGCGACATTCCTTACAGTCAACACCACAAACTGAAGCTGCTCTCCGTCTTCGAGACCTGAGAAAAATGGTGTCGGAGTTAAGCCTAAATCGCCGGCCCTATCACATGATGCAACAAAGCCCGGACAGCTCGTTTCCCCTTTGAACCGGCGGCAAAGACTGAAACCTCGGGTCGGGCGTAGGGGGTCGGAAATCGTCTTCGTCGGTAACCGGTTCGTCGGAGACTTGTGCCGGTTGGTCCGCTCCGGCTTCGCCGGTGTCCGAAGCATTGCTGGCCGCGGCGGCGGCAGCGGAGCTGGGCGCGGGAGATGCCGGCGCCTGAATGCTCTCCGCCTTCACCTTCATGATGATACCCCCCGTGCCTTTGACCACAACCTTGGGTTCCACAGTCTCGGGCGGTTTATTTTCGTCGTCGCCGCTTCGTTCCCCGTCGCTCAGAGACACCCCGAACTCCCCGAGGTTATCAACGATCACCACCGGATCGTCCGGCATTTCCTCGCTACCCGCTTTCTCATCCTTTATTGTTAACTCCCCACCAGAAACAATGTCCTTCGCGTCGCCATCCGGAGACGCCTCCGTCTCCATCGGCTCCGTTGGCGCTTCGTCGGCCTGGCTTTCGTCGCTCGGCGGTTTGTCGGCTGGGTTTTCGTCGGGGTCCTCCTCCTTCACGGCGACGGCACCCTCGACTTCCATCGGCTTCTCGTCGTCGGCCTTCTCGACGGCTTCGGCTTGGGCTTCTTCCCCTGGCTCCGTTCTGATGGGACTAGAAGGCGCTTCTGCCGCCTGGAATCGCCGGGGGCGTTAAGAAACAGCGACACTTAGAGCAAACGCCTGAGGTTAGGTTTGCCGCTTGGATGCTGCGATGTTTCCCATTAACTTCACTAAAGTCAGAATGACTAAACCCACTCAGTCGCTGCACGATTCCAATCACCTGTTTTTTGTACCATTGCAGGTGTTTGGTACAACTTCAGAAACAAAAGTGGTCCGCCGACCATGGCACAAGTGATTAAGGAGTCCAATCTAGTCCCACGCTTTACACGTCTAGAAAGGCAGTACAACTAATCTCTTTTTGTGTGTTTTGGTCACCTACAATCAAAGTATCAAGGTTCTCCAGATTTGTTTTTTTTTAATAGTAGACGCATTCATGTTTTTGCACAACGACGCACCAGAGACCCAGTGAAAAAAAATGTGAAAGAGGATCGTTTATTATTCCATTTCGGACTAATAGAGACAGCAAGAAACTCCAGTAACAGCCAGGCTAACAACGATACAGCACTTCCAAGCGCCGAAAACGTTGCCGCCGCTCTATTGCGCCGAAGGCAAGATCCGATAGACTCTGCAAAATCCCATCGGGAGAAAGAGACGCGGCCTAAAAGAAGGAAACGAAAATTTACCCTTTTGAAGTCTTCGTAGCACGCCGGATGGTAAACCTGCCAGCAAAGCGAGAGGAAGCAGCATTAACATGCGAAAAACCCTCGCAGAAACATTTTGTTTCAGAATGCGAAGACACAAAACGCCTTGCGCGAAAGAGAGAAGAAAGAAACCGAAGCCCTTGCCTTATTTTCCACGCGCATGGCGTCCCTGAAGTGCCACTCCTCTTCCTCCTCGACCCAGAAGAGCTGGAACGCTTCCTCGCAGACTGCACAGGTCTGCATCGAGAAATTCGACAAACTTAAAAACTCGCGTTATACGCCAATCACTTTCTCAAGTAAGCTGGGATTTGGTTCTGTTGAATGTCATCCCAAGTCTTCCCTGCAGTGCCGCTGGAGGTACGGGCGAGTTGCTTCGGATTTGGGGGTTTTACGGGCGAAACCAACGTATGGCATCTGGCACGCTCCAGCGGAGGACTGAGGATGAACTTCATTTCGACTGCCTGGGAACATTTTGACGTGCCAACAGTCAAATTGCTGGCACCTCAGCTGGAATTCAAACCCTCAAATCTTCTGATCTGCGCATATTTCCTAATTATTTATGCGGCACTTCTTTTACTGTGGGCTTAAAAGACTTTTGACGAGGCTAGAAACAACCATTTCTCGCGTATGGTGCGGAAATTCGACCTCGCAAATACTAAAAAAAAACGTTAATCTAGATTTGTGCAGTCCTGGCACTAGTGGGAACTACTGGCACTGGTGCTCAAGAGACGAAGTGTATGGTACACAGCAAAACTGATGAACGTACGTTTTCCGTTTCGTCTCCGGATGCCGGAACACTTTTGATGGCGACTGGTGAGTTGCTGCTCTGGTCCTGTTCCACCGTGGCCTGCTGCTCGAAGAAACTCCTCGCTGCCAAGCAAACGGAAACACCAACCGTTGCACGCAATTTCACAACAATTTTGTGAAGGATGCACCTTATTGTTTTTCATTTTAGGATTTTTCTCGCAAGGCTCACAAGCTCATAAGCATTTTGGTTCTTCCCTGCCAGCGGATAGAACGGGGTACTAATTGCCTCACGGAAACCCAGACGTGTGGGTTGGTCTAAACGTACAGGAATCAACCGAGAAACAGTCCTCAAGTGGCTCACTCAATCGTGGTCCAAGTGCAACCCTAAGCTCGTGTAAACAATTCTTCTCAAGCACCATCACAGCATGCAAACAAGAGCCGCTAACTCACCTCGTTCTTCTAGATCCTCAATCTCTTCAAACTGTATCCAGTCCTAGAAAAAAAAAAATAATGCATTAGTTATTAATTATTCTGGGCTACTGAACATACGAAACACAGGCCGGCCGGCTCCTAGCAAATTTTATACATTTGACAACGAGCCACCAACCAGTCTTACTCGTGGCTAAACCAAATTGGTTAAAGGGACCACGAAACCCTTGTTAGAGCCTCCAAATATGAAATGCACAGCGGCCGGTTTTTTTACGCCATTAGCTGTCCCATGGAGCAAACCGGCGTTATAGGCCTTTGAAGCCACGCCAAACGGCACCTAAATTCCCGTCTCAATAGAGCGAAGCCTGTAGTCTGTAGCAACGATTTGGCGAATAGGCTCCCATTGGCTGGCGCGTGTCATAGTTTCAAGAAACGAGGCTCCCATTGGCTGGCGCGCGTCATAGTCTCAAAGCGCTGCGGACCCCGCGCCGGTAAAAGGAACACGGTGGCGCGCATTCGGCTGCTTCTGCTCCTCTCGACGACAACAAACACGGCGGCGCCTCAAGCATCTACATCGTCGGCGGCTGCAACCTCGGCAGTAGCGAAGCCTGCCAGTCCACACAAGACTTGTACATCGCAGACGAACTAAAGGAACGAAATAATGCAACACAACGAGCGAGAAGGCAGGCAGCGAAATCCACCATAGTTGTCAAGTCTCCAAATACACGGCGGGAGGAAGGAGCAGCGGTGCAATGCGCTAGGAGACAGAACAAAGCCTTTCAAAAGCGTGAGGCGCAAGCGGATCGCAATTCAAAGCATCTCAGGTGGCAAAAGGACGAGGCCCTTCGACAACGCGAGGCAGAAGCAATACGTCGCAGGCGGCATGCGTTCGCATTCACAACTCATAAGAAGTGCTTAGGCGTCCTGTGTTTTTCTTTTGTCCGACGTGCTAGCTTTGGAGTGAAACGACCGAAGAAATAGAAGAGCCCCCTTCTCACTCCACTTTGGTCACATGTAGTTGGTACTCGTTCGACATGACGAGTTTGAATAAAGTGCAAACAACGTAGGAAGCATTCTTAGCTCTTCTCCAAAATAGCAGACACAGTACAGTAAAACTTCTCCATAGAAAACAATGAAAGTCTAAAGATAAATACAGCAAAGTAAAATTTAAGTGTGCCAGTACTAGTCGTACAGGCCCTTTAGGTGGTGACACAGTTGAAAATGTTTACTAAAAAAAAACAACAAGGTTCCATTGCACGGATTTGGACGGTCGGCGCCCGCATCGTCCCGAAACTAATTCCGAGCTCGCAAAAACCATCTATACCAGAAATAGTCTCCTCTCATATTTAAGGCTATGGTTGGGTGAAGTGGCCCTCATCATATTTCACAAGATGCACCTTTTAAAAAGAGAACTTCCTCTCGAACTCGTTTCACCACCTCCGAAAAACTCCCCGAAGGGCTGCGCCAACACTTACCTCCATCTCGTAGAACCACTTGCGCGAGAAGGCCTTGCGAGCTCCGTCCTTGTCCCTCCGGTTGGCCCTGAAGTGCCAGTCGAGGTGCTGCCGGTACTTCTCGCACTTCTCGTCCGTGAAGCGGAGCCCGCACGAAGCACACTGGGTCCCCACATGCAGGGCGCTGATCACACCCGGATGCTTGCTGCACCAGAACAAGACACAACAAAGGAGCTATTATGATTTTCTTTTTTTCAGCCGCCGACGATGTAGGAGAAAAGAGTCAAAGTACAGGCTAGCTAGTGGAAGTCAACCATTTCGTCGTTTACCCTGAGACTGGGGGGTTCTTTGAAGAGCAGAAGTAAGAGAAAAACAGACAGGTCTCAATGAGACCTGTCTGTTTTTCTGTTGCTTCTGCTCTTCAAAAAAAAAACCCAGTCTCAGGGTAAACGACGAAATGGCAATTTTATTGTTTTGTGGTTAGAACATGTAGGTGAAAACACAGGAGCAATGTTGCCTGCCACAGGCAAGGTTTCGGTTTCACTTTTCGATAAGCTACAAACAGGCTGCCATACGTTCCCGTTTTAACGGAAAAACACCGATAAACATCCGCCGGTGTCGTAAACACAAAATCGATTAAAACTGAAAAACACAGCTGTTTTTTTTTTTTCTTCATATTTTTGAGCAAGCGCTGGTTCCTTTCCACTGAAAAAGTCCTGTACACTTCCCAGTTTTAACCAAGCAAACACCATTAAACATCTGCCAATTACAAAATATAATATAAAAAAATACTGTAAACGACTAAATTTTCGCGGGGACCTAATTTTTGCGAATTTCGCGAATCGCCTACAATTCGCGAAAAATACGTCCCGCGAACAATTCGGGCAATATGTGAACGCTACGGAAGCTATACTCGATTCGCGAAAAATACGTCCCGTGAACAATTCGGGCAATATATGTGAACGCTATGGAAGCTATACTCAATTCGCGAAAATTAGAATCGGCGATTAATTTCAAATTTTCAGCTTTGGCTCGATTCGCGAAAATTAAGTCGTTTACAGTAAATAAATATATATATATATATATATATATATATAGAGAACGAAGAGGGGAGAGTTATCCGATTAGACCATCCCGGCCACTGGTTTCGGCGGACTCAATTTCTGACCAGCTCTCTGTGTACTGTTTAGTTTGGAATTCGCTTAACTTGGTAGACGACAACCGTTGCTGATTTAAGGCCCGCGCTATTTCCGACATGCGGCAGTGACGTGGCACGTCATCTCAGCGTGCAAATGTCGAAAAGGGCCCGTCTTCCAAGGTATCTAGGGAACCACACCTCCCCATAGGGACAGGCTGCACCATATATATATAATGGGAATGAGCAAAGATTGACAAGTGCAGCCGTGGTAATATTGTGAACGAAGAGGAAAGAAGGTGATTATTGAATTTATTGCATTAACTAGGGAAAGGGAAAGGGAAAGAGAGCTGGCGAAAAATTGAGCCAGGAGCAGGACAACCTTCGACCAGGGCAACCCTCGCCTGTCCGAGGCGACGCCTTAACCGATTAGACCATCCCGGCCACTGGTTTCGGCGGACTCAATTTCCGACCAGCTCTCTGTGTACTGTATAGTTTCAAATTCGCTTAACTTGGTAGACGACAACCGTTGCCGATTTAAGGCCCGCGCTATTTCTGACATGCGGCAGTGACGTGGCATGTCATCTCAGCGTGCAAATGTCGGAAAGGGCCCGTCTTCCAAGGTATCTAGGGAACCACTCCTCCCCATAGGGACAGGCTGCACTGTATATATAACTTTAACGCAATAAATTCAATAATCACCTTCTCCCCTCTTCGTTCACAATATTACCACGGCTGCGCTTGTCAATCTTTGCTCATTCCCATTATTTATATATATATATATATATATATAATTTTTTTTTTTTTTCACTGAAAAAGTTTTACGCAAACTTCAGTCAAACACATTATCTTGTCTGGAATCATGCACTTTGCCAGCCTTTCTTTTGTGGCCTACGTGGTAACAAAAGCTTTGTTCGACCATTCTCTGAGGTCAGCAGTCCTCCTGGGCCACCGACCTTAAAGATTGCTATCCGTGGCCCAAGAGGCCGGTCACAGCCGATGCTCTTGTTCTCTTGAGGTGAGAACAGTCTAAACGGCCTATTCCTACTCAAGTCAGTGATCTCCGTTGGTTGGGCGCAGGGAAAGAAAGGAGAAAAACCTTCCTTTCTTGTCGGAAAAATTACATAAGAAATAACATTTTAAGTTTTGCATCACACGAACCAGATTGAAGTCACCAAAATGGGAAGGAAGCATAAAGCTCCCAATGATTACGCTAAGGAGTTAGACGGTTTTGACATGTGTAACGACCCTTCGTCCATGGTGTGAAGTACTGCCAAATAACGGTCAGCGTAAAAAATGGGAAAGGCGCTACGAGGATCACGGGGCACATGTCGACGAAGCGTCACATCCAGCTCAAGAAACCTCGTCTCGATGCATGTAGGTACTTTTTTCTTACCATGTCTTCGTTTGATTTAGAGTGAGAAAGTTAAGTTAATGTTTTACTCTGGAGGAATGCCTGTCGTATCTCTGAATGATTCTATAATTTAAACTTTTTTTTATCATTTTAGCTGGCAACTCTCAGACGTCCAGCCAAAGCTCTATGGAAGAGTGCATCACGCGAGTCTTGAGGAAGAAGGATGAGGCCGACGACGTGGCACACAGATTCTGCAAGGCTAGCGCTCCTCTTAAGAAGACTGACGGATCCCTTGGAAACCTCTTCCAAAGTATGTGCCCCGCTGCTCGCACAATGCCGTCTGCGCAGATGATGTATTGCAAGTACTTACTTGACGTATTCGCAAAAGAAATGTCTTTACTACAGGAACTGTGCGAGAATTGTCCGATTTCCCTCGCATTGATGAGACACCTCCGTGGCCGAAAAGTGATTGCTGAACTTGTGACACTGTTTGATTGTGAGCTTCTTCAACGAAGGTCCTTTATGGAAGATCTTTAAGTCCTCCAGCGGTGGAACGCCGTCGCTGTTGGGGTGCTTGTCCAGGACGTTCTCGGGAAGCTTGGCAAGTGTTTTTGTGATGTGTGCGTCATTTTGGACTCAGCATCATACATGCAGAAGCTGCACAGAGACATCCAACTATCCCACGCCGACTTCATGGCACAGTACTTCAAAGACCCCTGCCATCTCCCTAACATCACACTCGCCGAGGGCATGAAACTGGTTGAGTTTGACGTTGTACAAGGCTTTGTCGCCCACCTCCCTGCCCTCCTGAAGAGTTCGCAAGAGCTACGGCTTAAGTTCAATATTCTTTGTCACTCTATGAATCTTGAACCGAAGTGTCTGTCCATGATTAGCCCTTCAGGGTAGTTTTCCTTTTACAAGACACTCACTGATGTCTTGCATTACTAGCGCCCAATTCTATCTTTTCTGAAAAGTAATGATGCAGTTGGTCAGAAGTGCAAGGAGCTGAATGCACTTATTTCTCAACTCCAGAGTCCTCGCAAGGACTTCATATTAAATAAACTTTCATCCACGAAACTTTGAGCTTGCTATTTAACGTCACGAAGGTTCTCGAGTAGGAAAGAACCCTCAAGCACGAGGTATATTCTCTTCTCGGCATAAAGCTCACAACTTTGCAGAAAAGATGGAATACCCTGCCACTCGAAAGCTAAGGCAGTGTTGATGTACTTCTGAAGATGACTGAAGAGGCCCCAGAGTTCATTGCTTTCTTTTCAGCCTACTACCGAGCGATTCAGGACAAGTGGCTCAGGACTGTTTCACGAAACATTGCTGATGATCTGCAGTTCACGGATGAGTTCCTCCAGTTCAGCGTGCAGATAGTTAACCCTTGCATGCAAATGGAGCTGCTGAAAGGATTTGCTTCCTACGAAAGCATCTTCAGGCTTGTTGTGCTTGAAGAATGTAAGGTCAGCGGTCTGGAAGCTGAGTTTCTTCGGTACCACCAGTATGCCATCAGTGTTTTTGTTGACCAAGTGCCCTTTTGGAAGCTGCATGCATCAGACTGGCCGGCACTGTCCCAAGCTTCGTTAGACGTTTTGGTGGCTTTCCGTGTCCAGCACAAATGTCGAGTGGGCATTCTCGAAATTGCGCGTCAGTGCACGCCCAGTTGTTTGGCTGTCGTGCAGAATTTCTAGGTCTAAATCGGCAAACAAGTGCCGACTTAAGGCTTCACCACAGGCTCTTCGGTTCATACGTGGCATCTTTGGCTCAAGTCTGGCACACTGACAGTTATGTGGCAACTGCTAATAGTAGCAAGATTGGGTCATGCCTGTGTCAGCTGTCCTTGTACCATGACTTGCTTGTGATATGCGCTTTATTGCTGTTAAAGGGGCAGTGCAACGATTTTAATGTTGAAAGAATTGCCAGTTTGCATTTCTCATATTGTTTATACGAGCCCAAGTGACCAAAAACGCATCACCTTTCTCCGAAAAACTGCTATTCTGCTGCGTAATCGCGAGGCAAAAAACAAATTATTTGCCGATCTGCAGCCGCCTGTGGCGGCTACGGGAACTAAAATGACGGTGTCTCTGGGGGATACGCGGAAGTCAACAAACCCTGTCCCCCTCTGCTGCTACACTCTCCGTCAGCCCCGTGGCGAACAGTTCTTTGTGTCCATCGCTCGCCGCGACCTTCGACGAGGCTAATCCTTTGAAAGTCGACAATCGCGGAGGAAGCGGCTGGGGTCTCGAGAAAGGGCCCAAGGGGAAACCACGTGAACCCCCAGAGTACGTCACTCGAAAGTCGGCGTGGAGAGTTGAGAGGCACTTCGAGCTTCGATTTGTTTCATTTTTTTAAAATAAGAACTAGCTCTCGCAAGAAAATGCGACATTCGGTTTTTCGTTCCATAGGTGACGCAGATTAATTTTTTGCAGTTAATAGGCCAAAGTCTGAAAATCGTTGCACTGCCCCTTTAAGACTTTTTTGGCATTTTTTAAAGGTATATGTTTTTTATAAGCAGATCTTTCTTTTTTTGTTGTTCTTGACTGCACTGACATATATAGCACTATTTAGATCAATAAAATTTAGTTGCGAGTCAGCACTGTGTCTTTCTTCGTAAGGTCCCCCCGTCCTTTGCAGTTTTAACTTTCAAATGTGTGGCAAGCAAAAAAAAAAAAAAAAAAAGAGTAATAGAAATGCAAAAAGAAGTACTTTGATGCTAACTAATGCCTAGGAGCAAAAACCGTACTAGGCCAAATTTAGGCCCCCAGGATTGGCAAGCTTGTGCCAAGTCAAGCGTTTCTCTGGCACGCCACCTGGGATCCTTCTCGCTGCCCCGACGTGGCCGGAAAAAACTCACACTTTGAGTTGGTCCGTCTTGAAGAAGCTGAGTGGCGGGACGCTTTCGGCGGGCCGCCTGTGCTCCTGCCTGATGTGCTCCACGCGCTGCTTCCTCCGCCGCTTCTTCTGCGACGGGTGCGTGTGGTGGTGCCCCGGGTGCTGAGACCTCTGCTGCTGCTGCGGCTCCCCCGCGGCGGAGCCTGGCGCTCCGTTGCCGGGCTCCGGACTCTGCTTCAGGATCCCCGCGGCTATCAGCTTCGAGAACAGCTCCCCCACGTTCACTTCCAGGGCCGGCGGCAGAGCGGGCGGAACTACTGCGGTAGAGAAAGAAGACGCTCGTGTTACAGAAACCGATATGTTGGCCACAGCATAGGCGGATTTGGGGGGAGGGCAACCGCCCCCTCTAAGCCCTCCAACGTCAACGTTTTTTTTTTTGTTTTATAAAATATTTACACCGATTAATTAAAAGTTTAGTTTCTGGTGACATAGCAAATATTGGATCCACAAAATATATCTGGGCAACGTTTCGACCATAACACCATCTCTCAGCAGACCCCTACAGCTCGCCAGTCAAATGCCTACCCCCTACCCCCCCCCACAAGCGTGACCCCAATAAATCTGCGCCTGGCTGACGGCCGGGCTAGAATGAAGAGGTGTGCTTTCTTACTAGCCCAACTCGCCGTTCTAATTTCTTACAGCCTTCGCGTGGGCGATACTTTCATCTTTCCACCGCGGCTCGATGAAGTCGCTGCAGCCTTGCCCCCTCCTACGGTGCTTTGACTTGTTCTAAAAAGGCACCCCAATCTTGCCACGATGGTCTCTTCACTCCGGGGTCAAATTGGAAGTACTTCTTGACTAATTAGATCTACAGACCTTGAGGCTACCTGACTGCAGAGACTTGTGAAGAACACTTCTTCTTCGCCTTCTCCAAAAACAACTTTCTATAAATGAGCGTTTATTCGTCGTAAGCCAGAAGTATTTCGATCGGCACACTGCAGCCATTTCATACGAGTACATTGGCACACAGCTTCAATAAAGGTGGTCGGAGCGGTTCTTCGGGGTGGTTAAAGCAGTACTGGGAGAGGTGGTGTTGTCACGCATAGAGAAACTCCTACTGTTTGCGAGAGCAAAGGCTGTAAGGAATTCCGCCGTCTAGCCTGGCCGTACTCTGTTCCGCAGTCCCAACCTCTCATAAACTCCCATGTGATGCAGTTAAAGGGGTGCTAAAGCGGTAATTGGATCACCTATTTATGGCACAAACTCAATATATGTTCCCTAATCATTAAAAAAAAAAAAAAGTTTACAACTTTCTGTAACGCCAATAGAGCGCAGCCCTTGAGGAGGAGGAGGGGAGGGTACTGAGGGGAGGGTATGCCCTTCCTCCTCATCCGTACCCTCTCCTCCTTTCCTCCTCTTGCTTCTTTCACGTGCGAAGCGCGCGTCGTCACGCGACATTTCTGAGCGGTGCCGAGACGTCAGGTGACGTTCCGGTGAACTCACATGAAATTTCAGCACGTGACTGCCACCGAAACCTCACGGAGACGTTTCATCACGGTGACGTTTCGTCACGGTGACGTATTGGCGCGGTAACGTATGGCGCGGTGACATTTCGGCACGGCAACGTTTCGGCACGGTGACTTTCAGCATGAGTGCCGCACTGCAATGTCACCGTGCCGAAACGTCACAGCAGTGCATTATGGGACGTTTCCCATAATGCACTGCGCGGTTACGCTGACGCCGCTCAAGCCAGAAACGAGCGCTTAAGAGCTGCACTCTAAAAAAGAAAGTAACAATCCCACGTAGCTGTCTTCTCCATTATAAATGTCATCAAACGTAGCAAAACGTTGCTTTCCCCGAGATATATTCATAGAAGGGGTGTAACATAATGTTTGGTCGCGTTTCTAGAAAGAAAGAAGGCCGTGCCCGATAGTAATTTTACCCTTTTTAGGATGCCCAGGATGCATAGACTGAGTCTGCGCCATAAAAAGACGACCTAAAAAAATTCTCAAAAATGACCAATGGTCGGTCTCTAGGTTGTTTTATTTCGTTAGGGCAACTGCATCGCATGCTTGAAAGAATATGTATATCGTTAATTTCGGCTGCACACGCAGACATTGCAAAAGCCTTAGTGACAGTGCACACCGTCCACCAGTAGTTCGGCACACATTGCAGAGGAGTGCAATGAATGAAGAGTGTTTTAGTAGTTCTTGGGAGGATATCAAAAACCGCCCATAAACACCGTCAGACCATTTGGGCGCACCAATTGCCCCTGTGAAACGAACACAGGTACATTGTCAAGGCAAAAGGAAAAATTAATTTGCGAGACCAGAAGTGTTAGTCACTGAGCGCTACGTGCCTGAGCAGATATGCACCTTTAGAAACAAGATTTCATGCATTTGTGCTGACTGGCCTGTGAATCCACGTTTACGCACATTACCGCAAAGACGTCCGAGCTGTTGGAAAGTGCAATAAAAATTATTGCTGACCGATTCCGACGTTTGGCTCACCCTGAGCTGGTGCCGCAGCTTGACGCGCCTCCATCGTGGGTGGGAAGGTGCCGGACATGCCTTGCACATTTGGCACGCCCATCGAAGGTGGCTGTTGCGGTGGCATCAGCGATGGTGGCCCTTGCTGTTGCTGCTGCGCCTGACCCGGTGGCGCCATGAGTGTCCCCGGGAGGGGCATCGTGGGTGGCGGCATGGGCGGTCCGTGGGCAAGCATGCCCTGCGGCGGAGGGGGTCCCATTCCGGGAGGGGGTGCCAGTGGTGGCATGTGCTTTGGGGCCTCGCCGCCGGGCGGAAACCCAGGCGGTCTCAAGGCAAACTGAGGCTGCATGAATCCCGGCGGCCGGGTCATGTCGCCGACACTGAAAAAGTAGATCGAAAGGCTGGGTCAAGGTCGAGTGAAGGTCGAACGAATGCAAGCGGGAGAGAAATGGCCATAGCCACACGTGCTGCAAGCGTGAGGACGGCAACAAAGATGGGTCGAAGCGCAGCTGAAATTACAAGCGCTATTCCTCCTGCATTGTTCCGCAATTCTACAACAAACACACTCACCCCAGAGGATGCGGGTGCATCTGTGGGTGGGGGAAGTCCTCCCTGAAGTAAGAGGGGTACTCTTTGACGGAGTAGCCACCGCCGTGCATATTGCCCCCCCTATTCGGGCCCCCTCCATGGGCGTTGGGGCCTCCCGGGAATTCGCCCCTGCAAGACGGAAACAGGCAGAAATAGCTCACGACATTCGAGACACTTGTTGCACTCCAGACCAAAGAACAAAAGCTTGAGGGACGCTTAAGCTTTGCCTTTAAGAGTGGAACGCGATAGCATTATCGGGCCCAGTTTGCAAAGCCTTCTCATAAATCCACGCTCATTCTCAAGCCATGCAAGCATGTGTGCCTTGTCTAGTCAATGGCATTATGTGTGATGCCGTGACCCTATCAACCTGCTAAATATGGCGGGGAACTTTGCTGCTAAATTTTGCAGGAGAATTATCCCGCCAAATTTAGCGGGTTGATAGGATCACAACGTCACAGCTACGTGCGACGTCACGCGTGTGCGTCAGATGTGGCTGTGCATGTTGCATTGTGAGATTTTATGGTCCCGCCGACATGGTTTTCTGTGAACACTATCACGTTAAAAAAAAAAAAAAAAAAAAACACAGTGATGGGCGAGCGGATTTTGGCCAATCCGTCATTTTCTTTAACTTGTGGTTCCTTCTGGTGAGTCATTTAATAACAGTGTTTTTGCTGGGTGTACACTTGAGCAAATGTATGATTGGACAAGTTTCAGACTCGTCCCCATGGTTATACTTTATATACCTTCCATATATATATATATATATATATATATATATATATATATATATATATATATATCCACCTTTATAGAACACGGTGGTGGCTCGGTATTCATTTGGCTCGTCTGGAGCTCAGAGCTTGCTTGTTGCGCTGCTGCACACATTTTCAAGTGCTAAACTTCTCACGCTTTTTTAAACAAATACCTTGCCTCCTGTTTGTGCAGACTATACAAAGGTCATACAGCCTGTACAAAGAAAAGATTAACGGCAGAAGCTTGCAGGTATGACGTAGGAAAACTTATACCATAGCAGCTATAGTAGCACATTATAAAATGAAAAAGCAAATCTTTTGGGAAGATTGTTCTTCTTGGGTCATTGAAAGGAATGCTTGGAGTAATAACGCTCTTTTCCTATTTTGTGAAATGCCGTCATGGCCGCTTGCAATGACTACCACCATGTTGTTGCAAAGTGCTTCACGTGACTGTTAGCATCAGACAAAGTTTCAACATACAACCGTGCCAGTGTTGGGAGACTCACGCTCTCCACAGGCCGCTTCAGCAAGCAGTATGATGTACTGGCACAGTTCTGGTTAACAAACTCGAGTCAAAACACAAGAGGCTCACCCAAAGTTGCTGTTCCAGTCTCTTGGCGGTCCCGCGGGCCAACGCTGATGCATCCCCGGATCTTGCGGAGGCTGAGGCATCGGCTGCTGTGGCCAACTGTTATTTGGTGGCGGCCGCTCTTCGCTCGCATTCCCGTACCTCACCCACCCCTGCGAAAACCGAACTTGAGCATTCTGCACCCATCCCGTCTCGGGCATGCCCGACGAAGGTACTCGACCCACCATCTAGGCAGCGAATCGTACCCCACAAAATTCGTTGCCTGAGCTCGAAGTGCCAGGCGATTCTCGGTAACGGGAAAAGAGGTCTTTGCGATCGGAGAAACAGCTATCTGCTCGATCCTAACAAACGCGTTTTTGTGCACGCGTGGGTCGTGTGCTTTCCGGAAATTGCATATTTCGTGACGTTTTTGCTGTTTCCAGGGTGCTTTCGAAGTCACTACCACGCGCGCTGGTTAGGACGGTGCTCCTTCGGGTGAGCGGAGAGCATCTGCACCAAACGGCGAAGAAACGCGGAGCCGGAACTAGTGTCCTCCACCGAGTGGCCGGGGGAGGAGCACCCTGCTACGTCGCAACGCGTTTTCTTGCGCATTCAGGAAAAGTCGAAGATGAGTTAAGTTATGCGCGCCCGGAAGGCGCAACGAATCAGCGCGACGTCACGAAATACGCCATTTCCGGGAGCCGCACTGCCTACATGCACATAACAACGCGTTGGTTTGGATCGCACTTTACGGCGACAAGTCGACCCGATCGAACGGCAACCGTTTGAGATCGTTTAACGTTCTAAAGTGACCGCTTCTTTTGAGCAGACATCAGATTTAATTTTTCAACACAGGTAACATTGAAAAAGAAAGAAAAGCTAACAGCAGGCAGCTAGATTGAGCCGTAAACAAGTTAGCTCAAGTCCCACGTCTTATTAAGCGTGGCTGGTTCGTTAATCGAATAAATGTAAATGCCTGCCAACTATATTTGCTCGTAGCTCTTGCAAATTATATTGTCATTTCCCATAATCGCCAAGCTAACAATGCGTAGACACCCCACTTTTACCCAGTGAGTGAAATGCCCCCGTTCCGTCTGTGACACAAACTCCTAACGAGAAGACCCTTAAATTACGAATCTGGAGATTTCGTAGTCCAATATGGTTTCAGTCTTTAACAAGCGCCGAGGCCTCGTCTTCACAAAAAAAAAAAAACAGCCGCATTAATCCTTGAGGAACGGGCGTCGGCGAAGATGAGTAGGTTACAGGCACAGTCGAGTTCAAAACAGATGCACACAAACCGTCACCAATGAGCAAAAAGAGAAGTCCAACTTTAATTCCAGAGAACCGCGACGATGCGCTGCAAACGCAGGACCGGCACGACTTCCGAATCCGCTGCCGAGCTGGCGCCGTTTTCTTCTCTCCTCCCGCAAGAAAGATGCGCAAGGCCCGACTTACTCCGCTTTCCTTCCCCGCCGGCTGAAATCCGCAGTCCGGCGGAGGCACCCACGTCGTCGAGGAGCCTCCCCTCTGCGGACTGTTCCAGGGACCCTTGGCCGGAGCGCTCGACCCCTCCACGTCTGGAGGCTTGCGTAGGTCCACGTCTTTCGTCGCTTCTGGCGGCGGCGGCTGCTGCGGCGGAACGCGCATGTCGACGTCCATGCTGTTCTCGCCTTCCGAGCCCGCGGTGGGCTTGGACAACTCCATTGGGAGAGAGCGAAGGTCAGAGTCAGTGTTGGCGAGCTTCTCAGGGTGGAGTCCGAGGACTCGAAGGACGTGTTCCGGCGGACGCCTCTCAATGTCGACCCGCGGAGGCGGAGGCTCCAGGCAGACGAGGTGCACTTCGCCGTCGGCAGTCTTGATCGCCACGGGCTTGTTGTCAAACTGGGCGCTGTAGGGGACGCCGTCGAGAAAGATCTCGCGTAGCGGCGCGCCGAATTTGATGGTGCGTTTTTTGCCCGTCCGTTTGGACACGAATTCTTGGGCGACCCCGTCAAACGAAAGCAAGATGGGCTCCTGGAAAGATGGCAAAAAGGTCGCTCTTAGCCTTTACTCTTTTTCTCGCAACCCTGTAAAAAAAAAAAAATTGCCGCATCTGTGACATTTTTTAAAGGCGTTCTAAATGCACAGCATTTTAGGGCGTTTTTGCAGTCCTGCTTTTGCAGGCACAGAGAGGAGGCCGTTCGTGTAACGTGACATCACAATACCATATCATGTGACGTGATGTCACATTGCCACATGATATCACAATATCATGTCATGATATCGCCTGTCACGTCAGATGACCCCATGGCATTGCAGAGGAGCTTAGTTCTAGCATATGTTTTTCCCCAACAATCTGAATATCACAAGCATTCAACTCGAATGTATCAATAGACGTGAGAAAAACCGAAAAACCAACCGCTGAGTGTGACATCATACCCAGAGGTTTCATCTGCATTGCGCGTGCCACTTGTGAGGGAAATTGAGCAATGTTTTTGACTGCTCGGGTAATGCTAGCAAAAGACGCTGAAATGTTGAGATTTCTGGATAATACGTCACAATTCTTCCTCCCACCGAACACGCCTGAAAGGAGGGGCTTCGAAGCTATTTTGAAAGCGCCGTTGTGGCCACTCGGCGCGCCAATCAGAAATACAATTTTGTCATTCGTAATCCTGGAGGCCAAATGAAGACGACTGAATTGTTTTTCCTCAAATACAGAACCACTTCATTTTCTCTTTAATTTTAACTCTAAGAGATTCTTTTAAAAAGGGGTGAGAGTTAAGGCTTGTTCATACAATTGCGCTTGACTCCGACCGTCTGAGACAAGACCGGCTTTTAAACTTTTTGTGACGGCTTACAACCGGCTACATAGCAAGGCAGCCAGTTGTAAGCCGTCACATAAAGCTTAAAAGCCGGTCTCGTTTCAGCCGGTCGGAGTCAAGCGCGGAAGTGTGAACGAGCCTTTAAGTGAGTGCAGTCTTCACCATGTATTTATCAGACTCGGCTGACATTATATGAGGGGATAGTCGTCATAGTAAGTTGGCTAATTGACTAAAATCTGTTGACTAAATTTTTAGTTATTGGTTTTGGGGATGAAGTTGCAGGTACTGATTACTATTAAAGACCAGACTAATTAAAAATATTTCTGAAAATGTAATAGTTCTTTTAGATATTAATAGATAAATTTTTATGTTTTTTAGACCCATTTAATAATTGCGCGCAAAAGGGGTGCCGCAAGTCCTGCCCACAACAACACTTGGAACAGTGACGTAGCCGTTTCAATTATGTTGCCACTATTTCGGCAGCGTGCGCTATGTCACTCTTCCAAACACCCTGCATAGCCTTTACAGGTCCTCCGTAACGCCGTGGAATCACCTGATGTGACAGGCGATATCATGACATGGTATGGTGATGTCACATGATGACACCGTGACATCATGTGGCAATGTGACATCACTTCACATGACATGGTATTGGGATGTCACGTGACACTAACGGCCTCCTTACATTCGAGGACGCGAAAACCCTAAGAGCTGGACCTATAAATGCTGCACATTTAAAACCTAAATGAGAGACGGGCAGAAAATTCTTTTTACGAAAGCGTCAACACCTCGCTTAAAACATGACCCAACAAATTTTAGACTTTTTTGAAAATCCAGTTTCCTGTTTTGTGTCATGCTCCTAGACAATGTAAGCCAAAACCACGAAGTGCCACTTGCAAAGTGGTACAACTGCAAAGCCCCCGCCCGAATGCGCACCCTTCGTCAAAGTTTTTGCCTTGGTGTGGTGCCACCGGTAGCTACAGACTTGCAATCTGCCATTTCAGCTCACATTTCTCAAGAGTGCACATGTGGCCCCTGAAAGTGTTTAGCACATTTCCCCCACTGAAACAGCGCGGTCAAAGCAATCTTATAACTTTTCTTTTAGACTTTATCGCAACCCTACCAAGTGTTACGAGAAGGTACGCCTGGCAAAGCGTAGCCACTTTAGAAGGACAAAACCGTGGCAGTTCTCCCCTCTTATTTACATTTAACAAAAACAACTTGGTCCTAGCAAAGGGTTATCTTCGAACTTGATACTAGCTTCAAACTTTCCAGTTGGTATCCTGAAGCTTACATTAGCAGGTACTTTATGGTACCAACTAGAGAATCTAAAGGCAATTCTTCACAGAAAAGAGCAATAAGCAAAAGCAAGCAGCGATGCAGGTTATGCGTAAATGCAAAGTACCAAGATGACACTGCAACCCAGCTAGGTATCCCTCTAAGTTCCAGGAGAGCATTTGCTGCCACAAAAACTACACTCAAAAAAAGTAATTATGAATGCATCCAGGGTTACAGGTGGCTACCGAAACATGCTTTTGCAATGGAAGGCGTTAAGAACAGTTGAAAGCGAAAGGGTGGTGTGCTAAACACTTACCGGGGTGTGCAAGAAAACAACGAGAAGGTGACAATGCTCGCGAAAAAAAGCACGGAGACGTCTTGGTTGCAGCATGCAGAGGAGAAAGGCCAGAAAGCATACATGCAGAAGCCTGCACCTTCAGCATGCCCACAGAGAAACAAAAAAAACATGCCTAAAGCACAATCACCTCGCAGAAACATCCGACCAACTATGAGGCAAGCGTCGCATGCTTCCAGAAAAAGTGCTGCACAAAGAAATGTGATACTGCGTTTTTGAGATTAAAAGAAAACCTTATACCCGACCGAAATCACTAATGTGGTAGTTTGTTTTCGCTGTTCAATTTCATAACTGGTAGTACAAAATGCACACAATGCAAACGAATCAAACGATCAGCAAAGAGCCCCTCATGGATGTCGCTAGCGCCTCGTTTGTAATGCCCGTCTAGGAACCTTGACAGGTAGTGACGATAACTGTTTCGTCTCCGGCCACCACGAGAGAAGAGGGGAAAGCAGGAACTCCCCTCTTCCCGAGAAACTCTTTTGTGTGTCCTAGAAGTCCCTATTGTCCCTCTACAAGATTATAGAAGATTAACCCATCACTCCAAATTCGTACAAAACCAGCTGCTTCGGTAGCTGGAACGACTAGGACATCCTCTCGACGTCAGCCTCGCCGCAGCTTTGCTCGTCCCGAGACGAACTACGTCACGATTGCGTCTGATGTCACGTGCTCTCCGCTGGCTGCTCCCCAAGCGCTTGCCAGAGTTGGGCCGTTTATTACAAAAAATACAGCCACCAGGCTCAAAATACAAACGTGTGATTGTCATTTACGGATATTGTGGATCATATTCAACCTATTTTTTTTAACACGACGGGTACATTTCGAATTTCGTTGAAGTATCCCTTTAACAGGCCTGCAGAACTTTATGGTAGGATATACAAGGTCCTTTACATACTGCATATAAAGAAGACAGCATCAAATCATGCGCTCGATTTCACACACATGCTGCTGACTGCCTCAACAGCGACGGCTTTCAGCCACTGTGCGAGCCACACGGATCCGAGAGATGGTAACGCAATCCAATTCGAGCAAAGCAACTATAAACACCACTGCAACCCGGCATTATGGTACCTGGAACGCGTCTCTGACTGGTGTGTTTACTGCGTCAAACAAGCGGTCTCGTGATTTCCGCCTGATGACGTCATAAAAGGTGTCATGCTGATGCCGGTCGCAATCCTGACGACGTCCCAGCAGAGGTGGTGTGTGTGGCAGACGCCTGTTCTGCTGCAGGTTGCTCTCTAGTGTGACAGTCCACGGAAGTTTCGGCAGCCAGAAGTTGGGATGCCGTGACGACAGCGAAACTCGCATTCACTCGTGATTTTCGCCAGCATTTTTAGGACCAATCACCAGGATTGCGACATGCAACAGCATCACACTTCTGTGACGTAACTTGTTGCCACTTCGGGACAACTTTTGATGTATGGGCAGCACAGGACGCTAAACACCAGTCGGAGTGGCAGTCCAGGCACCATACCAACATTCAGATGCAAAAATATTTAGCAGACGAATCGAAAAACGTTTCCTAAAGAAAGCTGATGAGCAGAGGTAACAGACAAAATGAAGTAGTGGGTGATGCACTCCAATTTTGAACACCATTATTGCACCCTACTTCCTGTCGGAGCCTGCTGGCTAAATGAAGCGTCACTTCTAGACAAGCACAGCGAGCAGACGACACTCTGTTGTCTGCTTGCTGCGGTTATCAAGAGATAACTTCACAAGTTACAGCCTCTGCTAACTCGGTCGTCTGCGAACAGATCCGCCGATGACCCTGTTTGTTGGCCTCATCTTTCACAAAAAGAGAGCTACGCCTTCAAATTTCACCAGAATTTCACCAGAAAGCTCTTTCACCATCCGGTGAAAGTTAGAACTTTTTATGCGCAGGTGTCGATTTTTCCAACTCGTCTTACAGCACTAAAATCCATTGTGGACAGCCCATAGCAGTTTCTCACACTTTTAAATCTCAAGCTATCCTTTCGGCATTAATGCTTTGAAAAAGCGCAGAAGCCTACAGAACTTGTAAGCAATAATACGCCTACTACACTTTGTTTCACGATAGCTTGGCGAACTGCGGAGGCTGCAGTCCCCGGGAACCAATAAGAACATCGGAGCAAGGTATGTGACAACACTCCACAATCGAGGCCACGGACGCCTCGGTACACCCACAGCAACAGCGCCGTCCACGACAAAAAGTAGTTCTAGGCTTTTTTTTTCTTTCTTTTAACGGCAATTGAACTCGGGCGATACCATCTCTATTGACACTTCACTACACGATACAGAAGAAAGACAAAGACACATTACTTTTTAATGATACTTAATCTGAATTAACAATTTTCCGAGAACAATGTGGCTTTTGAACAATAATTGAACCATTGCAGCCCCGTAAATGACCCTTCTGCTCAAAGCATTGCCCTGGCATTAGCGCCTGCAAGATTCGCAAGTTAATTGAGCGTATGGTTGTCTCATGAACTGTTTCCAAAAATACTGCTACTCTAGCGGCCAGCAATTTTGTGGCAGTGGACCCTGATTCAAAGTTGGTTGGTTTTCCAGCAGACGACAGCCGGTTCCTTCGGGCCTTGCATTGGCGCAGTGACACAAGCGCTCCAGTAACGTGGTGTAGCATGCCTCGCTCCAACACTCTTACTGCGTTGCAAGCAATGAGGCTTTACAGTTTGCCAAGTTATCGTGAAAGAGAGTGTAGAGTGTGTTTGGTTCACAGCTATGCATCAGTGGGTGGCTCAGATCCTTTAAAATAGCGCTTAAGCTAAAAACACTCTTTATTTTGGGGGGTTGGGAAGGACGGCCGAGGGAGTTTGGGGAACCCACGAGTGCACTCTAAAGAACCCAGTCTGAGAACTCATGCCCTATTAAAAGTCCGAGCGTTTCCGAAATCCATTCACTACTCCATCGAGTCGGGTGGCGTAAAATTCGGGCTTCCCGCGGTGCAATCCGATGACACGCAACACTCCCAATGAGGTCTGGTGCTTCTTTTAAGAGCCACGGAGCGCACCAGCGTCACTCACCATGTCATCGATGCGGACACGTTTGGGGGGTCCCTTGAACATGATCTGGCGCGTCTCGGTGCCGCCCATCAGCACCACAGCCGTATCGTCCACAAACTGCACTTTGCGCATCTGAGTGTCCACCTGGATCGACCCCATGGCGGGGGCTGGCTCCGAGGGTGGCGGCAGCTCTGCAACACGTGGGCATCCCGGCTGTGGGCATACACAACCTCCAACAGCACTCAGACCGGCAACTCGACATTTAAGCGGCTTGAAAGTGCACCAACCTGAGGTTGCAGCAACTCAACACTGTACCAATTCGAAGATAGTATTGCAGCAACACAAAACTGCAGAAACCAGACGTTGTAGCAACTCAGCTTCGTAGCAACTTAGCCTCGTAGCAACTCAGCTTCATAGCAACTCGGCTTTGTAGCAACTCGGCTTCGTAGCAACTCGGCTTTCTACCAACTTGGCCTTGCTGCAGAATGTCAACAGTGTGCAACTTTACATTGCTCCAACTCAGCCTTGCAGCCAGAAACTCAACACTGTGCAGCTTTATGCTGTAGAAACTCCTCTTTGTAACAACTTGGCTTTGTAGCAAGTTGGCAGAAACTCAACAATCTGTCGCAACCTTACATTGCAGCAACTCTAAAGGGCGGCAATTAGCATTGCATCGGGCAGACAATGTTTAAATCAACAATGTAGACAGCCGGCATCAATGCTGTCTGCACTCTAGATCAGGGGCGGATTTAGCGGGCGAGGGGAGGGGGGGGTTTGCCCTTTCTAAACTTTTCAAGGTCAACTTTTTTTTTTTTAATGAAAACAAATAAGCTAAAAGTTCAGTTTTCAGTGGCATAGCAAATATTGGGCCAACAAAATAGATCTGGGCAACGTTTCGGACGTAACGTAACGTCTCAGCAGAACTTCTTCCACAAGATTGACCCATAAATCTGCCCCTGCTCTACATCGCTGAGTAAAAAGCAGTACTGGTTCGTTGCAATGTTGACAACATAGCCAACATTGAAATGAGGTGGCACTGTAGAAAACTCGAAAGTGCGGAGAGCCAACAATGTGGCAGGTTGATCCTGCTGAGACTCACTTTGGTGAAAAGGAGCAAGCAAAAAAGCTAACACTATTTCCCGAGGAAAACATTTACCTTTGACTGGGTTCATGCCCGGGAAAGGTGATCCAGCATTCCATGGAAAGCCAGGTCCCTGGGTGATTCTTTGCCAATCCAGGGGCTGTGCATAATGAGAGAATATTTTCCGTGACAAAGTGTAGCTAAAAGAAAATAATTAGATTCCCCAAAGCAATCATAAAAAGATTGACCTCAAAGATTGATCTCAAAATGATCTCGAGTTGCAACAGTCCACTAGAGAAAACGGTGTATGCACAACTTTTAAAAGTGATGTAGAGGGAATTTCAGCCTACGTCCGATCCATTCTCGTATTTCACGGTCAATTATTTTAGGGAAGAGAGAGAACAGTTCATTCGACCCAAAGTTCCAACTGAACTTCAGAGGGTTCTTTTAAGACGCTGACCCCTGCCTAGGGTCTGAAGCAACATTACTGAAAGCAGAAAGGAACCCTTCGTCATTGTGCGTGTCACTCTATAAAATATGAGGTGCACCTCAACGTAGTGGTGCCAACATGTAACGAAACATGAAATACAGAGGCTCTTGTTAGCGGCGACATTTCTTGCCCATCTTCGGGACGTCGCACACTCCCCATTGGTCTCTACAACGATGAAAGTATGCTGAAGGCACTGTTCTTAAATAGCGTCGCAACCGTTTGTAACTAAGTCGGTTATAACGAAATGGCAGCTTTGGCAAAGCGATCACGATTTCCCATTACCGTTTGCACTTGTTTAATGTGTTTGGGTCTGTCTTTAGTGAAAGAAATTGAGTGGCTCCCACTGATATAGTGAGAAAACTTTTCATATAATCTAAAAAAATAATCAAATTCTGAAAGTTTATTGAGTCGCAGACCGCCACACTTTGCTGCCGCGGCCGAGCAGCCACCCAGAACGAGCCACGGACGTGCCGCAAAGGCCACCGGCGGCAGCCTCTGCATCGTCGTCTGCTCCCCACCCCTTATCTGGGAAGCGGCTTTTCTGCACCGCACGCGGAGAAGTCGTCGTAGCGTGCCAATAGGGGCGTTTGGAGCACTAGCGACAGCATACCTAGGGTGTATCGACGGAAATGATGAAAAGAACCTAAATTTGAGAGAGGGAGCAACTCCAATTTAATGGCGGATGCCCCTTGGGCAGATGGGCTAAAGTGCACCTGCATTTGGTTGTCTCGTGGACAGCGTGGCAAGGAAACTGGGCAAAGAGGCGGAGACGTTTGCAGACGGTGAATGCTTTCGAATTCTTGCAGGCTGCAGCTTGTTTTGCAAACGCTGTCCACAAACCACGTGACCCCGATCGAGCCGTTGCCGCCTTTCTTAAATCTAGGCTCTCTGTACCCGGCAAAACACAAACTTGAGCACGAACTCAGTGCCATGCACACTTTGTTTCCTTCGTGTTTCATGTTGGCGTCGCTGGTCAGTGTGGTCGCTCTCTGCGCAAGAGTCTAGCTTCACACGAGCACTGATTCGGCGACTCATCACCACTCAACGATGGTCAGTCCCGGCGCTGTCGGCATCTCGACAGGGAAGACGAAGGCAATCTCCTTGAAACAAAAGCGTGCCGCCACCCTTGACGAAGTGCGCATCAGTGTAAAGAATGCTGTCCACCGCCAATGTCCTCAGCGGCGGCCATCGCAGCTGTCAATAGGGCTCTGGACGCAGTCCGTACACAGCTCGCAGGATTTTCTTCCAAAAACTTCTCGCAGTTGGCGAGAAGCGGCTCCGATCTAGCAGACATTGTGTGCGAGGAAGCCTCGACCACTTTCTGCAGGCACGATAGACATGTGCCTGTAACAACCCGTGTTATCTTTTTATTTTATTTTTTTTTATTTTTTGTTTTGCACGTTACTTTTATGATGCTTAGATATAACGAAGAAGCGGATATAGCGAAGTGATTTCAGGTTCCCGTCGACTTCGTTATAACCAGTGTTGACAGTATATAGACTAATACTTATGCAGGGGTGCCAGAAATGTTCGGGAGTTGGAGGGTGAAAGCAACGGAATACGAAGGGAGATTTTTCTCCCCTTTCTCCCTAATCGTTTACGAGAAATGTATTAAATGACTCGACATGGCGGGGGAGAGAAGGGGGAGGGAGGGGAATTGTCTTCTCTCTTGCTTTAATGCCACTGCACTTTTCCAAAATGAGCCCCGTACATTGCATTGTTTCTCCACAACTGTTAGCTAATGCCCGTGTCCCACTAGAGAGACAGACAGAGACAAAAGACAGCGACAAGCCTCAAACCCATGCGGCATGCTCGCCATGGTACCTTTGGCAGGCGTTTAGTCGTTCGGTGCTCGTGAAGTAAGCGCGAGTGATTGCAAGCCTGCAAAAGCCACCCTCGCGTGCATGATGCTCGTGATTGAGCATAGCCTCCTTTATTCTACAAAGCCTCTCAAATCGCGAAAAACTCTGGTTTGAGGCTTGTCGTTGTCTTTTGTTTCTGTATGTCGCTCTGGTGGGACACGGGCATACATTCGAAAAGCATTCGCATGAGAAACGCTTTTCGGGGAGGGACGTGCGTGACATTAGAGATCGACAGAACCAGCAGGATTCCCTCCCCTGACTCAAGCATTCACATGAACGCATCACATGGGAGCCGAGAGAGACGTCAGTGTTATCAGATGCATTTTGTGGTCGTAGTCTCGACAAGAGGGCTCAACGTGCGGTGACAAGAGTAGAAGAATGGAGGCGTTCGCGAAACGGCAATATGCGATTATGGCAACAGCACTATTAGATGCAGAAGACCGCAAAAAGCTTCCTGCTAAAAGAAGGATGCTTCTTGAATGGGTGGATGTATCACAAAGGACATGGAATCAAAAACCACTTGTATGAAGAGTGGCTTCAGGACGACATTGACGAATATCGAAGACTCCTTCGGGTGTCTCGGATGACACGCACAACACAGCAAGCCACAACAAGTTAGGCAACCCCGGTGCCACCGCCGGCATCTCGCTGTTACCAGACACGCGGACAAAATACCGCCAGTTGCAAAAAGATTCCATGCCAAGGTAGGGGGGCGTTCGTGCAGTCCGAGCGAAAGCTCGCCAATCCACCTGCGATGCCTACGTCAGCAGGACTCCGCGCAAAAGTGTGACGTTTTCACCATGTGATGCGTACCCAAAGAGCAAAGGCAGAGATATCCTTCCCGTGTGAATACCCCTTCATAAACGAGAGGATATCTGTGTTCATAGCTTCAGGTAACGGCAAATGATCCCCCAATCGTAAAACCCCTCTATAAGATTCACACTTGGCGTTTCTTACGAGCACTGACGACCAGCAATGCGCGGCGAACCCATGGGGCACGTGCCACGAGCAAAGTGCTGAGCCACCATTTGCTCGACGTCAAACAGTCTGGGAAACCCCAGCAAAGTGCCAGGTGAACAGAGAGAACGAGAAGGCAAGCCCACCAGGAGCGGTTGTGACTTGCGGAACTGGGAGAGCTTCTCGAGCTCCGCCTTGAGCTCCCGGTGGAGGTCCGGGTTGATCAGGCCTGCCCTGAGCTGCTCCTCCGTCTGCTGCAGGAAGGCCTCGGGGTCCGCCAGCATCCGCTCCATCTGGAGCCTCTGCTGCTGCTGCTGCATGAGGTTCGGGTCGTTGCCCGGGCCCTGGCCGACGTGACTGCGGAACCTGGGACGCAACGGAGTGGACCAAGGTGTTACGACTGGCAAGACTGCGACTTCGTGGTTCCTGAGTGACTTAAATGTTGCCTCGTTTTCTTCGGCTTCTGAAGAATGTTTTGGCATCCTTCACTAGGATGTCACAACTGCTACATCGAACTTCCCCCAAAACATTTTTTGTTTGTAGCATCCTTCATTAGGATGTCACAACTGCTACATCGAACTTCCCCCAAAACTTTTTTTGTTTGTGGCACCCTTCACTAGGATGTCACAACTGCTACATCAAACTTCCCCCAAAACTTTTTTCGGTAAGTGCCTGGATAAGATATGAATGTCACAAAATAAAACTTCCCCAAGAAAAAAAGATTTTCAGCGCAATGTTTACATTGCAGGACGTGTCTTGAGTTGGGGGTGATTCTGTAACATGCATCTATTTCAGCAAAATGACCTGAAACAAAATCAGAATTGCTCCTAAGGATCCCCTGGGGTCTTTAGGAGCTCTCAAAAAAATATTATCTCGAGTGCCTGGATTGTACATGGATGCCACAAAACGAACCCCCCAAAAACAAAAATATATATAAAAAATGTATTTACAACCATATTTGTATCACTACTAACTTCCAAGGGAGATGAGGAGCGATTCTGAAATGCGCTTTTCTTACAACACATCAAACCAACATACAAGCAAAAATAAAAGCATGTTGCCGAACTAACGTAAACACTGCACTAATTTTTTTTTTTTTTTAAAGGGGAGGGGGGGGGGGGGGGGGGGGTTGTGAATTATGTGTTTTATCCAAACACCAAAAACTTTTTTTTTTAATTTAGCGTTTTCTTAAGGGACACTTACTACATGGCAAGAAATGATTAAAAATCCCACCTTGGGTCGGACATGAGTCTCCGAAACAAGGGTCGGCCGAAACGGTCCACCAGCGGCTGACCACCTCCGCGACCTTGAAAGCCACCCCTGCCCATGCTGGCACCTCCTCTGCCTGCCGCCGCTGCAACCACCAAATCAGTTCGAGATGAGACACACTCTCAAAAGCGCATCTGTGCACAGAGTCATATACCCTGTTGCAGGTTGAAAAAAGCCCGACAAGAGGAGATGAGTGGACTCTTCCTCTCTCTCACCTGCTCTCAAACATTCGCTCTGCTAACGAGGGAAGAGAAGAGGGCTTTGCAGGAAGAGCCTGCACGCTTTTAAATGCGTTAGCATTTATTGTCCCGGGGCATGCAGCCGTCCCCGGTTTCGACGGTCATGGTTCGGACTGGACCGGCTTCGTGTCTGATGGTCAAGGGCATGTCTGACGGTCAAGGGCTTTGGGGACCCCGAGACGTTTTCGGGGACCACAAAGGATCTGCGGGCCCCCATTTGATAAGCACCGTCCTAGGCGACACCGAAGAGGACTGGGTTGTTTTCTCAACAACAAAACTTCAGCAGAATTGCCCTTTAAACCTACAACTGTAGGGGAACACACTTAGGTGGCAAAGTTTAGTGTTCAAGAGTAGCCTGCACGATTAAAGCGCAAAAACATGCCTAGCGATATCAGTTATTCTGGCAAAAACAGGCCAGGAAATGCTTAGCCTAGACTTTGGGAGAAAGCCAAATGTACGGTGCCAAAGAAAGGTTGAAGTAAGCTCCTAATACCGGCACGGGCATTCCATACACTGGTATATAGAGTGAATACTATTTTTGACACGAGAAAGCTAAACTTTAATGAAGTTTCTACCGTAATCAAATTTTTGCAGGTATGGAAGTGTTAAGGCCAAGTTAACGCGTGCACCACAGTGCACAAACAAAAAAAAAACACGAGGCCACGTGCAACGAAGTGTTGATAAAGTGCCGACTAAGACGCATTCAATGCTGCGTCCATAATATGGGTTCCTATACAGGGTTCCCCAAAGCACCCTCAAGGGTTCCTCCGAGCTCTCAAACTTTCTCAACCATCCTTGTTCCTAACTATGTGTCTTTCAGTTTAAACCCTAGCCAGCCATTTATGCGTAACTTTGAGTCAAATGTTCCCCAATATGTTTATATTGTTCAGAGGGTATACGTAAGATGTCCCAAGCTCGATCTAAAATGAACCGTGAAAAGCGATGGCTACACGTAGCAATCTAAACTTGTCGTCAAAGGATGTATTTCACAGGTCGGTTTTTTTCTTGTAAGATTACAAAGTGCAGCTCCCTTTCTGTAAAAATAGGGCCAAGAAACTTGCCAGGGTCAACGGTGGACGGCGACACAGACAACCAAGTCAAGTGGCGGGGCGCGCTTGGCGCTCGTATTGATGGATGGCGCTGCCTCCTTATCGAGACAGCTCGCTACCACTGTGGTTTATTAAAATGAACATAATCCGCTTGTAATTTACCTTTGGTTAAAAAATAAATGCAGACAATAAAAGCAAAACTTGAAGTAAAAAAAATGCGTCTGCATAACGACGGCACTTTTGTTGCCAACGGATTTCGTCTGCGTGTCGTCTGCTTTCTTTCGCTGATCGGCTGTACCTTCAGACGCTGCCCCCGACGCCATCTATTTAATATGCACGCCAAACGCACCCCGCAATTCAACTCTGTGATCTGCGTTGCCGTTTGCCGTTGGCCCTGGCAAGTTTCTTGACCTTATTTTTTACAGAACGGGAGCTACGCTTTGTAATTTTACAAGAAAAAACCGACCTGTGAAATGCACCTTTGATGAAAAGTATAGACTGCTACGTGCAGGCATTGATTCTTACGGTCCATTTTATATTGAACCTGGTGACTTGGAACACCCTATAGATTTCTGCAGTGCTTTATTTCGTCGATGATACACTGGGAGGGGTGCTGCAGTTCGAGGCAGATACAAGTTCCTCGAGATTGAAAAGAATGCCTGAAGCTCCAGACTCGCTGAACATAAAGTCAAAGTTGGCGTAGCACACCGATTGGTCTATTGTGCTGTGCTGTATGTGTGAACGGGCCAACCTTGCACACCCCGGCGATGCGCGTGCATTTGACGTGCTACAAGCCTTACCGGAAGTTGTGCAGAGTTTAAGGAAAGCAATAAGGGAAAATGCACAAAGAAAAAGTCTCCCCTCTCCTCAAAGAATGGGAGAGGGGAGAGGGTCACTACTGCGCCAACGCACCGCCGGGCGGCAACTGGCGCAAATCCTCGTCCCTGCCGTCCATGTTCTCACGTGCTGGCCGCAGGGGGTTCTTGTATTCGTCCGGGTGTGTCGCCTTGTACTGTGCCCATCCCCGCTGGGACGTGCTGTTGGCACCGGGGCCCTTGCGGTAGTCGAAGTCCCCCAGCACCGCCTCCCTGCCAAAGGGAAACGGGGCCTTTAGAACCAAGCACCGTCAGAAGGCTGCACTCAAGCTTCATTGGGATCAACCGTGAACATGAGGGGGGGGGGGGGGGTGCATTCGGCCTGATTTCCACACACCTCTGCCCATTCCAATCTGGACGAGTCGTGCGTCGCTACTGCATGCTACACATTAGAGACCCGGAACTTGCAATCATACTGCACTGGCTAAATTTCTCCTCTACTGCAGAGACACCTGATGACCATTGGGGCTGACTGACTTTCTGCTGTCTAAACGTACACCTAACACAATTACGTTTAACTGTGAACATTGCAAGCAGCATGCCTGGATCTGCGCAGGGTTCTTCGAGACTTCGCCCGACAATTTGCCTTTGTGTGGCGGTTGTCGTAAGAGTTTGGGTTAGCCAGAATTTTGTTGGAAGCTTAGATTCATTTTTGTGGTGGGTAAGAAACTTAGTTTTGGCTGGTTTTTTCCACGGGGCTCTCCCCAAAAGGGGAGCCATATAAAGTGAGAGTTTGGTCGGCTTCACAAGCACGAGATATCATCGCTGGTTTGCATCGTCCGTTTGAGATGTATAAGCACTTAATTTGGTGACAATAGAAAATTATGGAGGGGGAGCTGAATTCCTGGTAATCTGACTTCCCCACCATGGTTATTATACTACCGTAATATACAGAGCATGTGTCAACGTCACAATAAATGCCCACCCCCTACTTTTGAGAAATTTTAAAAAATCATTGAAGGACATATCGAGCAATCACACCCCAATTTAAGCAAGTTCAAAAATGTGCGAAAGACACATCAAGCGTCCAGTTGCCGTGGGAGGCCATTATCTCAGCGAACGGCGAACGGCACGCGCATTGCCAATGCATAGCTCAGGTGAAGCTGCTTTAGTAACATAGACTAGATGGTGCGTAGTCAATCACAATAAATCATATTTAGCTACATAATGAATGCACCCCCAACAACAATCATCAGTATTGATTTCTTTTCTTCTCCCGCACAGCCGTCAAGTCAATTAAGCCACCAAGCGGCCATGCCAAGCCAAGACCAGCAGCACACATGCACGCAAGTTGTGGCTGCATGTGGGACACGTTTCGTCAATCGGATATATAGATGTCAACAAACATGTCGTGGCCAGTGGTCCGTTTTCGGACGATGAAATCGTCGAGCATCGACGGGGTTTTTTGTCCGTCGGCGTAAAGAACGCCGAGGTTTTGTTTTCACATGCCAGTGCACTCGGTTATGTAGGAAAACAATGGCCATTCTGAGTTCAGTGGTCGGAGCAAGCAGGGGCCCGCCCGACCGTGCGCTCCATCTGCATTTTCTCTCTTGGACATACAAGGTACAAATCCCCCATTTTTTCATGATTATTTCCCGATTTCGAGTGGGTGCTTGCTCAGTATTTTACGGTACGCACCTTTAGGATGGCTCCCAAACTCTTCTACCATAAAGCACGGTTCACACATTTTCATTGGAGTGCGACTGCGCTTGCTTGTGACCGCCTACGTTGAGAGAACCCACTGGGACACGAGCGCCACCCATCAGGTACACCTGGAACTCTTCAGACATGTGCATAACCAGAACGAGGATCTTGCAGTATTTGCCGAACAAAATTTACGCACTACCTCTAAAAACGGTTGCTCATAACGTTATCGAGATGACTTCAAGCATGCGGTGAAAGAATGAGGTGAAAAAAGAAATTAGGAAATATATAGTACGCAGACCGCGAGTGTTCAACAGCTACCTGGTAGATGACTTCTGCACGTTCTCTCGTAGGCGGTCACAAGTGGACACAACACACTCGGTCCAACTCAAATGCGTGAACTAGTCCTAAGATGGATGCCACACTCTTCTGCCGTAGATGGCTCAGCTTGAAAAAATTGGGAGCCCCGACAGTCGCCCTCGAGAACTGAAGATGGCGACTCACCCTCCAGCCTTGTGCTTCTTTAGCTGCGGACTCTCCCCGTTGCTGCCGACGTCCACGTCTCGCTTCTTCTCCGGAATGATCCGCATGTCCACGTCCCCGGTCTGCAACGCTTCAGACTCCGCCGGAGACACATTGTTGCTGTTGGCGGCGTTCCGGCTCTTCTCGACGTCCGCCGGACGGATGTTCTCCTCCCCCTTTGACGACTTGTTCCCTTTCCCCCTCGACTTCTTCCCTCCTCTCCCGGGCGACGAAGCTGAAGACGAAGTGAGAGAACGGTGAGCGTGCCTCTCGTCCTTGTCCTCGTTCGCCTTGCGCGACTTCGTCGGCGACGCTTTCGTCGGGGACGTCTTTGCCGGGCCCGTGCCGTTCTTACCGCCTTCCTCCGTGGACTTCTTGCGGTCGGTCGTCTTGGGAATGCGGAACTTTTTCGGCGGGGACTTGGAGATGCCCTCGTCTTTCGCGGAGCCCCTGACGCCGCTCCGTTTCTCCGGAGAGCTCAGAGTTTTCTCAAGCTGCGCGGGGGTCGGGACGGAAGCCACGGTTCGGACCTCGGACGATGGCTGCAATGCAGGGGGCAACACCGTGTTCGGGGGGGGTCGGCCGAAATCAGGGGGAGGGACTAGCCGCTGCTGTAACCTCGGGTCGCGTGCTGTCATGGGCGTCTGGGGTTGCAGCACCTGCGAAGAACGACGAAACTTTATGCTGGAACGTTTGTGCAACCTCGCAAAAGAAGACGGCGTTCGAACGCGACCCTGGATACCCAAGTGATCATGATACCCCAGTCCAACCAATACGACTACACTCTGTTTCACCTCATAATGGACTGCAGAAAGTGCTACGAGCCATGAAAGCTGATGCAATGCCCTGCAAGTGTCACGTTACGATACACGGGGCGCAGAGTCATGTGATACATTCACCGCGCTGGATTGCCTGGGATAGCTTGTAGCATCCACTGCAGTCCATCGCAAGATGAAACCATGTACGGTGATGCCTTCTTATTATAGACATCTTCATCCCAGCAAACATTGTCCGTAATGCAAGTTGTCTATAACGACGAGAGAAAAATGGACGCAATTACCCAATTCGTCCCGAAGACTTACTCTAGACAGCGGGATATCCATATCAACGACACGCAAGTGAATAGAGAAATGCAAAGTCGGCCCACACTTTAGGACACGCGTATAAGTCCGCCAGGCACTTGTCGAACGACTTCAAATTGCGACTCCGTGTTATTAAGAAGGCAGACCGTGCCACACGCGGCTTTCGTGTGCAAACGTGAGACCTACCTGAGGCCTCATGGGAGTTCCGCCCGGGACAGGCGGCGGCGGCAGAGTGTTACGGATGGCTCCACCCGGCGCTGACTTCAAGGACTTCATGAGCTGCTGCGAAAACGAGCCAGGGGAAAAAAAAAAGGGGGTTTCAGTTTTTCCAAACTTTTCGCAACGACATCGCGGAATCACACCTTGCACACGCCGCAGACACAAGTCTTTCCCGTTCGTGCAAAAACTCACTTCGAAGCCGACGTGCAGTGCCAGCTTCATCTGGAAAATTAGGGGCGGTGCCGGAAGGGAGGACAACCCCAAAGCAGGCATTTGGGGAGAGAGAAGCAAGCGTGCAATTCATTAGAGAGCATGCGGGTCAGTCGGGCACAGCCACAGTCAATGCCGAGAGTCGGTGGACAGTTTTCAGAGTGCAGACGATTGATTTAAGCTAGAATCGCGTGATTTCCCCTCAACCAAAAGGAAAGTACTGTCTTCAGTGACAATGTGACTGCCAATCAAAGATTCGTTCCATTCTCCTAGATCTCTCAAGTAAACATTTATGATTTTGGACACCAGATAGCTACAGATCTCGAGTCATCTGGGGCATTGATCTTCAAACATGATGGCCCATCTGTGGTCATTAGGCATAGTGCATTAATGATGTGCCATGAAGAGCAGAGGGTCAAGCTTCCCTGCACAGCTTCCTCAACATGCAGGAAAAATGTAATAGAGCCGAGCAAGAATGTGCTTGCCTTTTACTTTTCCTCCCCCATAAAACTGTGTTTGATCGTAATAACACGATAGACATGCACACATCTTTCAAGACCGCTGCCCCAAATAATAAAGGGTTTCCAGTCAATGCGGTCAACACTAGGCAAGGTCTATATTTTTCTGTAATGTAAAAGATAAGTTTTCTCCTTCCTCAAGCCAAGAGGGTAACAAAGGAGAGGTACAATGAACTAAGAGAGGAAGTTATGAGTGTGCTCAGAGGTAAGAAAATCTACCCTCGGGGAAAGAAGATAACTAACAAAGATCCCCTTCCCTAAAAGGGATCTCTTTCTAGTAATGGAGATCACCGCAAGGGAAACTTCTGGGGAGGGAAGAGAGGGTATGCTGAGAAGGGGAGGCCTGCAAAAGTGAGCGGTGCAAAGCCATACGACGTCCTCAACGCCTAGAACCACGAGCCACGAAAGCGCCAAATACACGTGAGCAAGAATGGCGTTGCGTCGCACTGCCGGGTGGCGCAACCGAACAGCCTACACCGACACGGTGGTGCGACGGTGCGGCATTTGGCCATGTTGTGGCGTCGATTGCCATGGTTACGTCGCTCAAAGACGCAGCGTAACGCTGCTTTTTTTTTTTTGCTCAAACGCCTTTTACGTTTGACTTGTATTACTCTGAAAACCGAGTCCACCGACCACGCCCGCCACCAAAGCCCGAAAGGGGAGGCAAAAAAGAGAAAAAAGCGACGCCTCCCGAAAAGCGAGAGGGGGAGTTTCTCCGACCGGAGACGCGAGCGAGAGGCAACGAGCGCCGCGGAGCTGCACCTCAGCTTCCTGCTTCTGCTTCAGCTGCTGCTGCTGCATCTGGAGTTCCAGTTGGAGCTTCTGCCGCTGGAGGAGGATGAACTCCTGCTGCTTTTGGAGCAGCATCCGCTGGACCTGTTCGCCTTCCGACGACGGAGCCACGGTGCCGAGGACCTGGCGACGCGCGGGGAGCAAAAAGGTCCGTCTCACGCGATCGCCACCCAAGCCGCTGGAGGAAGCAGAGCGAGCGGGCGAGGCAGACGCGGAAACAACCAGGGAGCACCGTCCACCCTTGCAAAGTTAGAGGAAGCAGAGAAACCACGCAAATCCAAACTGAATTGTAAGAACTTACGAAAGAACTAGAAGTGGGAGGACACACCATGGACGGTCCATCTTTCGTCCTTCTACGTTCTATTTTTTCGTAAGTTTTTTTTACGCTATACCAACGCTCTCACCACAAGACGGGGAACTATGTCGTCTGTGACGTCGGGCGTTATACCCCGCGTCAATGTTTTCCTAGTCTCCGACAGGGTGCGATTGACAGGGCATCTCTTTCAAATACTTAGCCCCTGGCGTGCACTCGTCTCTTCCTGTCGATTATTATAGAAGTGCAATGTACGGCGGGGCGGACACTGTTTCTCCGGTGCTCAGAGAAAAAGGAGGTCAAGAAGACAAAGGAAAAAAAAAAGACAAAGAAATGTCTACTTTTTGTGTCAGTGAAAACTGTGCTAGCTTTACAATGGCTGTACAAAAGAGATGACACAGAATACAAAGCAATGATGTAAAGCAATGTGATTGCCATGTTTCTACAAAGTATATTCTATTAATAGCATGACATGATGGACATTAATCTGTCCGAATTGAGGTGGGTCCCCTAACACCAGAGCCCACCAAGAAGTGAAGGCAAGCCTGCTGCAATTGAGACAAATGATACTGAACTACTAACCCAGATACATTTTATCAAGGACTCACTGAAGAGACTAATTTGTAGGCTCCGTACAAAAACTCATAAAACAGAGTACTATGAGCTACTTTCTGCCACTTTCTTATTACCTCTTACATTTTCATTTTTTTTAGATTTTGTAGATACTGCATCGGCTCGCGACTGGAAGAAATTGCCATGCAGAATTTATCCACGTCCCAGACAGCGCTCATGAAAGTATGAAAGCCAGACAATGAAAAATGCACCTTCTTTGAGCAGCAAGCAGGGAACATTCACACACAGTATAAATATCATCAGAATCATCCAAAATCAAGAGTGGAAACCTCCCAGGAGGCAAGAGTATGTGATCGGGATGCAAGCAAGCAGAGCAAGACGTCAGACAACAAAGAAAAGCCAAAGGCCTCCATGAAAGCGAGAGGAGACAAGGTTTGTTTACCTTTTCTGTGGGTTTGGACAGGGGGTCTAAGCTAGCTGTCTTAGCAGACTGCTGTTCCAATGCTTGCTGCTTCTCCGCGTTCTACAGAGGGGTGGGGGAAGACGACAACGACAGAGGCAGGGGAGCAAAAGCAGAATCAGAAAAAGCCGTCGCCACAAGAAGCACACTGGGGAACGGGTTAGTGAGAAACGGATTTCAACAATGGCGGCTGCTGTGCGGAGCAGTGGACAGCTGACGTCAGAGTTCCTCTAGACGTAACAAAGCAGTGAGGCCAACAATAGGAAAAAAAGGAAGACTGATTGGTAGCCAAGAAGGCCATTGTTTTGTGCAAGAAAAACTGCCACTGAAAATTAGGAACTTTTGGCTTGCTCTTTTGCACATTCTTTTCCTATCCACATCAACTGGAAGGCATGCATAATGTACTTTGGCTGTTTAAAGGGACACCGCAGGATCAAAAACTGTTTTTTCCTAACTGCTTGAATAGGTCACTCATGCACGAAATGCATTTTCTCAAAAAGAAGAGATAATTAGCACGAAGTTTATATCGTGAGACACATTTTAAGTTTGAAGCAATTTCGTCTACTCACACATGCGGGCTGAGAAATTACCCTCATTTTGAAGTCAACATCAGAGTGAAATCACAATAGGAGACATTTTGTCAGCCTCCCACAGGATGGAAGAAACCACAGAGCAATCTGTGACTGACACAGCACTTTAATTTTGAGCATGTTTTTAGTTCCTATTTACCATCTCAGTCTCAAATAAAAATTTTGTAAATGTCAAGGTTTGAGCAGATAGACATTTATTTATTTATTTATTTTGCAGTCCCCCTAAACAGCCCATGGGCATGCTAAAAAAAAATAGTCGTTTGGTGGTACTGGCCTTACTGTTTATGTCTAATGCAGGACGGTTTAGTCTTTACAAGGATATTATAAGATATTGTAAAGAATCTATGATGGTCTTTGATCTACTGTAAGAGTTCGCTAGGGACTGAGCATTGCTAAAGAAGAGCAGTCTTGCTCGGGATAATAATTCACCGACAAACTGCAAAACAAGCCCAGTTCTAACGGTGATAACTGAAAGAAGTTCCGCAATACCAGTTCAGAGATTAGAGCACCGTTAAATTAGCTAGATCAGCACAATAGTATGACCAACAAAATAAATAAGGGCATGCAAGCGACAGCTTAGTCCTGGGCACCGTGTCAATCAGCCGACGCACAGTTCGTACTGTCTGCGAACATTTTGGTCTATCTATGAACGAGCTTATTTGTCTTGACGGTAACTTCACACACGCAATCAGAGTTGCCATGAGGGAAGTGCGTAGCTGCAACAGGCAAACGCACTTGCAGTCAAGGCCCGGCGGAAAGCAAAGAATTCACGTCGGAGCCTCAACTGCATTCTTGACCTATCACTGACCGTAGATATGTAATCTAACACAAATGCACACCTGTGCCACGACGCACGGGTCAGCTTAGTTTGACCGTCAGTTATCAGCGCTCCCCTGCATGCACTCAAAACAGAAGCCGCTTCCCACGCAAGAGCGGTCGGTCAACGTCGAAAGCGTCCCACTCACGGCTTTGGCCTCGAGGAACTTTGGGTTGACGTGGATGGTGGTCGACTGCTGGGGCTCCTTGGCCATGACGGGCCAGGCGGGGTCCAGCGCCTTCACTCTCGTGTCTAGACCAAACAGCTTCTTGTTGGGGAAGATCTCGGCCCACGTCTGGCGCAGCTTGAACAGCTGCATCCGCATCTTCTCGTCACCCTACGGGGGCGAGGAAGACGAGTGTTGGAGCGGCGGCCCAGCAAAAAACAAGAGCCGTCAACAACGCGCGCAACCAAGTGTTGCTGCGCCCGGCCTTTCTCAATTGGTCGAACGCTCGGTACGTCTTTAACCGGATTAATTCTGCTCTTGTCGACGAAAATGAGAGTAAAGACTGAGAACTTTGTTGGTGTCGGTTTAAGAACATGACAGATTCAAGGTTCCACCGTGCTTTTTACGCGCAACGTCGGAACTTGTTGTCGCAACCGGTGGCGGGTAGCCAGGATCACAACCGACGACATCGTGGAAGGGAATTATAAGAGGGCGCCACCGAAATATCTTTAGTGCTAATATCACCAACAGGACGAGAATGGCAAAAGGGTCTCTTAGCTGCAATGCACCCGCCGCGAGCGTTCTACCTTCACCAACGCTTCGGCGTCTCCTAAGCGGACAGCCAAAGCATGATGGAAGGCAACGAGCATGCGCTCGAGGACGTACCGGGAGCAGACAAAATCGTGCCGGCAGCAGACAAAAAAAAAACCTACAACAGCCTCTTCACACCATTTTTCTGTTGCACAAAGTAGCTCTTTCGAGAAGCTGCCTAAAAGACGGATTCTTGTGCGGTAACAAAAATTCGTCCTTGAGGCAGATTCCTACACAAAATCAAACCGTCGGCATAAACACAGTCCATAGCACAAATGGCTAGGGTGTGGTTCTTTCCAGTTGTCTTGCCTCCAACACAGGTTGCCTTTCCCGTCGTCTCAACAGGTGAGGACATATACTAGGCTATGCCACAACATTGTGAAGGCACAGATTTGCACCGAGGCAATCGAAAAAGCATCCTCAATGTGCTAAGGCTATTGGTGAACTTACATGAGGTTATCAAGTTAGAAATTACATACCAGAGACCACGCAGCAAGGCGGCTTCTTGTAGCCTTAGCCTACATCATACCAAGTTATGCATACTGCAACAGGTAGTTGTTTATTTGAGACCACAAAATTTTCGGCTGAACAATTAAGATCACAAACAGAACAAGAATGTCAAAGACATTCTGGTTCCCAGGACTTAAGGCTTTCGAAATGACCTAACTGCGTGTGCACACGTGAAACCAAGTCGCCGAATGCAGAAAGCTGGTGCTGGAGGCACGACAACTCGAAAGGCCTCCTTGCCATTCTGGAAACCACAGAAATTGAACTGCAAGCGTGATGCCGCTGCTGGAACGAAAAGACGTAAATGAGGAAACAAAGACGGAGTGTACCTTTTCAAAAACGCTGCAAAAGTTGGAAACCACGTTCTGGGTAAACAGGGCGCGATAGGCGCCCCCAACGTTCTTCATAATGGAATCAATTAGGTATAGCACTGGGAGCTTCATCTCTATCGGCACCTAGAAGAGAATTTGGAAAGGTTAGGCGAAGGCAGGAGCTTTAGAAAAGAGCAGTTACTCACCGCACGCAGTCTTCACTCATGCTCACACCCAGGAAAAGTAATTAAGTATTTACCCACTTGGCTATTCGGGCAGCCAGATTCATGCCCAAACTACAAACATTGAAAATGTTTATTTGTGGCAAAACGGTCTCGCAGAGAGCGAGCTTCTGGGTCCATGAAGTTGGTCTTTACATAGTCGTCTTAGTGATGAGGTTATCCTTGCCTACCCAAGTGCAGTGGCAGGTACCACAGCTTCACATCAGGTATGTGTACTTGATGCAGTGCTATGCACTGCAGCCCCAGGTTAAATGGTACACACAAAATATCCCCGACTAAATCGGGGCAGCTGTGTAGTGAACAAGGATTCAGCACAGCAGCAACAGTTTATTGGAATGACTACAAAAAAAGCCCTTTTTTTTTCTGGATGGTCAATTCCCGCGCACACATGGAAAACTAGGTAAAAAGGATCTGACGCTGCAAAGAACTAAGAATTCGTGATACCTCTGGTACAGGATGGCCTCCGTAACTGTTGCGCCATAAGGCCCGCAAGCAACAAACTTTCAGTACCATACGTGGCCTCAAAGAAAAAAAAAAAAAGGGGGGGGGGGGGAATTAGGTGCGAACAAGAGAAAAACAAAATGGAGGACGGCTTTTTCAAGATGTGCGAAATCCGCTTCGAAAATTGTATTCATTCGATTAAAAGGGGGCCGTTTGGATACGCGGCACAAACACGACTTGTAGTTTTGCTCGTATCAAAAACATTACCGAATAGCGAGTGATCTAGTCGACACAATCGAAAAGGCGCTCTTTTTGTGTAGTACTCGTTCCATGACGTTTGCGAGCACGCGTTTTCCTCGAACCTCGCGTAGTGCACAGCACACAAACAAACAAAAATGATCGAACGCGTCTACTGCGGTGGAAGGGACAGATCAAATCCTAAGCGTGTTGGGATGTGGTTTTGAGAAAACCGTTGAAGCCCGTAAAGACGCGATTTAAATCTGCACACGCACAACGATAAGTGGAGAGGGGGGCGAGCTCTTCGAAACAGACGTTACGATGCAAGCTCAATCTTAGAAGAACATATCCAACAAACAAGACCTTCTGCAAGTGCTCTTCGATGCTTCGCACAATCCTCGGTGCCTGGTCGATGTTCTCTTCCGCCAGCATTGTGAGCATATTGATGAGGGGCTTGCTGTTGCATGTTAGATCCAGCAGCGACGACTTGTACTCTTCGCAGACGTCTTCCTCCATTGTGTGGCGGTGAAATCGGTACGACTCGGGAGCCGCGGGGAAAGGTTAGAGTCGTGGCGGTGCCACGCGGACCCGTCGCTGGCTCTTGGGGCCGTTTGGGACACGATCAATGCATGGCTGGAAGACGCAGGAGCTATCCCTCGCACGAACAAGATGGCGCACGCACGAATGTCCGCTTTCGACAAGCGGACGCAAAAGACGCAAAAAAAGGAAGCACAAAACGTGGGGAGAGCGGGCCTGTCATTGGTCGAAACGTTGAGCGTTACTCACCAGGGGTGCCACTAAAGGGCCTAAAAACGAAAATAATGTTTAGGTAGGAAACATTATTTTTTGGCCAACATTTATCTACGGCACAATCTAATCATTTAAATAAAAATTTAATGATCTAATTGGAGGCTGGACACTTTGAAGTTTTACCACTACCCATTCATAGTTGGTTTCGAAACGTCAAAACCAAAGTTATCTAGCTGTTCAGTTAGTTCAGATTATTCTATGGTTTATTCCTTTTAACGCAACGTGCGCTTATAATCGTGCTAAACTAAAAATTCTGCTCTTGAAGTGTCCGAGGCGAATAAAAACGTGGTTGATTCGTTAATCCTCGAGCAAAGCAAAGCACTTCCGATCAGCTGATCGAATGCTCCACCTTGCGGGCTAGTGTAATGCATCGACTTGGCATCGTTGATGGTGTAGGATCCAAGTAGCTTGTGCGTGTGTGTGTGCGTGTTATCTAGCATATGAAAACGTATCGCCGACTCGACTTTGTATTGTTTTTCCAAGTCGAAAGTCTCCTCTTTATTGCTTTCGGCTCCTTGCGTCGGCGCTGTGGTCCCGTATCTCGTGTTATCACGGCGCACAATGTAGTCGGCGCGCAGTTTTGGGCCGAGCTCCTCGGTGCGGTGGTTATTTGAGTAAGCTCCCGACGCACGAACCAACGCGACGATGTTGGTTTTTGCAGTTTTTCCTCGTCGGAAATACGACGCACACATCTCCAGGACTCGTGCATGCTAACCTCCACACGCCAAAGGTAGGCACCGATTCAAATTCACCGAGACGGATCTCCGTCGAGCGTGCGCACCCAGCCTGATCGAATCGGAGAGGATTGGTCAAATTACGATTTTTTCGATCGCCGTGAATTTATTTTCTTTTATTATTTTCAGCAGTTCGGAAGAATGGAAGATTACAAATTTCTCTTCAAAGTCGTGCTAATAGGCAACGCAGGTGTTGGGAAGACTTGTCTAGTCCGGAGATTTACTCAGGTAAGAAAAAAAAACGTGTTTTTTTTTTTTTTTTTTAAGTGGTTATGCTTGACTTACAATGCGCGCGGCTGGGAGCTTGGTTTTGTGCGTTTGTGTATTTCCGCGTCCTGACGAAAGTTTCCCGTTGGCTGCGTTTCAGGGTCTGTTTCCTCCGGGTCAAGGAGCTACAATCGGTGTCGATTTTCTCATCAAAACTGTCGAAGTGGACGGCGAGAAAGTTAAGGTACCTACCGCTCGATTTCCCGTTGGTACTTTCTGCGATATTTGCTGCGCTTTATTATCTCTTCGGAAACACTCCTTCTCCGTATTCTCCGTCGTCTGGCGTCTGTCCGTCAAAAGTCGCGGAAAATTTACGGGCTTTCATCGACTTACCATCTCCATGAGACCATCAGGCATCAGCTCAGTGGTTTAAACAAAACACCGAAAGAGATCACTGTCAGTGTGCTGCTGCGCTCACAGCCTGAGCACAAATATCCCAAACAATTCCCTCGAATTAACGCTACTATTTTTTTGTTTTTCAGTGTAGTAAACACAGTAGTACATTTTGGTCCGTTTGATCCTCTGCCTATAGCAGCCGTGTATCCTGCAAAGCTTTACTATATTTACTCCAATTTAGGCTCGTAAGACCCTGCGACACCGGCGGAGACCAGTAGCCAAGTGTCTTGCTATACCACAGCCTGTAGCACGTGAAGCGAAAGCTCGCGCTGCAGAACCCTTGTATCCTGGGTTTGATCCCCACCCCTACCCGATTCTGATCTGGATGAGCATTATAGCATCATGCGTTCGTCTAATCACTACTGTGTGATGCACGTCAAAGACCTCGGGCAGCGGTACTGTGGTAGCTAAATTTCTCATTCACAGCAGAGACAGCAGATGCCCAGTAGGTCTGTCTAAACAAATGCACAATGCAATTGCTTTTTGTACGACATTTGCAAAGCCCAAAATACAGGATAATTGCAAAAAGTTTCGGAATTTTGCTTAAAACATAGAAATGTATTATATGGCGTAGCGGTCGGGCTACACTCGACCCCAGGGGCAGCAAACCGTTTTCGAGCCCAGTCACTGAGTTTGAGGCTAGACTCTCACCGGCATCCCTGTTAACCCTAGTTGAATGGACTGATTTCGATAGGCGCAGTTTCAAACATTGCTGGTGACTAAATTCTCGTCTTTTCCTGCTCTATTTTGTGTTCCATGGTGCATGTATTTTCCCGAGGTCATTAAGAAAGCATTGTACCACATTTGAAAAAAACAAAAAAAGCAATAAAAAAACCTATAAACTGTTTTTGTTGGGTACGCGCACAAGAGAACAAATGCGACTGGAATGTATAGTTCTAGCTTTTTGTGTTTTTTTTTAATAATAAGTGTTGACGGCGCCGCGCGATTAACCACATGTCAAACGACAAAGTGCTTAGCCATCGAAAATAGTTTACAACAGAAGATAGCCAAAAGGCATGCATTTTTTATGCTCACAAATTACCTGTTTATTGATGGACAGGACACGGACGTACAATTTAGCAAGTGTTAACATTCAAACAATATATTGTACATACCACACGATGCAGCGTTATCTGAAAAGAATTTATTTGAGAAAGATCTCGAATAACACAGTCACAGTCGACGAAAGTCACATCTTGACAATCGGGCGTAATCCAAGATAACTTAGTTTTGGAGAGAGCTTCCTTTTTTTGCAGCAGCACCAAGGCAAAGGAACGAACGTGACTGACCCGTTTCCCACCCCGACCCGGACAACTATTTTTGGAGATGACTGAGGATTCTTCGCAGATTATCTTTGGGAGGGGGGCAAACAATGAATCACGCCGAGGGCCGTTTGACGTCCTTCACCTCCTTCGTTCCCCGTGAATGTCGAGCAGAAAAGCTTGAATGGCAGGCACTTACCAGCCCAATTTCTCACAATGGAAGATAACACAGAAAGGGTATGCAGCACGCATAAAGAAAAATTAAGTGCAAACTTTCAAGTGGGGCTAGAAAACGTTAAATGCAAAACCACAAAAACGTAGGTAGAGAACCGCGCTGAGTGGGTCTTCACAGTCCAAGAGAGTGGCAGAAAAGTTGTAGCTGATAGAGGGCGCGAGAGTCGCACCAGCCGTATCAGCATCAGCAACATGGCGGCGGCCTAGGAGTGTTTTTTGGAAAGGTGTATACTATGCGGAGCGCGAGTCTGTCTGCTTCTTTTGCAGGGGTTGTGGTGGCGTCAGAACACCGAGCTCCAATTGGCTCTGATTGAAGGATAGTGGGTAGACCTCAAGGCAGCTTTCTTTGTGGTCTACCCACTATCCTTCAATCGGAGCCAGTCAGAGCTCACCGTTCTGACGTCACCACAACCCTTCAAAAGAAGCAGACGAACTTGCGCTACGCATTTATTCGATTCTAATTCCCACCACCTTCTCACCATGGGGACATCGATGGAAAAGAACTCCCGGTCAACGCTCCTGATTTGACTGTGGTGATCCAGTTTATTGATGTTCTTAGGGCGTGATTGTAAACGTTATCGGTCGTCATCCGAACCCAGCTCCAGATTTGGGACACGGCGGGCCAGGAGAGGTTCCGGTCCATCACGCAGAGCTACTACCGCAGCGCCCACGCACTCATCCTCGTGTACGACATCAGCTGCCAGCCCACCTTTGATTGCCTGCCCGACTGGCTGAGGGAGATAGAGCAGTATGCCAGCCCCAAAGTACTACGAGCTCTCGTCGGTGAGTGATGCAGAAACCAGTTGCATTTGGTGCCTTTAAGGCCGGTTCATACATTTGGGTTTGACCTTGACTGACTGCGTTGCAGTTGCCCGTAACTGCTAACGACTGATGCCATCTGTCGAGTAGCTCTGGCGCAGAGCACTCGCAACATGCATATACTTTAGGCATCATTCTTTCACTGCGGGCTTGAAACAATCTTGAAAATTTTAATAGCAATATGCCACGTGGTTTTTAACTAGCTCGTGATTTGACCTGGCAGCCTTTAGCTTTGGCTGCAGTCCATCGCAGGGCGAGACAGAGTATAAACTAGATTGGGGAGTTGGCCTGAGTAAGCTAGTAACTAAGCCTAGAACTGTGTAAGTGAGGAATAGAGCGAGAGTGCACTTCATCGGAGGGGACAGACTTGGGGACTATATTCACTGGCGGGAGTAGAACGGCGGAGAAGTCCTTCAGTTGTACCGCTTCCGGCGCAAGCTTCCCACCTTCTACGATGCCTCGGCGCCTGGCAAGCCGCGAGCATGCATGTGCAGCCAGAGCGCAGTGGAAGGCAATGAGCGCATGCTGAAGGTCAAGCGTTCGGACTTCGGATGTTTTTGGGCATGCAGACAGCATGGGCTCACCCGTTCATTTTTGCTCGCATCGCTCTAGAGTTCTAACAAGAGCCTTTTCTTTCGGAGTCACTTCTGCACCACCCCTGCCGTTTTGCAGACAAACTCTCTGAGCGAGCGAGCCATTCTCACTACCGCAGGCAACAAGATCGACCGGGAGGACCGCGAGATCCCACAGCACATCGGCGAGGAGTTTGCGCGGCGCAACGACATGTACTTCGTCGAGACGTCGGCCAAGGAGGCCGACAACGTCGACAAGCTGTTCACCGAGATCGCGGTCCGGCTCACGGCGGAGGCGAGGGCAACGCACGCACGCTACTCCGGCCGCCCTTCCGCCGCGACGGACTCTTTGCCGGACTTGAAGGAGGCTTCCGGCGACAGGGGGGACCACTCGTGCTGCAGCAGGGTGTTATGAGCTCTCGGACGCCGCTCCGGAGGACGCCGCCGCTGCCGCCGCTGGTTTGCACTTGCCACGTTTCGTTTGCCTGTGATGCGAGTTTCGTACCCGCTTGCTCGCGCATTTCGTCCGGCCAAGCCACCTCTGGGGAGTAGCCTATACCCTGAGGGTTGCTCGTTTTTAGGGGGTTGTTTGTGGTTGCCAGACAGTGTTTTAGTCGTGCGACGATGGGGAAGGATTGCAAAGCACCTGCCGTGCTCTCCAAAGACAGCTCCTGTTCTCGGTTTTACTGTAACTAGGCATAGAGTGAACGCTACGGCCCCCTGTCGTGCCAATCGGAGTGATGGAGGCAGAGCATGTGACGGCCCTTACCAAATGTATGGGGATGGGATTGGAACCCAAGCAGTGGGAAAGGAGGGAAAAGAGGAACTCCCCTCTTGCTCGGTCCCTTTTTCGTGTGTCCAGGACGTTGCTATTCTCCTCCTAGAAGACAATCCTACGACTCCAGATTCGTACGGAAGCAGCTGTCCCCTTTCCCGCCCGTGGCCTTGGCGCCACCGTGCACAACTAGTGAGGTAGAGTGTAGTCACCCGCTTCCCCTCCCACGCACCAGTTGGCTAATTGGGACTGTAGCCTTCACCATTTGCCGAGCTACGGTGAAATGGAGTGTAAACAGGAGCTTGTCGGTCGAAAGGCTAATACGTTTTTGTTTCTGTTTAGTTTTGGAGAACATTCTTTTTAGTCTGTTGGTTGCCTTTGTGGGCTCATAGAGGTACGCTGAAGTTTCTACAGGTCTGAAGAACTTGGCGGCCAGTGTGTTATGCCGGACTGGTGAGCGATCGTGAGAGCTCGCACCTAGTGAAATGATGTTTAGCAGAGCGAATATTTTCGCTGAGATAATCATTTATGGCGTTGCCTTGCCGAGAGCAATGATCTTCCCATGACAACTGTTAATTTCTAATCTTAAAAAAATGTATAAAAAAAAACACTTTTTTTTTTAAGTTTCTACAATGTGCAGTTATGGGGCAGGCGAGAGAGAGAGAAAACTTACAATTGTGTCAATAACATGGCATTTTCCAGTCGCGAGCGGGCCAAACATTTTTGCCAACGAGACGTCGGGAAGGTACAGGGTTGACTAGATTCCGTTTTGCCTTTTATTTGTTTTCTCTTATTGGCTATTCTAAGTAGGAAATGTGTGAGAGCCGCAACTCAAGGTCTGTCCAAACTCGTCCATGGTTACAACTCCGTACAGAACAGAAACAGAACTGAGCTTTGTCCCGATAAACTCGGCGGTGTATTTGCGCTGGAAGGCCAGAACAGCATTGAAGCGCCGTCGCGGACGTTGGTGTTTTTCTGCGCACGTCCATCAATTGCGTCCCCATTGTTACGCCCTCCGTTTCGTAAAGGAAGTGGTGCCGCCCCCTATACTCACCTGCATGTTGTACCCCATCGTTTTTGTACGCTCAAAGGATCTTAGGTACACGAAGCGCGACAACCCCTCCTCATTTTTAGATCTCTTGGAATGTTCTCCTTCTCTTCTCACCGTTAGGATGAGGGCAGACGTACGTTTTAGCCGTAGCTTGAATGAACCTCGCAGCGTTCCTTCGTTCGTTTCGAAAGCTGTGTCAACACACTGGCACGGGAATGTGTGGAGCAAGCCCTGAAAATTAGCATTGGGAAGCGATTGCGACTGCAGTTACCACTGCCGCTCATGATAAAAACCCTTAAAAGGTTGTGCTTTTTTTTTTTTTTTTATTATTGCAGAGACAGGCAATCTTTGACTGAACTAACCTCCTTTTTGTACCGACATTTTATTGCGTTTTTACGATTATTGCAAAGGCTGCTTGTTGCATATGCTTAGTTACCAGCCCAAATAGACACGCTTTTTAGTTCAGCCTTCGTTTCGGGGGCATTTTTTTAAAGTTTTAGAGGGGTGCACATTCTCGCCCAAGGTTAGCCGTACCATTCTTTGGTCGCCTTTTTAAGTGCATTTTCGAGGGAAAATTTTAGAATGCAGAACTTGTCAAGAATCAAAAAAAAAAAAAAAATTTCTTATTCTACCCATAAAAAAATAACTTGTTTGTTTTTTGTAAGGAATAATTTAGTTTCTTTTAATATACTGTTTTCAATCTATACAGCTATGACCAGATGCCATTCATCGGTTTGTCACGTCGAGTCACCATCTAGGGAGGTGTAGGAGATGACGGTCACTGAATGGGCTACACTTAAAGTGTCAGCACCTAAATCCCTAATTTCTTTGTGGGACGCCGCCATTTTGGTGCCTACTCTAGGGTAAATGCAACTGGCAATTGTTACAATAAAAAAAAAAAAATTTACTTGAGCTTTGGACACTGCATCAGGGATCTTGGGCGGCATCATGTGTTGTAGACTGTTTACGTTGCTGGCAGATGGAAAACCGTTTTCCTCGTTTTCAGGTAAAGCTTCGGATAACAGGCAACAATGATTTTCAGCACCAAGACGGCCTAAGTGTCGTTACGTGGAAGCGCAGCGTATGTGGTGGCTCTAGAAAGAAGCGTCTAGAAAAACGATGACAGGCCCACGAAGTTTTAAAAGCTGCAGTATAATAATAATAATAATTAGTATTATTATTTAAAGAGCCCAAAAGCAACCACACTGGTCTCTAGATTGATGTGGCTCCGTGGCCATAGGAAAGTGTAGGTCATGGTTATGGCGTCGAGGTAGACACCGAGGATGATGCTACCTTCTAAAACCAGTGGTCTTAAATCTTCCCTTTTTTTTTTTTTTTTTAATGAGGAAAGGAGAATGCTTGGCTTTGGGAGAGGGCTTTAGCAGCTGTGATATTTTTGTTCTGTTGTGACGAAATCTCCCAGGCCTTGTTTGCATATGAGGCAAGCTACGTGTTTTTGTTGTTTTTTTTCCTCCCATAATTTGTTCCTGCCGCATTCTTTTTTTTTTTTCTTTTCTTTTTGCTATTAGACGTTTACATTTATTGCAGCTGACTGTTTTACAGAGTTGCTAAACTTGAGTTGTGATAGCATGGCCGTTTAACAGGTGTCGTCAGTGTTTCGACATTCACCATTTTGCTTGTTTAATCGCCACTGTGCTCGTAGTGTTGGTCGCGGTTATGTATATGTCCCGCATAATCGTGGAAACACTACACGAAGCGAGTTGGCACTTGTGTTGGAAAGAATATACGCAACCATTACCACGTCAACAGCTGAACGTCTAGACTCTTTGTCTGCTCCCAGTGTTTATACATTGCGCACACTGCAATATTTCTGTCGTTTCTTTTTTTTTTTTTTTGAGACTGTATAGTATACATAGGGTATTTAAATTTTTTAGCCTGTTTTTTACTTAGAGAGTTTGCATTCCAGCAAAGCAGTCGTGGGTGGCGGCGGCAGTCATTGATGTAACGCTGTTGTGGTGTTTTTGCTTTAGGTGGTAAGGCTTGCCGCTGCTAAACGCTGGTTCACGCACTTGTGTTTGGTGGCAACGTAGTGGCAACCGAGAGCGCTGTGGAGCCTTGTGCTGCCAGGGTGGACAGATGAGGCCCTGCCCTTTTGCTAGCACCCTCTATCGGACAGCTCTGGCACACCTGCAACGTGCGTGTATTTCCCAATGTTTTTGCACATTATTCTTTCACCGTGAGCCCGAAAAACTTTCGACAATGTCACAAACGACCATTTCTCATAACTAGAGCGTATGCTTAATCTATCAAATATTGCAAAAAAAAAAAAAAAAAAAAAAAAATTGGTTTAACGCAGTTTTAAAGCTACCCTGTAGATGGCGCTCGCATGCCAGGTGTTTAAGATTTCTAGATTTCTACAAGTCCTTTGAAGCGCCGACTGCGTGACGGTAGAAAAAATCGTAAGGGCGCAGGCGAGCTGGTGAATACCAGCTCGCCTGCACCCATACGATTGAGACGTCGTCCTGTCTATTTTCTGTCCCTTCTACGTTTTGATATTTCTTCTCTACCCCAGTCTCAGGTTAATTCAACATGCGTGACGGTGCAGGTTTTAAGAAGCGAATGGCGGCGCACAGCAGAAGACTGAACCGAATGACGCATTTTCTTCCGGCGGAATGTGCTTTGTCATTTGTATTGGTTGTCGTTAGTTGTGAAAAGGAGTCAATACACGGGTCCATATCACATGAGCGAATAACGTTTTAGCGAACAGCGGTCATTTGAGCGAATCGGCGTTTTAGCGAAAGACGTATCCCTGGGGCGCGTGTTAACCGACGCATTCCCCTTCACTCACGCCGTTTCGCGGCGACAGTTTTCGGCGGCTCATTACAAGGATGTTAACCATCGTGGCCCACCCGAATACGCCGCTTTGCGGCTGCCGACCATTTTTTCGATGAAAAGTCGGGAGCGGGACTTTGTTCACCAAAAACGTCCTTCGACCACCTGAGTGCCATCGTCAAGGGACTTTAGGCGTGTTGTGTTCTCTCGTGACGGAGCGCAAGGCTGCGCATCGCACTCGGTTGCGACCGAATGCGTGTGTGTACACCAGCCTTTAGAGGCAGAGTACATAGCTAGCACAAAACCCAATTCCTTAGCCCTTTTTTTACCCGGTTTTGTGCATTTTGCCTTCCACCCAACCACCCCCTTCCCAGACTGCAATGCTATCCCTACGAAAAAAAAAAAGAAGTATATATATATATATACATATATGAAACAGGTGTGTGTATGATGACGACCAAATTTGTCCATGGTAGGTTTACAAGTTTGTCAGCTTATTTATTTGAAGAGAGGGGGAGAGAGAGAACTTGCATTCCTTTGCTACGTTGAAATAAATATTTTATGCCACTTCACGGTGTGTTCCTCGTTCTTGCGCAAAGCTTCCACAAGCATTCGCGTTGTCGGGGCAATATGTTTTCTTTCGCAGTCCAATGCCCGGGAGGAATGCGCGATGTGCTACATTTATGTGACGTCATGAGGTCACATGACACGTTACACGGCGTTGTGGTGTCAGTCATGTGACGTCACATGCATCAAGCTGTCACGTGACATCGTGGTGTTACGTGGTGCCCCAGTCTTTCATGATGGGTTTCTCGTAGAAATCGGGTGATAAAACACATTCGGTCGAGGGCAAGCGCGCCTTCCCTGTCTCTGTGCGTGGTGTTTATGGAACCGGGTCGGGTTCACAAGGCTCTCGGAGACAGACGTCACTGGAAGGTTACGTGCATGACTGCTGCTAAAATATACCGAATCTTGAAACGATTTACAGCATAAACAATGCTACTGAAGCATACATTTTCATGTTATCGCCCCCAACAGCATCGTGCATGCATGCTCTTCAAGACCTACAATTTGTTTCCTCATTTTCTTTCTCAAAATTACTATTAAAAAAAAAATGAGATCCTGTAAAGCTTACCTCCGTGTGCTGTCCACAAGGCCTTGTGTTTACTGTCCAATTTCCTGAATTTATTATTATTATTTGCAGGTTTTTGTTTGCTTACGGCAGGGACGGCGCCAGGCTTTTCATATTGAGGGGGCAGTGGGGAGGCGCACGGCATTTTTGGGGAGGCATGGGCCTTCGATCAGACTAAAAGAACAAATATTTAGGGACGATGACTTGGCGCTTCGGGAGTTTTTAATAGAAAGCAGCTCAGTTTATTTCATTATTTTGCAACCTATCTATAGAACTCTGGTTAATGTAGAATTTCACGTGCAAAATATTCAGGCATGTTTACATTCCGCAGTACTAAATAAGCACGCTCACGCTTGTCGTGACTCATCATCTGTTCTTTAGGCGGTCCCCTGCACCGCGGAAAACCGGAGCACGTCAGCGATCATGTAGATGTAGGGACGATTCTCCCTTCTCTGCTAAATACGTCTGGCAGAGGTACACGGCGACTGATTTAGCCGCGCTACTGTTCTTCATCTGCTTGAAGGAAGCGAATGATGTTTGGGACACCTTGCGTGCCGCACTGTCGGAGTGACGTCGTATAGTCCGCTTTCCTTTTGAAGAACTTTCTTCTAGTTTCGACAGCCCTCTGTCAAAATACAGCACTTCCACTGTTTTACTCCCCTTTTTTCCCTCCCATCCCCTCCCTCCCTGCTTCTCTCTCCCCCCCCCCCCCCCCCCCAAATACACAAACACTTTCAGCTTTCCTCCAACCTCCTTTAGGGTCATAGCAGAGAGGGTAAAAGAGAAAAAAAAAATGCACTCTCCCTCTCCCCCGCAAGCCGTCCGCTCCGCCGAGTGGGCTGTAGCTAGCGTCCGGCTGGCGTGCAAACTCTGTTTAAAATCGCGTCATTTTGAAACTTTCAAGCGCAGATACGAGATTTTGGTATGCCAGTTATCGTGTAATACTATGCTAGATAAAAAGACTCACAGGGTCCAATTGCACTGTTACCTGCGTGCAAATAAAAAACAAAAATAGGGAAAACTGTGTCAGATGGGCCGGTCTCTTTGGCGAAAAGAAAATCCGGTTGCTGTACCTCTTTTACTATACAAAAGTTCGTACTGGTGTAGGCCTTTAGCGACCATGAGTGGAAGTCTGAAATAATAAATAAAAACGTGCTCTCCTGCCGCAATACACGCAGTAGTTGAGGGTAGTACTGCCGGCTGACTCAACTGCTATTTAAGTAACGGAAAAAAGATATGCTAGTTTATCGTTTAGCAAAATAGAATAGAACAACAGAGAGCTACAGGCTGATTTTGGAGTAGCCACAACTATTCTAAGAACGCGAACCACTTCACAACGGCAGCCACGAGCGAGAGTTCGGTGTTCGGTAGAGCCCGCCGATACAGCCCAAAGATGGAGAACGGCAACCTCCCGGTTTGTCGTCTGCTAACGGATTCCGCGGCGTGCCCTCTCTCTCGTTTTACCCCGCCGAACCCGCTGAACTTCCCGGATGTGTGGAGAGGGCGCTGCGGTCGAACAAAATGGTGCCGCCCAGAAAGCGCTAAATGGAATGGTCTATAGTCCCTTAAAGGGATTTCGTGCCCCAGGGTCACTAATGCTGGGAGCATGGCAGTTCTCGAACCGCCAGGCTCCGACGTTATACCCTTTCCCGAGCACACACAGTCGCCGTCACCAAAGTTGCTTCAAGGACCCCATAGCGACTTGAAATAAGCAGGATGACCTAGACACATCAAAGCCGCCCCTTGGGAACTCGCCAGTCGGCCCAAGCGTCTCAGGACTTTGGGAGATTTCCTCGGTCAGAGCATGAACAGTGCCCTTGAGTTCCTTTGTCTGGCAGGTACGAAGAGACGGCGCAGTGCAGATGGGATTCCAAGTCTCTCCGAGTAATCACTTGGGTGAAGCTACTTTCAGGAAGTCTTTTATGGTTGGCGACAGAGGAATTGAGTAGTAGACGACGCTCCTTAGCTTCGGCAAGTCATACCGATATTCATGCATCGTTCTTCATGGGGTACGCAAAGAAAATAAAGCGGACGGCACGAAAAAGTTAAAAACGTCCGGTAAGAGGCCTTTTTAGGCTGGCTATCCTTCAAGCCAATGCCATTTCCATGGGACGAGGAAATTAGGAAAATGACGAGCCATGTAGCGTATGCGGGTCTGCGCGCAAAAATTAGGGTGAGGGGGGGGGGTGTAAAGGCCTGCATATTTTTGGGGTGGCAGGCCAAATTTTAGGGGAGGCGCCCGCCACCCCTCGCCTCCCTTTGGCGCCGTCCCTGGCTTACGGTCGTTGTGGATTCATTGTGAAAATACTCGGAATACATTTTCTTAATTAAAAAGAAAACCTTGAACACGCCCCCCCTCGCGGGGCCGACATTGGTCGATGCATACAAGGTTTTATTTATTTATTTATTTTTTTTTTTTACATCGGAGCTGTTAAGGGCTAGTTCCCCCAGAATCGTGTCCGGTACCAAACAAATGTCGACGCCCGTGGCCGACACAACACTCTGGTAGCCGCCGTCGCTCATAGATGGCAGTAGCTGTCCAGAGTGTTGTGTTTGCCGGTTGTCTGCTTGGCGCCGTCGCTCATAGATCGCGGCAACATTTCTTCGGATGAAGAAGAGCGGAAACGGAACGAGCGGCGATGTGCGCAGCAGCGCGAATGGATCCGCTACCGCTGCGAGGCCGCTATCGCCTCAAGTTCCACTGCGTCGAGCGGTTCAGATCCCCTTGCGAAAGAAGAGCAGATCGCTTGCCTGGAAAGCCACCGCCGAGAGCAGAAGCTACAGCTCCGCTGCTCTTCCTTCTTCACCAGAGTAAAAAGGCTATAAAGTTATTTTTTTTATCAGGTTGGACATGCAATTACATTTTAATTTCTTAATAGCCGTTGGAGACACTAAACACTGTGCGGGCAGAAATTGAGAGAGAGGAGGAGACGGGCGCGCAGGGACGTCAGAACGCCGAGCTCTAGTCGGAGTAATTAGTGGGTATACCTCGTCTCACCTTTGCATGTACTATTGTTAGCCATTCAGGCTAAAAGCTCGAGATAGTTGCTTTGGATGAAGTCCCGACGGCTTCACGAGCGCTCGTGCAGCGAGTGCTCCAATCAAGGCTAGCCGCTCGCGTTTGCACAGCCTTCGCAGTTAGTCCAGGCAATGGTGGAAGAAATTTTCTTCCACCGTGGTCCAGGCGAAGGTGAGACGAAGTATAGGGAGTATTCACTGGACGCCATATTTGTGGGTGCTGTGTAGAGCGCATGCTCAGAACGAGCTCGCATTATTAGGCTGCTAAGCCTAATAATGCATTATTAGGCTGTCCCCTTCTTCGTCCTTGTTCATTCGGCGCTTTCCATTCAATGATGTACCAACTAGCCCATTTATCTATTTTACTGCTAAGACCGCCAATCTTGATGGTGCGGAATGCACGTTGCAAAAGAACTGTGGAAGCTCGCCATCAGCACGCGCTCAGCATTCGCGCACACAGCTATGATCGCCAGTGAATGGCGGCGAGATGTTTTGGTGGCGCCCTCCTATGGTTCCCCCTTGTGACGTCATTACCTTGCGAACAACAAGTTCGATGGTGTTTCTAAATAGCATGGTGGAAGCTTGAAATCATTGCACTCTCAAAGGAACACTGCCAACACCGTCAAAGTTAAAGTTCTTTCATTCCTCTTATTTCGTCAATGATAAATCCCCTTTCCTACGTCATAGTCAGCGTTCGGCCAATCGTGGAAGGCCGACCACAGCGACGCTTTCGGTCGCGCACGGGGCTAATAGACGTCAAGCTAGCTGCCTTTGTCTCCACTGCACTCGTTGAACGTGTTCGAATGCGAAAGTCAAACTCCGAACTTCCGCGTTCGACGAGCGCAGTGGAGACAAAGGCAGATAACTTTAAGTCTATCCCCTCTGTTTCTTGTCGCACTGAAAAAAAAAAAAAAAGGATAGGTGTTTTTTTTTTTTTTTTTTGTTACGTGGTTAGACGAGAATACGTTACTTTTCGTGTGGAGTTTCTAGTTCATTCTTGTATCACTTTTAGAAGCCTCAAATTATGTGCAGAATACTTCATTGAGCCGCCATACGCGCGAGAGAATACACCAAACGTTTCCCGACCGGCCACTGGCGCGCCAAGCGGGAGCTTTATGAGTGGGCGATCATTCGGGGTGGAATTTTCCACACCTCGATCAAGCGCGGGACACAGATAGGACAAAAGCCCATTCAAAAATTCACGCTTCGCGTTTCTTACAAGTGCCGCCAATCATTGTCCTGAGAACGCGCAAGACACGTGCCGCGAGCGGGTGCTTCGCCGCCATTCGCTTATGGGCGATTGCAAGCAGTCTTGGAGTAAGTTACTTTTAAAAATTCATTCGTTACAGTTAGTTACTTTCAGAAAAAAAAAGTAGCGAAGGTACTGTTACAGTTACCGCAACAAAAGAATAACTCGTTACAGTTAGTTACTTTTCATTAATACAAAAAATAAATTTGGAAAGAACTAGAAAACAGCCCTCACCAAGTTTTATTGTATCAAATTAAAAAGAAACGGTTTATTGCATAATATAAAAAAAAAGTTTACTGCATAATATTAAAAAAAAAAATTACGTTCTTCCTTGTCCTCATCAACATCCCTATTCTTGGTAGCACTAGCTACAGTTTAGAGGGTGGACTCCTGCCTTCCCCTGAAGTCACTTTTCCATTCTTGTCAGTAGAGACTGTCGCTCTGTAAAAAAATAAAACACGGTGAGGATCGAAATTGCAAATTCAATAGCTTTGCGAACAGGATAAATGTTGGCCTAATAGTTGGGTTACTATTTCAACGATGTTTGTGTGTTTAGCGAATTTTCAAACAAATCGGGGACTATAAAAAAAAAAAAAACACGTCGAATTGGCACTATTTTAATGCATGTCGAGGCATTGCTTGTCACGAGCCGAAATCGAACGCTCACGCAATGCTCGTGTCCACTGGCATGAACCGCATCTAAATCACCGCGGGGGTCGCTAAACTTGGAGACGAAACCCTGGGGATCGTACTGCTGACAACGCCGACAATGCGATCCTCACATCTTCGCCATCAAGTTTTGCGAAGGAGAGATTGAAAGAAAACGTCCGCTTTTATTCTTGAAACTACGCGGCGACAAAGAAGCTTCTTGGTCATCGTTGCGAGCGAGTATACTTGGGTCCCACTAGGCCGGTAAGCTAATTGGGAGATAGTTCGTTGCCACACAGCTGAAGTGAACCGCAAGGTGCGAGACCATTCTATCTTCAGCTGACAAATTTACGTGTTTTGCTTGCAAGTAGGACCGGGTCATAAGACGACACGAAGAGACCACAACACGGAAAGAATTTGTTGCGAGGGAAATGACCACAAACCTGTTGGAAGCTTTCGCTTGGCTGGAGCTCGAAGACGCACCGACGCACGGGCCGAAGAAAAGGTTTTAGACGACTAAACTGAGCACACTGGCAGATGCATGATCGCACAACTAGGTTACACGGTTACACTCATCATCAGCGGCGTAGACTTTCCATTTTCCCGGGGGGGGGGGGGGGGGGGGGGGCAGGGCAGGCTGAGAAGTTTTCCGGGGGGGGGGGGGGGGGTGCTTTTCCGCGCAAATTTTTTACACCGGCAATTATCAGTAGTTTAGTCTAGGGGGTACATTTTACAGCGTATGTATATCGCCATCTGTCCGTCGCTGTGTGCGTTATTTTGTTTACATGCCACTACTAGAAGCTCGTTACATAGCACGTAAACAGCGTCTCGGTAAGGATCATGGCCCCCCCTTCAGATGTCACCAGAGGGGGGGGGGGGGGGGGGGGCACGAGCCCCGATGGTTCCCCCCCCCCCCCCCCCCCCCTCCGTAGTCTACGCCTATAGGCGTAGACTACGGGGGGCATCGGGGTGATGAGCATAAATGCTCATCACACAGGTGGACTCCAGCGCTGGCAAAAACGCGGGTGCGAGAGCAAACACGCGAGTGCACGAGTGATCGTCTGCACGATCACTCGTGCATGTAAAGAGCTTTCCAAAAACACGCACTCCTGTCCATACCTTCAACAGCAATGAAGAATAACACAAGGAAGATAAAAAGCGAATCCGAGGCTAGGACTAGATAGGGCCAATCTAGAAGCGCGAAAAGCGCCAAGTTACGGCCTTCATCACGTGTCTGTTGGGGGCAGTGACAGACGGGCCTATGAGCCTACACCACGATTGCCTATATTTACTTTCCCATCTACATCGCCTACAACAACACAACAGCAGCATTTGTCTCTGCGTGTTCTATCATCTAATCTATCTCAGTGAACATGCCGTGACATATACACCGTAAAAGCGTATTAGGGCCCGTTCATTGCTGTTTGTGTTATGCAGGCACACTTCCTGGCTGGCTGGACTGTGCTTTAGCACGTGGGGACTGTGATTTTCGTAAACAGTGGAAACGTGCATACTCCGTTCACCCCCAAGCTGAGACTGTGGTGGGAGCTACGCTCTCGCCGGACCACTCAGCCGCCTCCCTTTCATCACCTGCCCCAGCTCACCCATGTGGGCGAGAGTGTGATCACGTGGTCAAGTATCGACGTATGACTGGTCTAACGCGCTCGCATACTTTCCACCGTAGTCTCAGCTTAGGGCTGAGCGGAGCTTTTGGTATACGCGTCCGTGTTTGCGTGTTAGCCTTTGACTGCGCTCTTATACTCATGATGGAACGAAGTGCAGCACCCTATTTTTACGGCTAATCTTATCGAATTCAGAACCTTCTGATTATCTAGCATCGGTGTCCACTTATTTGCGTTTTTTTTTTTTTACTGTTAATTTATTTTAGTAATTTGAGCGGGTAATCGCACATCCGATTCGTACATTTTTTTTCCAGGTGAAAATGCATATCTGATAAAAATACACTACCACATCACATCACGTATCAGTCACCACAAACGCTACTTAAATTACACCATGATTTACAAAACCATGCGTTCCCGCTTTTATTTTATCGCTATTCAGATGATATCTATGCGGGGAACTTCCAACAGTTAGAACTTTGGCAAGTTTGACGTTATAACTGATAACTAGAATGTAATCACTTTATATCTGATGAAATGGTCCTCTTGAGAGGTTTGATGTTTTGGCGTCTTGTATACCCCTGATACAAAAGAGCTCAGGTGGCATTTAGCTGAATGACTTTCTCAGAAGAACTGAACCGAGACAAATCAGATGATACACAATGATTCTGGAGCGCGAACTGATCGATTGTCTATAGATGATAAACTGTCATTTGACGACACGACAATTGAGGTTCCCGTGTTACAGGGGGGTTAGTCACTTCCTGCTCGGTGTTGGGAGGGTCCTGCTGCAGACGATCCGTTTTGTACATACGCAAGTTAGCGCTTTCTGTCCATCCCCAAACAGAACAGAACAAATGCCCCTGCGGAGAGCCGTAAGAAAATATTCCATTGATGTCTTCTGGACGTCCCAGGGCGGTTGTTCTGGCCAGGGAGTATGCGCCACTGTGGATTCTCACGAGTCATCCGCTGAATCGCACGGTCAATGCGACAAGCACAGTCTTGGCATCGTGCCCTGAGATGATCCTGGCACTGTGTCATGAAGACGTAGAGCCGCTCCGATCGTCTAATGTCGAGTATTTCAGTTATATTCCTTTGGTACGATGTTCACGACCCACTCTCTCTTCGCAGCAGAAGTTCCTCAGTTGGCCATGTTTCTGTAAGAGTTCTTCCAAACTTCCGCAAACGTCACCGAAGAATGGAACCTGTAGAAAATGCTTAGCGGCAGCGACGCCCGTATGATGACGGTCCATGCCATGAATCCGTAGAATCCCAGTTGCACGGGGCTGGCTTCCACTTTCTGCTTCTCGAAGGTGTAGATGATCCACAGAGTGAGGTTCCCGATGAGCAAGAAAGTGATGACTTGGCGTCCGGGCTTGTTGTGGTCGTGCTCCGGCAGGTGCGTCATTCGGCAGGTGATGTCTGCGATGAAGAGTGACTGCATGGTAACTTGAACGATGGTGAGGATGCTGGTCACCATCACCAGGAGGTTGGGGATGTGGTCCTTTGGCAGCAAGCTGCCGGCTATGATGCCGAACATGGCGTATACGTAGAGCCCGAACGCGGCAACGCTGAGCAAGATGCTTCGCAGATGGTCTTTCCTGTCCGGATGGAACCGAAGTGACCTGATTCTGAAGAACCCAACCGTGATGGCTCCTATGGTCAAGACCTTGATTCCACAGTGAGATAAGTCTGACAGGTAGATAGCAAGCATGCTGTAACGCTGGTGTTGAATCAGGACGAAGAACACGATGAGGCAGATGGTCGAGCATACCAGGACAAGAAGGCCAAAGAAAAGGCCTTTGCTGGAACCCGTGCAGTTGACTTTGGAACCCGCTTGAAGGCTCGATGTCCGGGAGATGCCGTCGTCGTGGCTGTTCTCAACGTGGTAGACTGGATCTTTCCCGATGTTCTTCCACATGACGTACAACACCGCGGCACTGATGAGGCTGTACTCGACGATGAACGGGTACAGGAAAGGCGACGAGTCAGACACAATGGTGCCCATGATGTCCTGCTTCTCGCACGGGTTAGTGAAGTTTCGCGTCACGTTTTCCGGCGACAGCGGGCTTCTCTGCACTACGTGGAGAAAACAGAGACACGGAGTGAAACATGGCACGCTCGTTTTAGGTAATACCGCTTGCCCACCTCTGAACGGCAAGATGAGTTCCTCCAGAGTGCTTCCGCGACCGTTCTTGAGATGGTGCTCGTTGATCTCTTGCAGTGTTTCTTTGCCAAGTGTGCGAATCCAGACGCAGATGTTCGTGGCTACCACGTGCATGAGGCCGAATCGAGCCACCACTTTGAACTTGTGGATGTTCAGCTGAAACAACCAAGGCCATGCCATAAGTCTTTAATCAAGGCTATCGCAAAAACGACACCTGAAGTTTGACTTGACGAAGTACGCTTTCGATGAGCAAAACCCAGCACACTTTCTTCTCGATCAAACAATCGTTCTATTCTTCGTGTGCGATATGTCCGCGTAATCCTGTGATCACAGTGGTCTTTCGCGCTTCGTTGACCAATAATATTAGCGAGTTTTAGTAGAGCGCTTTCGTGTGCCTGCTCCGGTCTACGGAGCGGCACAATCGCCACTGCGCATGCGCGACCGCTCTAAGGTTGAGCGTAGCTCCGCACGCGCAGTTGGGCAGGCTCGGAGTGGAGCGGAAAGAGAAACCGATCTACTAACTCCCTAATATGATATTGGCGCTGACAGACACGCTACATATAGACATTTTTTCGTTTATTCTCGCCCCCAGGCAGCTGGTATATCCGGCATAAACGATTAAAAAAAATCTTTCAAGTAGAAAAGAAAGAAAAGAGGGGAGGCTACGCGAGAAGAGGTGACGTTTACGCTTATATCCTAAATGTATTTTATTGGCATGACAAAACTGTTTTCGCCCATACCAGAAGTGACGACATGCAAGATGGCGGCGCCCTTGTGGAAAAGGTATGTGTATAGCAGGTGATAAGGTGTGTATTACTATTATTAACGTAGAAATATCTTCGGCATAATCTAACAGGCGGGAGACAAAACGGGAGATAGACAAGAAACAAAAAATCCGAGGACACCTAAGCACTCTTTATGAGTTGTGAATGTGAAAGCATAAATGTCCTTCTTCCGCTCCCTTAGTTCGTCTTAGGGATGCCGCGAACGTCTTTCGAACCGAAGGTTCGATGATCGAATCAAGCGGTTCAAAAGGTTTGAAAGATTTCGAATTTTGGAACTTTCCACATCGAGAAATTCGATGGAAGTCGAATTTTCGAACTTGTTAAACTAAGAAGTTCGACGCTTTTCGAAATTTCGAACTTATTACGTTGCAAAATTCCATGGTTGTAGAACTTTCGACCTGCATATACTAAAATATTTGATGATTTTCGAACTTTCGAACTTCTTGCACTAAAAAGTTCGAAGCCTTTCGAACTTGTTACGGTAAGAAAAATCGATAAATTTCGAACTTTCGACCTTATTAATCTAGAGAATTCGAAAATTGTCGAACTTTCGATTCCTGAAAAGTCAAAAGTTCGACGAACTTCGACCTTTTAGAGTAAAAGTTCGAGGTTCGTAGAACTTCGAAAGACGGGCAGGCGGTTTCATTTGGATTCAAGCAGTGAGGTACATTCGTAATTTTTTTTTCTCTCGCATTTCTGTATGCAATGCCGCATTCCTTGCGAAAGACAATGCCGTTTATTTCAATCATCTCGCATGCTTGGTTTTAAAGAAATAAGTTCCCAAAGGAGCGAGGAGGGACGACGGGTTTTTGACAATTGTCGTTTGTGCCATATTTGAAGTGCGCTATAGCCGAAGCTACTTATGGTAGAGATGTTAAACTTTTTAAGAATGATCTATGTATAGCCTAGGTAAGTGTCGTCTTAAGATATGATTATTGTTGTTCAAAACGAGTTTCGAAGAAATATCCACACATGTATCTAAGGGCAATTGTGCCCTAACTTGGTAATTTTTTTCGTCTAAATTGTTTGAGGTATCGCATTTAAATTAACAGCACAGACAGTTCATATCATTACCATCTGCACAATACAAAATAGTGTATTTATTGTTTTTTTCATGTTGAGGAATAAATTAGCTCATGGGGGAAGATTTCTAAAATTGTTCAAGTTCAGCACGTCATAATTTTTTTTTTTTAAATTTTATTTTACGTTCTTGGGACGTGTTTCTTTTAGCCTGTACACATTTTGGTAGGAGAAACTTGTTTCGTAGTTCTGGGTCTCTGAATATGCAAGAATACAACACTTCCAACGGGTTCTTGATAGTTTTTTTTTTCATTTATAGTTATGTTTATTTATTTTTATATTTTTTTACCAATGGCACAGTTATTTAGGCCGAAAAAACATAGCTTTAAATTTTTGAACCATCGAACCACGCGATCTTTCGAACTTTCGAACCACGCGATCTTTTATGCAGTGAAGAGTGACAGTAGCTATACATATGCATAAATAATTTCAGATTAAAATAAGCTCGACCATGTCCTATTTCCCCGTATTGTTTTCTTTAACAGTACAAAATATCTGGGGGGGGGGGGGGGGTAGGGGGGGACTTAGTTAGGCAGTAACTGAAGTAACAGTAGAAAATCAACACTGGAACCAGAACAACAACAACAAAAATATGTCCAATTATGTACGTTAAACATGTTAAAAGTGTGATCACAGTAGAGCAGGCTACGTGTATGTCGAGACTCGAGAAACGGCAATCGGAAATCACTTCGCTACATCCGTTATTTCGTTATAACCGACTTCGGTTAACGAAGTGCAAAATGGAATGGGAAATCGGGATCACTTCGCTGTAGCCGCTATTTCGTTATAACCGAGTTCGTTATAACCGGCTTCGACAGTATACCCTTGCGTATTATATCCATGAGTCCTCTCAAACAGCCTGAAGCCTTTGTCAAACTCTATCTGCATCGGCATGGGTTTGCAACGGGGAGTTATTCCAGCTTACCCGGGCGTTCATGAAGATGAAGTACATCTGAGCGAAGGTGAAGGCCATCTGGAGCACGGGATTGATGCCCAGGAGCACGCTGTAGCACGGCGACGTCGAGGGAATTTCGAAGAACGACCCGAACTCCAGGCCGTTGTAAACCATCGTCCCGAGGCCAAAGGCTGGCAAAAGAAACACCGTGTCTAAGTCAATACTATAGTCAAACGAGGTTGATAAAGTAAACCATTAAAAAATTTTCTCAGCTGGTCTCAAAACCATTTTTCAGTAACTTAAAAAGAGGCGAACACTAATATTTTTTCCTAGCCCAGCCCCTCTCACAAACACACGGAGACAATGGAGGTAAACAATTTACTGTTTCAACGCGCTATTCGACAAGTCAAAGGCATAGGTTTTCTATAGTTCCGTTTATGCCTCGAAAAAATATTGTTTTAAGTCCTCGTTTCTTTCACGGACTCCACGTCGTGCATCATATTTTGACAAAAACGTCAAATCTTTCGGCGTAGAAGACGTAATACAGCAATTATTGTTTGAAAACACCGTCTGGACGGCGCCCCCCGTTGTCTGCTCCATGGCGCAGAAAGAGGGGTGTGTCACGATCTCTGATTAATAGATTTTGAATAGAGAATCGGCCGCCCGTGAGTGTAGCTTGTGCTTTTTTAGGTCCCGCAAACTAAGTTATCACTATAAATTAAAAAAAAAAAAACGCCCAGCCTTTCTACTCTCGTGAAGAACCAGCCTTTTTTACAGCGGAGCTGTTGAGGGCTAGGTTCCCCGGGATCATGTCCGGTATGTCGACACAAACCTGCCTGGACAGCTACCGCCATCTATAAGCGACGGCGGCAAGCACACAACCAGTATGGTTTCCACCATCGCTCGTAGATGGCGGCAACCTTTCCAGCTATAATAGAAGAATGGATAGTTGGACGCGTTGGTGGGAATTCACCGTAGGAAACACCACGAAAAACAGACGACGACGAAGAAGAATCACACAGCGTATCGAGTTCAGCTCCCCTGGTCTTCCTTCTTCACGAGAGTGGAAAGGCTTTTTGTCACCCGTTTCCTGTACTCTGCTTGTCAGAGTACGTCAACGCCCTTGGGTATTGGTCATCCATAACACTCGTGGGAAGAACCACACCATACTACTCGTGGAAGGAACCGCATTCATATCACTCGTGAGGGGGACCGCATCCATTGTTTTAACTACACACACACATCACAGCCCACGCACCGATACGGAAACCCAGAGCGAAGAACAACCGGCGACGACGGAGCGGCAACTGAGCACCCCCGCATTCCAACGCGCCGCGGCGCAACAGTTCCTAGATAACAAAGCCGTAGTGATGAACGCGATGGTGTCATCAGAAGAGGCCAATGCTGGGCACAGATTGCTCACGACGATTGCGTCAACATTAAATTCAAAATTGACTCGAAACCGAGCAACGCAACACTAGTTTCCAATCTGTGTCCAGCGTTGGCTTCTTTGATGACGCCATCTCATCCAGCGCTACGGCTTAGTTATAGCAAGTGTTGCGCGGCGCCTCCTCCTCTCTGGCTCCGCGCCAGCTGTGCCTGTGCGACGCTACTTTGGCGAAAACGAAAGGGCTCGTTTTCACGAAAACCTGGCGGTGTCTGTCAGTTTGTCAGCGTCGGGAGGGAGGAATATGTTGACGCGTGGTGACGTCAGCGCTTCGGACCAATGGGAGCGTCGCGTGCGTCACCCTCTCCCCTTCCTTCTCCCTCTCTCCCCGGCACTGTCGAACGAAAGACTTGCCGGGCTTTCGTCAAAACGAGCGTTCTAATGCTAACGCATCAAAAGATATCGATGTTGGCGTAAGCCTTAAGGGGATACCGGTCTGGGCTTGACGCATCTGGCGCTCTTAAACATTGCCAACATACGTATGTACTGTATAGGACGTATTCGCTAACGTAATTTGATTTCATCCACCATATTGTTGTTATCAAAGCAAATTGTTGTGTGTATTAATAGGCTAAATAAATACAGCCGGAAGTTAGTCTGACTCAGTGGGCGTCTGGTATCTCAGCTGTAGATGAGCAATTTAGCCAGTACGGTACAACCGCTATCCTGGGGTCTTTAACGTGCACCACGCAGTAGTGATACACGACCGCACGCCGGTACGATGCTCATCCAGATCGAAACGGGCAATGGGCTGGGGATTGAGCCCACGATCCCTGGGTTCTGCAGCACGAGCTTTCGCTTCACGTGCTCCGAGCTGGTGTGCGCTATCCCACTCGGCCACCGATCCCCCTATTGTAGTTATCAGCTTTCTGGCGTGCGCCGAGGGTTACCATTTCAAAGATTCACGTGGCACCCTTAAATGCGTAGTGTAGTGCACAGAATCTTGAGTCAAATCACACTGACATCGAACAATAAGATGGCGGATTAACATCACGTAAATATGCCCTTTATGAACGCACGCTCTATTTCACAGAGGACGCTGAGCAGGAGCTCCATTTCTCGCATCTTACGTGTGCCATTTTGTGGTGACCTTGCTGCTAAGCACGTACATTTTGCAACTACATTTTGCACCACCGAATTTTGTTTTTTCTCGGCAAGAAGTAGAAGTGACCACCAGCATGGTGCGATGACGCCATCTGCAAGCCATTGCATTTTCCGAAGTGACCAACGTTGCTAGATTAGCTCAGTTGCAGAACAAGCAGTCACGGCTCGCCTCCCGTCGTTTGACGCGCCAACGTTTTTGGCGGACGGCTGCTACGGTAACTTCAGTATTTCCTATTGACTAAGTACGTTTCGAAGCACAGCGTCTAGATGGCGTTTCAGCGTACACTATGAAACACAGAGTTTTTAAACGAAAATCTAGATGGCGCATAAGACGACGGGTGGCGGACCAAAGAAAGTGACGGGAGATCTCCGCGGGAGTTCTACAACTGAGGTAATCTAGTAACGTTGAAAGCGACCTCGTTGCGAAATGACGTGTCTTACCTATGGCACCGATCCTGAGAAACAGGCTGCCGTGGCTGCGGTCGTTCTCGGAGATGCGCTGCTTCTTGAGCCTCGGCGGCAGAGGTCCGTCGCCGTCGAGGCCCTTGGGCGGGCCCTGCGCCTTGTCGCTTATCCGACGTAGGTTCTCCAGGATGATCTTCTTGGGGCTCCTGTAGGCACCGGGCCCGTTACTGCTCGAGCGTCGCAGCAGATAGATGTACACGTAGAGCAGGAACAGCAGGCTCACGCTGTACATGTACATGTAGAAGCCCTGCGGGAACGTGCACGAAAGGTGTTAAAGCGGGTGCTGCAGGTGTACAATGACTCTATCCACAGCGAGGGCTCAACAGATAGAATCCAGTTAAAATAAATATCGAAAATCAGTTTCGCATGACCTGACACTGTAATTTAGCAAGGAAGTTAGGCTGCGTGGTGTGTTTTTGTAAAAATATTCAGAGCAAACGTGCATCAATCTAAAGTTACAACTAAGGAACAAAACATTTCTGACTCAGAGTGCAGTTAAGCATTTTTTTTTGTACGGGTAAAGGATGTTTGATTTAACAGAGGCAACAAAGAAGGTGAAGAAAATAATTGTGAATTAGCTCTCGTCCAACAAAAAGGCCCAGTGGCCCACGGGAACGCTTTTTCACCTGTAGTCCAGTAGAAAAAAATTATAATTTCATAGTGAATTATAGAAAATTTAGATTCTTGCAGTAGTAAATATTGATCGAAGCTAATGTTTCCTTTGCTATATGAACACAAAAAGGAGGAAAAAAAAAAAAGAACGCATTATTTAGCCGCATCTTTCTGTCAAATTGTAGTGCCAGAGGTTGCGAAAACAGAATTTATTCAACGTCGGTTAGAAAGACGAAGTTATTTGTCAAGGACTTTTCGGATAGGTATCATGCAGAGCATGAGCGGTGAAGTAAATCGCCATTGGAAAAGATAACAAAAGATGCTGTGTAACCGCGAGCACCGTATCGGTCGCTTCGATTCGTGCAATGGCCTCGAGTAAGGTCGATGCACTTTATACCATCTTGCCTCACATATTGTTGTACACTTGAGACCAGAGTTTTGTACCATTGCAGAAATATAAGACGGTATAGTGGGAATAACTTCTGTACCCAAGCACCGGATATCCTCACCTCGAAGTAGTAGAGCGGTACTCTGAAGGTGACAACCTCTGACGTGAAGAACACCACACAGATGACGACCAGCAGCTGGCAGTACATGGAGCTGACCATGATGAACTGCTGCGTCCTGAAGAACACGAAATCAGAGGCGAGGAAATTAGATTTCTCAACTACTTTTTTAAGTGAGCACTCGAAGGCGTACCGTGCATTTTGTATCGGCAGTTTCGGGGCGTAACACTCCTTGGAAACATGATAAATGCGCTTGGAAGAATGGATGCTGTAACCCAGCTTGGAAGGCATATCAGCCGTTCTTAGATTCACGAAGACGTCTGTCTCGGGGGCATCTTCTGTGGTGTGGTTGAATTCGGTTTGGGTACGGACAATGGGCAAGGCCTTCGGGGCGGACAAAGAAGAAAACTCAGGCGGCATGGGTCGTTCCACACGACAAAACGTCAATGCCTTGCAACAACATCGTGCACCACTTCCATAGGCGGTCGCGCTCTTTTCCTGGTCTATGCATCGGATGACACGAACCACGCAGTTATTGAGATTTACGACTCACAGGTTATTTTGTCGGTGTGCTTTTTTTATGCGTTACCACACACACACAAAAAAGAAAAGACATGGATGATTTGGCGCGATGGGAAACGTAAGCGGAGTTCGCTTGAAGTGAAGCATCTGCGCATGCACCGTACCGACAGCAGCGCCATCGGAAGTAAGCTCAGCTGGCGTCTGAAAACCTTTCCACACAGGACACTACAAAAATCGTGAGGAGATACGGGAAAACGCTTGGGGCAGGGGGGTGGTGGGGGAAGGGCGTGTGTGTATGCGGGGTCATGTGGGATGTTCTAACATTCTTTTTTTAACGATTAACTGAACATGGGGTAGCCGGCCACGCCTTCAAGATGGCCAACATATCCGATCTTTTTTTTTTATATATAGCTTAGTAAAGAAGAAAAAGGAAGATACGACTGCGTCATAAATCGTGCGGCGCTTCGCTTCCAACCATTTTTTTTTTTTTTTGCCGGGGGGAAAGGTTTTTTTTTTTTTTTTTTTTTTTTTGTCAAAAGGTCGCCTGTGTTTTTCACGGGGGCCTTCAACATGCTCATCACGTGAGTCCGGACAGCCACTCACAAGCTGTGTTGGCTGTCAGTCAAGCGCTCAAAGCCTCCGCTGCTCTTCAGGTCCCGAAGAACGGAAAACGAAAAGGCTGTGTTCGACATCTTACCCAAACAGATCCGAGCTACTCCGGCGGGTCGTCGTGTCTCGTGATTACACAGATAGAGCGAAGCTGGACGCGGGTAGGTTTTCGAGCGGAAAGGTACAAAACCCTTACCCTGGTGTAAGATTGAGTAAATTTTGGAACACGACCAAGGATTCGAGGGCCCGGCAGAACAAATGGACAACATTGGCAGGTGGTTTGTGACGTCGAGTCTGACGAGGTCACCGAAAAGCGGAGGAGGAGAGGAGGAAAATCGTGATGTTCGCTTGGCCGGAGTCCAGACAGACATCGGACAGCCGGACGCTTCAATTTGCACGATTTTTGACGGAGTCGTGTCGCGTCACGACTTTTGTAGTACCCTGCTTGTACAGGCCTTGAAGCGTGCCTCCGGAGGAACGCGGAGGGCTGCACAGTTGGCATCTTGCCAAAAACCAGCACCGCCCATGAACAACGCGTGTTCGCACGCGTTGCGTGTCAACGCGCTGAGTCACGCCACACGATGTTCACCGGCCTCAGTCTTTGCGTCTGTGCCAGCGTTACTAGATTACCTTAGCTGTGGAACTCCCGCAGTAGGGGGTACCCCCCTCACTCACGTCAATCCGTCTGCCGTCGTTCGAAGCGCCATCTAGATTTTCGTTTCATAACTGTGCGTTCCATAAAGCAGAGCTGAAACGCCATCTCGACGCCGTGCTTCGAAACGTACGCATCCCATAGAATACACTGCAGTTGCCAAAGCAACCGTCCGGCGCGTCGAGTGACGGCAGGCGAGTCGTGGTGAGTGAGGGCCGCTCGAGCATGCAGCGTCTATGAGCTAATCTAATAACGGTAATCTGTGCCCTCTTCATCTCGTAAAAAAAAAAAAAAAAAAAGGCAAAAGGTAGCGGATTGGCGACGCTTCGAAAAGATGCTGCAATTCTGCGCATAACAATTTGATCGATCGATCAAAATACTAATATATACCCCCCCCCCCCCCCCCCCCCCCCCCCCCTCTTTTGGGTGCTTGGTTAGTAAACGCATGGATTCCCGCTTTTCTGTTCTAGCCTCGCAAACCACCCGGGGTAACATTTTCCTCGTAAATAAATATCATTGTTATTGTTAGAGTTACTAAATGAGCTGCGCTTAGAGTATTGGCACTCTGTTCCCCGACGTTGTTGTGGGGGCCGCCATTTTGGTGCTTGTGCAGAGCAGACGCAACTGCCGATCGTCATGATTCAAAGGTGCGATTTCCTCAGTAGATTCGGTATTAGGAAACTCGTGTAATATTGATTTTCTCTGTCGCGAACTGTTTAATAACTTGTGGAGGACGGAAATGCTTTGCTTGTGATTTCAGATAAAGCTCCAGATAACTGGCAACCATGATTTTGAGCCACAATATGGCCAAAGGTCGTTACTCTGAAGCGTAGCTTATTTAGTGGCAGTAGTTAATGTCGTCGCGATCATTATCATTGCAGATTGCCTGGTTCGACGTAACTACCAAACACCATATTAGACAACCAGTTGCACGCAGGTACCGAGGTGTGCATTTACTCTCCGTATAGGCTAAACCTAGTCCCAAAAGGCTGTAATGGTTGACTCGTCGTTTCACGCGAACTACGTCCGCTCGTTGCTGCGGAAGGAAAGGCTGCGAGACGTATCCCTCTACCACAGACAAAATGCTGCCAGACATTCGGGCGAAACCTGAATTCGCGACTCCAGCAAAACGGACGCCGCCAAGCGGGAAAACCGGGAACCAGCCGGTCCAGGTCGCTCCGCGCCCCTCCGCGTCTCTGATGGCTTTCGCGGACAGTTGTTGTCGGCGCGATGGCGTACAGTGTAATTTCACGAAGGTCCGCCTGAGTGTTAATCAGTGTGGTGAAGCCTCAGTAGATTGTTTCCTTCCATCACGTGTTTGAAAGTCCGTTTACTCCACAACACTGTTACGTGCTTTCCATTTCTTGGAGGGGGAGGAACCACGGAAAAACGTTTTGATTTCTTGTCTGTCTCGAAACAGATTCAAAGTGACGACTACTTGGTAACTGATAAAGGGTTTCTTTATAAGGATGTAGAACAGTGGACTGAGGACGACAGACGAGGCATTTCACTGGAGGGAGCACCAATGTCGCAGTCAAGTGAATGGGAAGGTTCGATAGGTGCTTTTGTTGAGTTTGGTTGTGTTCGATTAGCTTCAAGTTTGAGCCACCCACGCTGGTCGGTGCGTTGGCTATTCATCTTGGCTGCTTTTCATCGAAAAAGCCTCTGGACCACTCTGAAGGAGTTGGGCTGATTTCGAAATTACTTGATTCAGGAACACCTGCTCGCTGCAAATGATGAATGAGGGAAATTATCTGTTTTCAAAAGGTGGGGGACGCGTCTCGCAACGTTAGAAGCTGTCACGGCATTTTGATCTATCGCGCCTCCAATATTTATATTATACCCCCGTCAAAGCCAGCAGCAATATATGTCTACATCGCTCAAATTGACCAACCACAAAAAAAAAAAAATACTTCTTTTCTCCGTTCAGTGAACTCCAATGAAGACTCTCTTCAGTTTGTCTCCGTGCTGCCGGCTAGAACCATTTGGCTAAGTTTAAGTAGTATCTCTCTGTCTGTCAAATAGACTTTTATTCGGCAGTTCACCTAATATCTAGTCAACTAAGCTCATATTTCAACCCAAAGAATATACTAATATCGTTTTAGTGGGACATAGTACGTAATATAATACATAACCCGCTCGTCAAAATGACTTCTCGATTGCTACTAAAACCTGAATTGAAATACGAGTATCAGCTGCTTAGTGAGGTGCCGGCGGGTTAACATGCTCCTTGGCTCAAGGAGCGCTTGCTTAATTTTCGTAATTTTCCTGCAGCCTGTGTTGTTGACCGAGCAGACAACTGGAGCTGTTTCTTGAACGTGGATACGCACAAAAGCTCGATTTCGCGGACACAGAAGTCGCATGGTCGAGGCATCCAAGTTAGCTGAAAATTACTCTCGGTGGAAGAATTCTGTAGTCACTGCCACTTTCCTTAGATGATCAAAACTGATTAGTATTTTACCGCCCCTCCGGAGCCCATAGTTTCGGTTTTGAACGAAATCTCCGAAACGAAAGTTTGACATGAAAAGAACAAAAAACACCGGGAAAACAAAACCATGCTTTGCAAGTTTATGCGCACCGGCTGCACTTAACCGTCTCAGTTCAAATACCTATAAAATCGGGCATTAAACAAAAGGAAATCTGTTAAATTGAACGCGCCACCTGTTCAGGCAGCCCGGCCGAGCCGACGCGACCTGGACTCAGCCGCCATGTTTGTTTGGTGGAGGCGCCCCCTATAGGTCGCTGGAGTCGCGAATAGGAACACGGGCAAGCGACATCGCGTGAGGACCTCACAATAGACCGTTTTCAAAACTACATCGAGCAACATTGGCGGTCGCCATTGCTTTGGACACGAAGCGCGTGATTGAATCCGAGTCCTCGCCGAACGCTGAAGTCACCTTCGTGTCCAATACACGCTCAGAGTAGGCGGACAGGCGTTGGCGCGGACTTTCTTGAAAAAGGTCCGTTATTAAAGCGGATACTCGGAGCACGATCTGAGCCATAGCCTAATATACTAACAAAGCATGGCAGATCGCCACGAGAAGCGGCCGCCGAAATGGAAAAGGTGGAGCGGCAGACAACGGATGAGAGGAGAGCCACGTGACTGGCGCCCCGCTGTGGCGAAACGCCGAAACGCAGCGTCTCGCCGCTGCCGCGAGACGCTGCGGCGAGACGCGAGGACCCAAAAGTGTGTTTCGGGTCCTCGCCGCTGCAAAAGCTGACGTCCAGGTGGTTCCCCGAGAGATGGCTCTTTGATGCTCTGTGTTACCAGATCCTCGCGCTCCAAATCTGCGACCGGGCACTCTATATATAGCGCGAAACACATGCGCGTCAAA